ATAACTTAAAAAGAACCTTATATTTCTAACATGTATTTTTCTAAGTTAGATAGTAATGTAAAGCTAGATAGGTTCAACTATAATAATACTGTTTAGGTTTTTGGACAGAATTCAGCACGGGCCAAGACGGAGCTTTCATACGCCAAGAAATTACAGAACGACATCCACAACAGTTCAGCTGTACCATGGCTTGCGAAACCCCCAATCACACACAATACCCCTCTTTGCGACCTTCACCAAATCAAATACGGCGGTGGCTGGAATCGGGTAGAATTGACGGGTACAGAGCATCGTAACTGGTTCACCTGCCTCCCCAGGCTCTTTTGTCTGTCCGCCTCCGCGGGAAGTTCCATCATGGGAACACACTCAATGGAGCTCTCAGCTGGCATACAGCTGAAAGCTCAACCACTGGCAGTCCTGGAGGGTATGTCCACAGCTCCAAACAAGACTGTTGTGCTGCCTTTTCCGCGTTCTACAATAACTGTCTGACAAGCATCACGTACAGTAGTAAACCCTGGGAACCTTGCAGCGTGGAGTTGTCGACATGGCAGAAACAGAAGTTATACTTCTCACTCTCCTTCCAACAGAGCCGCGCGAAGCAAAAGATTTTACCGACGACATCTCGAACATCAAGATCGAGGTCTTTGACCTTACCGTCAACGACAGCAAGACCGGTGTTCCCGTTGGAGTCGCCGAGGGCGCGACCCAGTATCCATACTATGTTCCTATTGAAATTGTTCCCCGCCAGGACGATAAACCTCCAGAGTTGAAACCTGCCATCATCCAGCATTTCGACACGGAAATCATCTTTCCCCCACCCGAGCCCCCAGAGTTACCATTAAAACCAATACCAAAGTCCGTTGCTACGGCCGTCATCGTAGTCAAGCTGAACACTGCAGTCCGCCGCGAGTTCGAGTCTCTGGACCTTCGCATCGTCGTGACCCGCGGAGACACCCAGGTGGGAAAAATCACCCCACTGGAATACAATGTTCCCATCAGAAAAATTCAGGAACCGCTATCCGTCAATCCAGCGGATTGGACCAGCTATGAAGTCGAAGACGGGGACCCGGTGTGGAGAGCTGGTTATCTCTTTATACCTCCCACGCCCAAGCGGTCGTCGACCCGGCCCGGTTTGAACCTCGGTGGGGACGGTGTGACGCCAGTGTTCGCAGATCTCGTCCTCGCGGTGAATAAAGTCCTCGAGGATGACCATTCCAGCAAGGATAAGGACGGCCACACGTCGCTGGAGAAGCGAGCGACTCCACTAGATGCGACGCAAGCGCTACAGGTGGCTCGTGAACTCGTCTTCGATCGCGTCACCTTTCCTCTGCCGCAACCTAAGAAAAAATCATTGGCGGACATGTACGGAAATCCCAAAGTAGAGGCGCAGGACGACCAAGAACGACAGCAGTTCGAGGCGGATCTGCAAGCGTACCACTCCCAGCACGACGCGGAGGCGTTGCAGCTCGCAAACTACATCTACGCCGCGTCTGCGGCCATCGAGTGTGAGAGGAGCACCCTGAACGCATCCTCCGCGGGTTTGACGTTCGATGTTGTGGCCCATCCGCCCAACCCAAACGCCCCCTTTCCAAGGAAGTCCATTCTTCTGAATGGTGTGAATAATGCCTCGACTGAAAAGGGTGTCTCGTTCGGAGTGCCAGCGGCCTTCTTCTATGCACTCGGCTGCACTCTGCCGACCCAGCTCAACGCGAACGATCGCCTGACTGCGGCGTACGTAGCGGCGGAGCCATCAATCCTCAAAACGCTGCAGGCGGCCGAGGACAATGGTGTGTTGAAAGAGCAGGAGTCGGCACTCACAAATACCGAAAACCAATTCCTAAAGAATTTAACCGTCGAACAAGCTGCTCGTCGGCTTGCTGCTCTTGGGGCTACCAAGGGTAACCTTACCATTGTCCAACTAGATACAAGCATCGAAGACTTGGTCAAAGACTGGCTCAATTTTGCTCAAGATTCGTCCTCGCTGGAATCATTTTGGGTGGGCGTGAGTACTACCCGAGCAGGACAGTACCTCGAGCTGCTGCTAGATGTTGTGGCCGCCGAGAAGAAGGCGCTCAAAGGTGAGATCAAAACGAACTTGACTATAAACGACGTTGTAGGTCTTTCAGCGGTGTCAGACAAAGCATGGCGTAAGTTTTGGCTGCCAGTTAAGCAGAACCCCGAAGATGGCACTCCTGCAACGCGGGCAGGTCTCCTGCCCAGCTACACGCTGCCAGGATCGCCAAAGCAGCGAACCGAGGCCTTCATCAAACACATCAGGACGCTCTTCACCGTCACCGAGGTGACCATCCAGAGCCGGTTCCAGGGTCAAAATGACGTGCCGACGCTCGGTCGCCAACAAAGTGACGTCCTCCAGATGTTCTTTGACGCTCTGCCAGGGTTCAGCTTTGCGGTTGCTCTTGACGACAATACCATAGACAACACATTGAGCAGCCTCCCCATAGATGACAGATTGAAGAAATGGACCAAAAAGACGCTACACATCATCGCGTTCTTACATACGATTACGACGTTTGGGCAGCAGGACAAACAGTCCGACCCAGAGCAATTCTCCCTGATGGAAGCGCTCTACGCGCGCGGGTTCATCACCGCGGACCGCATTGCGATCCTCTCCAAAGCTCAATTCTGCGAAGCCATGGCTGGGACCGTTGCCTATCGACAAGCTCCTTCAGGAACGTCGATTGCAGAGAAGATATATGAGATCGCAGCGCCTATGTCCACCGTCACGCCGAATATAGGGCGAGAACCTGATTTCTCCTTTTCACCTATCAACCCGGGTCAACTGGTAGACTGTATACCCCCGTCGTATCTCTCACCATTCGGGCCATTCATGTACCTTCGGCTTCTTCTCTCGCTCAAACTAATCTCAGCCACCTCTGATCCGGCTGTGGAAGTCACCTTGGGTGAAATCCTGCAAAGCAGACGCGGTCCGCTCGGGACGCTCCAGGTTTCCCCAGCAAACATGGAGATATGTGTCCCACTCATTGACATGGCCAACGAGAGCCTCGAAGCGCTCGTTGTACAAGTCAACTCAGACAGCAGCACATTGCATGGTGCAATCTTTGACACCGATGATCAAAGCATGTGGGATCTTTTCTCGTTTGGTCCGAAAGAAGGCGAACTTGATCCCGAAAAAGCGCTCCTTGCAATTCCCCAGCACTCTTCTCCCTACCTGCGCCATCAACAGTCAGAAACCTATCGCATCCTCCAACAGGACTTCTCCTCGCCGCTTCTGCCTTACGACCAGGAGCTGGACATCAATCGTACCTACTTGTCGGCTCTCGGGCAGTCTCGTTTCGATGTGATGCACACCTTTCGCGGGTCCATTACAGAATTCGTGTTGGATCCGTCCAGGGAGCCATCTGGGTTCAATGCGAGCCTGTGGCGATACCCTGTGCGCGTCGATATTGCCATAGAATACCTGGGCATCTCGCAGTACGAATACCAGCACCTTTTCATTTCCACTCTCACGGAGTCAGAGCTCCGCATCAATTACGGTTTTCCTGCAAATGACGGTGAAGTCTGGGTTTATGAACTCTCTTCCCTCCCTGTGTTCCTAGAAAGAACTGGTCTGTCGTACTGCGAGTTTTACGAACTCTGGAAGACTCACTTCGTTGATATGCGTGTCATGCCCAAGTCGGGGGAAACAGAATTGGAAGATGGGCTTCCCGTCTGTGAACCCTGCTGTCTCTCGTCCATCCGGATCAGGTTTGGGAAAGACAGTAGCGAAGAGTCTGCACAAAGTCCGGCATTGATGGCGTTGTACAAGGTTCTCATATTTGTTCGTCTCTGGCGGAAGCTCGAGTTGCGGTATGGTTGCGGATATGTGTCGATGAATGTCCTGGCGGCGGTTTGTGACGTTCTTGGGCTCTTTGAAAACAATACTCTCGGAGTCAACGCAGACTTTATCCGCCAGCTGATTGCGCTGCTCATTCTCTCCGACGAGTTTTGCCTACCTCTTTGGGAGGAAGAGCCCAGCAAATACTCTTCGGATCACGAACATGGAGAGACTCGCAGGGTCGTGCCACTCCTCGCACTCTGGGCCGATCCTTCATTGAAATCGAGACAGGCTAGACATGCCGTGCAATTGTTTGTTGAGGGAATAGCATCCTGTGCTCAACAAAAGCACAACTGTGTCCCCCGCACGGCACAATTCAACAAGGTGGTGGAGGAACATCTTTCTGCCCTTGCCAAGCTGGCAGGCTTTACGGACGACGTGCCATGGCATGCCAAACCGACGTGCACCTTACGGTTTGCCGAAGTATTGACCAAGATCTATGCATCACCGTTCACCGTTGGCGAGATGCTGTTTCTCTTCACAAACGATCAACATCTCCAGGGTGACGATCCGTTCCCGTACACCGAAGAGGACGAATCGAAAGATGATCCCCTCAATGTGCCCGAGGATGAAAACACCTATGGGTTGTGGCAGCTACGAAAGAAACTTCTAGAGGCATGCGTCGACGATGAACAAGTCGATCGTTGGTCGTGGCGAAAGATCGAGCACAGCCTGAGAGGGGATTTCGGACTCATCCAGTCCGACAATCCAACTACCGTCGATGCCCTTACTGCCTTTGCGGAACACTTCTTCCCACACGTCTTAGACTCTTTTGAAAGCACGATTCCGCGGGTAAGGAGACAGTTCAGGACGCCATTAAATCCCAAGGATACCAACCCACTGATGTGGGAAGCCGACCGCTGTGGGCCGTTCCACTACAGTACATCAACGTCGGAGCTCTGGATCGAACTACCACTTCGAGACAAAGATGTGATTGATAAGCTGGCACACACCCGTCAACTTAACAGCGCCGGGAGTGGCGGCCAGAGCGAGATTGATGCGGTCAGGGAGCTGTATTTCGCGCCGAGGCGGATGCTTGCGCCTTTTACATCCATTTTCGGAAATCTGGCACACGCAATAGACGCCTTGGTCCAGGAACCATGCGAGAAGAAGAGGTTCAGTTACTTCCAGAAATGTTTTGCGCTATTTCATCGACGGTGTGAAATCGAAGCGGAACACCTGATGGAGCATGTTGAGCACGTCACCGGGAACTGTCTCGGATGCGACTGCCATGGACACAATACCGATGATAACGATTGCGATGCACGCGCAAGAAGAGCTGTTGCGTGGGAGGTCATCAAACGTCTTATCGCCGACGAGAACAACCCACAGGAGCTGCCGTGGGAGCGAGACTCTGGTTCAGCGCCCTCAAGGGATGAATTCATGTGGGAACCCGGTTTCTGCGGGAGTGCCTTCTCCGCGCTCTTGGGATTAACAGGTACCGGTATCCTCGGCGAGTTTAAAACTAAGGGTTCTGCGAAGACCGTGTGGAAAGAAATCCGCGGACCAATGTCTGCCTTTGGATGCTTTTTGGATGAGAGCAACGTACCTGTACCCACGGTCATTCCTGCACTCGATCTCGTCACAACCGCGGAGCAGCAGCTTAACGTCACGTTCCGGAATGGATTGGCTCTGGACGATGACACAGCAAAACAGCTCGGTGGGGCCCAGCCGTTTAGCGTTACATGGAAAGGCATCCTGCTCATTGAGAAGGGCGGACACTACAAGTTCGCCGTACATAGGCCGACGTTCGGACTCCACTGCCACAGTGAAGCCAGCGATGGCGAGAGCTGCGATGAAGCAAATTGGCACGTCAGGATCCACCGGGGCCGGAAATCGTGGACGGTCGCAGAGCACAACCCATCTGCAAAACATAGAGATGTCATTTCGGTTTGTCTTTCGCGTGGGGCATATGATATTGAGGTGCAGCTCGAGCAGCCAGAGCCGGATTATGCTCAAGACGAGCCGCAAGATCACACTCATACCGGCTTCAGCGTCCGTTACTGTGGACCGGACACAGAGGATGTGCTCGTTAACATTCCCATCGACAAGCTGTTCATTAAATCCAAGGACTCTCCGTTGAACCTCCAAAACGAGGAGGCGGACAGTAATATGGATAGATTTTTATCGGAACAGTACATTAGCACCTTCCGTGATATACGCCGCACCTATCAAAGAGCATTTAAGGCTCTCCTTTTCACCTATCGATTCGGTCTATCTGCCGAGCCTCTGGACTGTTGTCAAAGCGAGTCGGAACTCGGATTCATTCTGGACCATCCCTTGAACTTTCAGGGCGTGAGTTACTACGTGGGACAAGATGAGTCGTCCAGGGAGGCAGAGGCACAGCCTTCCACAACATATGTCATCCATCGTGCCAACCTCGACTTCAACTTCCTTCCCGTCGGAGATGCATACTGCACTCCCACCAGAGACGATGATGACCGCTCCGACCCGTCCGCCCAGCGCAGTTCGGCCCTCTTCGATTGGTGGGAGCGAATATTCGACTACCGACGCCTCGCTCGCTGGGTCGACGAAGCCGACACCTGCAACGGCCCCGTCTGGCGCCTATTCTACGAAGCCGCCACCCAAGCGCCACGCGACCCGGCAACTCTTCTCCGGTTGTTAGGTGTCGAACTGAGCCTCGCATCGCTCGTACGCAACTACTTCGAGAACTTCACCGTGCAGAGCACCCATCTCGAAGATGAGCGGTGGGCCATTCGCATCTGGCGCGCCTGGAAGGCTGTGCAGAGGATGCAGGGCGCCTTGCACAGCAAGAGCTTCGCGCAGGCGCGTCCGGCGTTGTGGGCCGCGACAGCACCGAGCGAGGCGGTTGATGGGCAGGATCCTGACTTGGGCCGAACAGGGAAACAGAATCTGATGTGGTTTGTCACAAAGAGTTTCCTGGTCGACCGAGATGATAACCCGGATTACGACGCTGTCAAGACGTTGAACGATGGTTTGAGAGTCCGCGCCAACAAAGGACTCGTTGCATACCTCTGCGGACTAGATCGAGTACAGCTCTCCTTTCAGCCAGACACGGAAACAGCAAAGAATGCACAAGACCTCTCAGCTTTGCTGCTTCAGCAGATTGACGTAGGGCTTTGCGAAACCGCAAATCGGGTTGACGAGGCAATCTCCTCAGTTCAGATGCTCGTACAGCGGCTGCAGCTCGGGCTGGAGACGAAGTTTCGTTTACCACCCGAGTTCACTAAACAGTGGGATAGCGTCATTGCGTCCTTCGAACAGTTCGAGCAATTCGCCCGCCGTGTGTATTACAGCGAGAACTGGATCCAGTGGGAAGAGCTCAGGGTAGCAAAGGACTCAGAAGCTTTCACATTCCTCGAGCACAACTTGGACGTGCACAGTTTAGCGGTACCCAAAGCGTCGCCGCCATTCTCTTTGACTGGGAGTGCATCGCTTCCAAAGGGCTGCGGGCTGTCTCCAGCACAAGCAGCGGAGTTTCTTGTGACAAACCGACAGACTAACTCTGTTGATCAAGGCATCGGAATCCTGGGGACTCCAGCAAGATCGGCTCAGCGCTCCTGGCTGTCGTCAAGTCCGGGAGTGGCGAAGAAACCCACCGATAATGACCGTCCTGCAGAAGATGGCGACAGAGACAGCCCTGTAGGCCTTCACGCCCTGTTACCGGCGCCAGATGACCAAGTCAAGATCCCTATGTGGTTCCAAGCCGCGGTTCGCCTAGGGACTACCTTCATCCGCGTAGCAGCCGCTTCTGTACCTCCAGCAATGTGGGCGTCACGAGACGAAGAGTCTCCGTTCGTTGAAACCTCGTGCCACTGTGGGAAGTCGCACGCGCCGGTAATGGACGAGTACTACTTCTGGCTCGAAAAGGGCGAGTATTTCAACGACGAAAACGCCATTCAGGACGCAAACCTGGGCGTTGTCCCGCCCGATCCCACCACAGACTGGGAGCGCGACGAAACTCTGCCGAAACTGCTTCACTGGCCAAAACAGCATCTCGTTCATCTCCACTGGACTCGCATCCATTATCGAGAATTCTCGCCACCCGGTAGGTCCTCAGAAGGCCAACCGTACGATCCACGCTCCGAGTCACCCAGCCTTGCGTTCAACGGCCGACGATCAGACTCCCTCTTCTTCACTCTCTTTGGCAGTGCCAACCGGCAATTCCGCTACGACATTGCGACGAACGCAGCGGTCGCGCTGCCGCAAACCATCGAAGACGCGCTTCCCACTACTCCCGTTCCTGCACCGCTGACTGCTTTCCCGTTCTTTGCGTACTTTAGCCCCGGTGCGCCAATCTTCCCAACATCTTCCTTTGGCTCGGCGCTCGCGGTTGCGGGAGCATTGCGTGCGCAGTGCAGGTTTGAAGAAGCGCTAGCGTGGTGCAAGGCTGCGTTCAACCCGCTGGAGCGCGAGAATACTTGGGCGCAGTGTCGTCAACTTGCCCTTTTCGCAAGGAGTACTGCTGGAAACCCTGGCCATATGACGCTGATGGGTGTCGAAGTCATGAGTGAACGACGTGTCGCCGCATATGTGGATGGTCCTTGCTGCCCCACCAGTCCTGTCCAAATCGGCATATCACGGGCTCGAGCGGTTGTATTGGAGTATCTGCAGATCTTGCTCGAATGGGGTGATGCTCTCCATTGCAAAAACACTTTTGAATCGAGGAAGCGGGCCCTGGTGCTGTTCAACGAGGCCATCAGGCTTCTGGGTCCCAAGCCTTCCAGGATTCATGGAAAGACCACCGTGATCCCGGTTCCCAGACTATCGACACTTGATTCCAATATAAGTACGGAAGGGGATAGCAAGTATGGCACAGTCTCACAGTTCGTACCCGGTGCGGCGCCACTAAACCCCAAGCTGCTCCAGTTGTACGAGCTCGCATACCACAAGAGAGACCTGATCCAACGTTGCGTAGACGCTAACAAGCTGGATATGCATCCGACGTGTAAGCAAGGTGCAAAGGGCCTGATTGACAGCTCCCGGGACTCGTGTGGGTGCGGGATAGGTCAAGCAGAGTGCCGCCTTCCATACAAGTTCACATTCCTTCTAGCCAAAGCTCTCGATCTCGTCAATGCAGTCAAAGCCCTCGGTCAGTCCCTCCTGGTTGCCATTGAGAAGGGCGACGCGGAGCATCTAGCATCCCTACGCCAGGCCCATGAGCGCCAGATGAACGATCTGATTCTCGGGACCAAGCAGAACGCGTACCGCGAGTCCGACTGGCTAGTGCAAACTCTGGAGCAGCAGATGCAGGGCGCGCAGACGCGGCTGCGATACTACCAACAACTGCTCAAGAACGGCCTCAATGCGGGCGAGAATGCCTACCTGTCTGGCACTGCCATGGGAATGCAAACGCGCATGGGGGGCAACATCTCCGAAGGCATAGGCCAAGGCATGTCGTTCATCCCAGACTTCACCGTGGGAGGCGCTGGTGTCGCGGGCAGTCCCGTAGCCATCAACCAGCTCCCGCTGGGTTCGAAGCTGGCCGAAGTGTTCCAGGCGGCCGCTCGCATCCTCAACGTCGTTGCCGACGTAGCCAACACGACGGCCAGCGTGGGCAGCACCCAAGGCGGCTGGGACCGGCGTGCAGAAGAGTGGCAGCACCAGGTCGACGTCGTCACGATTGAGATTGCTCAGATCAAGAGGCAGCAGCTGGCCTCGCAGCGGAGACGCGACATTTCGCTGCGGGAGCTGAACAACCACCAGATACAAATTGAAAACTCAGCCGAAGTGGACGCGTTCCTAAACGACAAGATGTCCAAGCAAGATCTCTACCTGTTCTTGCAGCAGGAGACGGCGACGCTGTACCGGCGCACCTTTGACCTCGCATGGCAGACGGTCAAGGAAGCCGAGGCGGCGCTGCGGCACGAACGACGCGACTTGGGCGACCTGGCTGCAAGTGCCTTGCCTCCAGAACTCGGACCGGCGGGATGGGACAATTTGCATTCAGGACTCATGGCGGGAGAGAAGCTCGAATACGCACTGCGCACGCTCGACCGCATGTATCTGCGCGAGTCCGGCCCTCGCGACTACGAACTCACCAAGCGCCTGTCTCTGCGCTTGCACTTCCCTCTTGCCTTCCTCCAGCTGAAGACGGTGGGCTGGTGCGAGTTTGAGATCCCCGAGTGGATGTTCGATCTCGACCACCCGGGCCACTATCTGCGACGCATCAAGAATGTCTCCATCACCATTCCCTGCGTCGTAGGGCCGTTTGTGGGAGTGCACTGTCGCCTGCAGCTTCTAAGCAGCGCGACACGCCTGTACCCCACGCTGCCTACCGCTGCGAAATGCTGCTGCAACAAGTTCAATAAGCCATCATGTATAAAGGCTGCTTCGAAACTCACGGCATGCAAAGACGGAATGAATCCGTTTGCATCACAGTCGTGCGCCGCAGAGCAGATCTGCACAAGCGCATACACCGACCCATCCACCCTCCACCGTGACTTCCTCTCCTCCGAGGCCATCGCAACCTCCACTGCACAAAACGATTCAGGCCTCTTCGAGCTCTCCTTCCGCGACGAGGTGCGCCGCGCGCCCTTCGAGTTCGCCGGCGCGGTAGCCAGCCGCTGGCGCGTCGAGCTGCCGCTGCGCAACAACGCGTTTGATCTCGACTCGGTGACGGACCTGATTCTCCAGCTCAACTACACGGCTGCCGAGGGCGGGCCGGCCCTGCGCGAAGTCGCGGATCGTGCGGCGTGGAGACGCTTGCCGGGTGATGGCGTGCGGTTCTTTGATGTCAGATCCGAGTTTCCGAATGAATGGAGGGCGGCGTTTGGGCGTGAGGTAGGGACGGGTAGAGGGGCAATGCAGAGGCCTGTCCATGTCAGGGGTCAGAAGCAGAAGGGGAAGAAGGGAAAACATCACGGCCATCGATGCTTCCCGCTCGAGTTCAGCAAGCGCACGTTTCCTTTCATCACTAGCCGGCGAGACGTGGTCGTGTCTAGGATCGACATCTTCATCGACACTGACCAGGCTTGCGGAACTGGACAACGGCATTTCCCGGCGTGCTTTGTGCCGCAAGCAGGATGCAAGGACGATGTCAGGACGTTTGAGTTTACGTCGTCGAGTCGCACGCCGGGATTCTTTCATGGCGTGCTGGGTGGGGTGCGGTTCGGGCCGCTGGGTAGCGATGCGGGTGAGCGGTTTGGGCACTTGAAGTTTCATGGGGTGTTGGATGGGGTGGATGTTAGACGGGTGTATCTTTTGTGTTATTATGATGCTGTTGAGAGGGAGAGTGAGTGACGGGCGCTATCGTTATATCGATCTCCTGGTTAGTTGGACACTCGTAGGTCGACGGTGATCACGGATGTGACGTGAAAGTTACGGCTACAGTGGTGGTTAACGCGACTATGGGGACTGCGTCTGCTATTACGGCTCGCATGGACACGACGACTATGAAGGCTGGAAGCAGCATGATGAGTCGTGGACACGAATTCTTTCTAGCTGAAAAATGCGAAAAGGACTGGAGGAAGAGGATGGTTGGCGAAACCCATGGATCTCGAGAACATGTCCAGAGTAGAAGCGTCCTCCACTGAGGGTTGGGGATTGTCTCATTGAGGTATCCCATATTGCTACCTGGATCCTTATATCAGAATCCCCACCGTTTCTCGGATACACCCACATGATGCTAACAATGAGACAGGTACATCATCCTCCATCCTCCCCAGCGAACCTCCCCAAACCCACCGCTGTCTCCCTCCACATCGGCGCCCCCTTCTCATTTCATCCAAGTGTGCAAACAACCTCATCCACCCCATCCGCCAGCCCCTTCGCAGCCTCCGCCACTCTCCCTCCCTTCCAGAACGTGTCTCTCAAACCCCCCTGTAAACTCAGTGTCTACGGTTTTGACGGCATCGTCACAGAGTTGTGAAACTAGAGGCTGCACCGATATATCATTGAGACGCACAATTACAGTCTTGACCGACTTTGTCACTTCACTATGTACTCTTAGGCGATGTTTAATCTTGCTAACTCGCAGCGTGTGCACCCGTGAATTCATGCACAAGTGCGCATCACGGTCTCTCTGCCACGGAGGCGGCCCTCTATGTCAAAAGGGGAAAGTATATACACCAAAAACTGAACAACCGCCTCATCTAGCCACATTCTATGCTCATATCCGCATTTCTCATTGCACGCCGCACTCGCCCCACTGGGGCTGGCATCCCCAGTTAACGCTACAGTATTCTATCTCGTTGCCACACCACCCATAGTCTGAACAACACCTCCCGAAGGTCGAGCCAGTGCAGGAGATACCGGAACCACAGCGTCCATCTGTGCTAACCGGCACCGTCGGCGTGGGTCGTGCAGAAGAACTGGACGAAGTTCTCGAGGAGGACGACGACGTGGAGCTGGACGATGGCGTAGGCGATGGAGAAGAGGTCGGCGGGCGGGTCGACGATGTCGACGAACTTGGGATCGGCGGTTGGGAAGAAGACAGCGAAGGCTGGACACCGCCGCATCTACCAAAAGCGGAGCGACATCCTGTGCCGCAATAAGCTGAACTCGAGCCGCAGAAGTACCATTCACTGCAGCAGTCTCCGAACCCGGATCCGGCACAGGTCGTCACATTGCCGCACTGCCCGTTGGGCGAAATGATGAGAGTACCAGAGGGGAGTGGTGGCGTGGATGAAGACGACGTGCTGGACGGGACAACCGGCGTTGACGATGAACTCGGTGCAGGAGTGGAGGAGGGAATGGGCGTGGAAGTGACTATCGGGGCATCTCCGCAACGACCGTATTGCGGCTGGCAGCCCACGATTTCACCGCAGTCTGCGACTCAGTTAGCCCATTCCAACGCCAATTCCACAGGACCGGGGAGACATGCGTTCGAACGCATCGCCGCACCACCCATACGATGAGCAACATTCATTATTCGGGCAGCGAGCTCCGCCTCCCTCCTCACCGCAGCGACCGGCCTGGCGGCGATTGAGGAACCGCGATAGGACGTTCAACATTGGTGTGGTCGCATTGCGCTTCGCTAGTGCCTGAAGGTTTGGTTGACGCACTTCGTGTGGGCCTGCCAAATGGCTCAATTTGGCTTCGACATTGCCATTGAGGGCGGCGGAGGCTCCGCAGAAGCTTATAGAAGCTGCTAGGCCGATGCGAGTCCACCTCATGGTCACTGTTGGTACACGGACTCCTCGGGGACGGAGAAGCTGGAGGGAATGAAGCTGCTATTAAACAGGTATCATCAATGGATCAAAAAATCCAGTACGGACGGAGAGAGTCTTTCAATGCACCGCAATCATGAATGGAACGCCGTGCTACCTCACATATAAGTCCTGGGACGTGACTGTTTACCGTGGCTTGGAAGCTATTCCACGGTGCTCGGCACAAACTGGTGACGAATAAAATCCTGGAGAGAATATATCTTCACCCGTATATTTGCGGTTACACTGAGCAAAGCCGCATCACCGCGTTATTGTTAATATGGAAGGTCTACCGGAGGACATGGGGTCGTACTGGTGGGGCCCATGGTGAAATCGAAAGTGGGTTGGGAAGGATGCCTACAACATGCCGTGACGAAATTCTACCCTTCGATTTGAAGTTATCCGACTTTGACTCTTTCGAAGGTCTCTAACTCTACTGTGTAAGTAAACAGTTGTGGGGTTTTCGCACGAGGAGGCTCCGTCGCAGATCAGATCTCACGCACCCCGACCGTTTGAACCATGGTTGTGAACTGCAGGAACGGCAGTGGCATATCGTTCACCCGTATTCCAACGACCAGGTGGGGCACCCCCGCCAACCTTTCTCTGCATACATCAGAAGCTTCGATGAATATAAAGATCATATCCGCCGGAAAGGATGCTTCAAGAGCCTAAATTCAAGATGCCGCGACTGCCGAGGAACCGTTATAACACAACGTACATGTATCCATTATTGGCGACAGGGACCGGAGTGCTCAAATAAACATTCCAAGACTTGGGAAGAAGGCCCAGGAACGGCCTCAGCTAAAACCGTATGGGCCACGTGAAAGTACAACAGCCTCATTGGGTGCCCGCTTACCCAGATCTGTGCAACAACGACCAGATTCGCAACTAGTTTTCCAGATCCGGAATACACAGCTATCGGGCAGCAACCTTGGGAACTGAGCGCGTTGACCTTTAAGATAACCATCAAAACTTTCTCAACATGCGCGACATTGCTGTTCCGTGGAGAGAGTGGATAAATGGGGCGCAGAATGAATGGGGACTTGGAGAATTGCCCGAACCCACGATCGTGATTCAATCGATGTCAAAGAAAGACTATGACAACGTAGATTACACGCATGCGAACAAAGAGGCTCAGGTGTATCGGCCGCGACAATTCCGGGTCAAGTAAACTGAATTATGGTTTGAGTCATCACAGAAGCGCCAGCCCATGATTGAGAGGGCGCACAAACGCCGAAGTCGCGCTGATAAGTGGTAAGTGGTTGAAGGGATGGAATGGATGGGAATGGGAACTGGGGCCTATCACACTATAACATCGAGGATTGAAGATTTGAATAGATCAGCAGAGGACTTTGTTCGAAGTGGACTGTCAGTGCAATACGAAATGCTCAAGTGCAGATGTAGATGGATCCGGACCGTTATGGACGATGTCCTATACTCCGTCCTAAACGCCGACCGCGACGCCGGAGAACTTGATCAACATGTGTGCATCGGACAGGTACAAGTAACGGTCTTTGTGTACATCGAGCCTGAGAAAATTGCAGAGTAATCACTGAAAGTCTGGATCCCGGCTTTGGTGAGCAGGAAATTGGTAGGCCCCCTAGGCGAGGGGACACCCTCCAACTCTGTGACTGATCGAGCATAGATTGATTTGACGTCAGGACGCCAGTAACCTGGTAAACAAGAAAAGGAACTAGTTGTTACCTGGTAATCACTCCGCGACCACTGGCGCCGTCCAGCCCTTCATCACACATAACGATATGAGGGGCTATACACCGTGTCCCCTGACATTGACGTAACACAGTATCTGCATTGCACACGCGCTCCTGCGTCCACACTCGGCCCGGCCCATCTGGGCCTCTGGAGGCTCAGTCCAATCGATGAATGACGCTCACAATTGGTCAATTGTGCCAAAGGCATTCCTCGGAAAGAATGTGATACACTGTCATAGAGCCAGGCTCAGGCTGTGACTTACTGTATGCGAATCTATTTTTACTATATGGGAGGACGCCAATGCCTGGACCCATAGATCCCGAGGGGTTGCTCGCGCTGCTTTTGCCATTATTCCTGCACATATATTCTGAATATGAATGTCCACCCTGTCTACGACTTCGCCTTCTCACCCTCCACAAAATCCCTGATCGTCTGCTCAAGCCCCACATCCTCCCTGAAACCCAACTCCCTTGCCCTACTGGTATCGTACCTCGCCGGCCAACTCAACACAATGCGCTGAATCGTCTCATCCCTTTTCTCTTTCACCAACGACCTCGTCTCCTTCCCACATACCTTCTCTAGTGCATCCAAAATCTCCCGGCTGGTCGCCGTATATCCGGGCAGAAGCACCGTCCTGAAATGCCCAAACTTCTCAGCTGGAATGTCTTTCGCAAGCACGAGGTTGTGCGCTAGGATTTTAGGAGAGGCTAGCCATATTCCAATATCCGGGTCAACAGGTAGCTCGGATTCCTGGCCATGCACAGGTTCCCGAACGATGCCGGAGACGAAAGATGAGGCCGCGGCGGTCGGCGCACCTGCGCGGACGAATATGGTAGGCAGGCGCACAACGCGACCGTCAATGAGACCACGACGAGAGTAGTCGTTGATGAGGTACTCAATCATGAGTTTCTGCGTACCATAGGAGCTTTCCGGCATGGGTACGATGTTCGTCTCGTTGGCTACGTTTTGCACCGCAGCACGGCCATTGACGGCGCAAGAAGAGGAAAAGATGACTTTGGCTCCGGGTTGTTTTGTACAGATGGTATCCAGGAGGCAGCGGACGCTGTCAAAGTTTACTTTCAGGCCGAGTTCCAGATTGGCCTCGGAACCGCTCGACATGATGCCGTGGAGGATATAGACGGCCTCGAGAGAAGGAGAGGCGGAGTCAATAAGTGAAGAGCATGCAGATGAATCCGTGAGGTCTGCGGCGACAGACTTGACATTCTGGGAGCTGGTAGGATTGGGTGGTTGACGGACATCAGCGAGAATGAGGCGGGTATCTGGTGAAGTTTCAACGAGCTTTTCCGCGAGAATCTGGCCGACAAAGCCGCCAGCACCGGTGATGATGATAGTCATGGTTTGGAATCCGTGAAGAAATTTATTCGTTGTATCTGGAGGAAAAGTGTCCGCACTCACATCAGCTCGAAAGATGGTTCCATGGCCATTTGCTCTTCGGAAACACCGCCGATCAACCTCGGAATGCCCCGAGGTGGAAATGCCGCTTGTGGGGAAGAACAGGAGTGGTTGTCCCCAACAACCTCCATCCAGGATTCGATCATTTCTTGTACAAGTAGGTAGGCGTGATACATTATCTCATACTTTTTTCCCCTCAGCATGGACTCTCTGAGACCCCGATTCTTAACCACATCATGGACTACCTAGTAAATGTGCATATGCACGTGATATTCACGTGATGGCGATGTTCCTTGCTAAAACACACTCTGGATCCCCAAAAGAACGGAAAGAAGGTATCATTCTGTATCTTTTAGTGTCAATGTTAAAAATCTGCTCTTAAGTTCTTTAAGCAGTGCGGTTAGGACATCGGCATTGGGGACAACTGGACCCTACAATCAATGGGGAACAGCCAGATGACTTTTTGAGCATACTGCTCCGTAGAGCGGTGCTCTTCTGCTTATTAGGTAATAAGAAGGAGTAATAACATATACTATATCTCACTGAGTGCACATATACATCGGATCTTACGGCGCTCCATAGTCATCTTTCCTGCCGAGAACTTGTCTGAACAGATCCGGCCAGCTTTTCTGTTGCGTACCCTAAAATGCAGGGTGTACTATTCTATTAAACTAACGGTGTGGCCATTGTTATCTACACCGATCGTTTACATTCTGATTGACGGCGCGAGATTACATGTACGTGACGGTGGATGAATGAGACAATCCAGCCCATGGCTGTGGCTATTTGCGATATCATTGAGGCGAGGTTGGATATTCCCTTTCCTCACCAGCTTATCCAACGCGCTTGCGGATCGTGTGGGCACCGGGGATACATCCACTGCCAAAAAGCGATTTTGTGGGTAAGAAACAAGGATTCATAGAAGCAGAGAGAACTCCCAATAAAAATTGAAATCACGAGAGACTTCTCACAAGACACTTCCACCGCCAGTCGAGCTAAGAACCCCAACAGCAACCCAAGCGTTACGGACAATGATCGATGCACTAACACCGAATAACCTCTTCGCCTGTTCAACTGTCACATCTGCCCACTCTTTGAAAGTACAATTCGGATGGATGCGGCTGTCTTTGGATATCAAAGTCTCATACCAGATTTTTCCGGCCTGCTGCCACGAAAATCCACCAAAGCCGGTTGCGGTAAGGTAGAAAGCTCGGTTGGGAATGCCCGAAGTTATATGGACGTTCAGATCATCCGTGTACTGACTGAAATGGGCAATCTGGCGGTCCGGTCCAAGGATATCATCATTGAAAGCAGTTCCCGGGCGGGCCATGTTGCGGAGAGCCGGTCCTCTGACGCCAACGGGGAACAAATTCTGGCCAGTGAGCCAGTCGGCCTCTGACGCAACCTGGTTGAAGTGCCATTGCTCAACCATGGCGCCGAAGACATCGGATATGGACTCATTCAGGCCGCCGGCTTGTTTCTCGTATTCGAGCCCAGCGGTATATTGAGTGACGCCGTGTGTCAGTTCGTGTGCCACGACATCGAGGGAATCGGGGAAATGATCGAAAACGATGCCATCGCCGTCCCCAAAAGCACATTGCTGGCCATTCCACATGGCGTTATTATAGCCAAGTGTGTTATCCCGTTCTTCATTGTAGTGAACAGTGGCCACAATACTGCGGCCCTTGTCATCGATAGAGTTTCGCCCAAACGCGGTATGAAAGAATTTGAGAGTAATGCCGATGGCGTCATAGGCGTTGTTTACCTGCCTGTCCTCAGTCCGGATATCACCTTCCTTACGAGCAAGTTCACTAAGGAGGTCGCCGGTATTTTTCGCGTCGTAAATCTGGCGCTTCAGCTGGAGAGGAGGTGCAGCCTCGTGGGCCTCTTCCGTCGCGGCAGGACCTCTAAGAGCGACTCTCTGTTGGCGGATCTTAGCATCTGTCCTCAAAGTCGCCCTGGCACTTTCTCGAGCCTCATCGCCAGCTGCTTCACTCTCGGCGACATGCTGGAGAACGTAGGGCGGCACAAATCCTGAGCTCACAATGGGGGCCTGGGCAGCCGGAACTCTTGGGTCGCCGGGACCACTGGGTGGTTCAGCGGCACGAAGAATCCGTACGCGCTGGTCGCGGAATTGCTCGTCGGCGGTGAGAGTACGCCGAGCAGCCTTACGCACTGCACTCGGAGCAGCTTCAGACTCAATTATGTGCTCGAGAACATAGGCGGGCACGTAGTGGCAGCACTGCGGTAAGAGTTTAGCATGGCGGTTGATATGATTGCTTTCCAGGGGTCTTACACCGCCAGAGAGGTGGTGATCACACATGGTGGTATTCAGAGAGGAGCTTGCCATGTAACGGTACCCTAGAGTATAGGTCAAGTGATGACAGCCTTGTGTCGGAACCCTGGGAATAGCGTAAGAAAGTGTGCGACGAATTGACATCTCTGGTTCTGTTAAAAGTAAATTTGGCCTCTCTTAAATAGAATATTGACTGGCCCTTGCGCTTTCAGCTGGTTCCCCTCGACCAACGAAGGTAGCGATATCATCCTGCGACATGTGATACCCAACCAGTGTTCATCTCCACACTCCTCAAACGTACCTACCGTCTAGAGCCATACATTAGTTGAATTCCGGAGAATTCCAGCCAAGCAATCTTCCTGATTCAACTACATAGGGTATCTCCGCTCTCTGGTCACGCCAGCCCGGAGAGGAGTTAGGATGCTGAACATTTGCCGACTCCGGTTACAGCTTTAAGGATACTAGTAAGGGCCAAATGCAAACTGCTTCAGAACTGTGAAGCCATTAAAGCCACCCGCATTAGACGTGGCATATCTATGGCAGGGACGATTGGGTATGATGTCAACTGCGGGGGTGTCCGAACCTTCTATTTGCTTGCCATAACTAGTCTACGGGGCTGAGATATGTAGTTCTACGACTAACTGCTCTGGAATTCTGACTTGTTTGTCTAACGCCTTCACATGCGTCCTATTCTTAGTTTTCCTTGGCGCAGAGGCCTCGTGAAATTCAGTCCGGAGTTACTGCTCATTCGAATCCCCAACCTGTCGATTTCGTGTGTAGAATCTCTCCCCTCATCGTATAGGGCAACTAGGCGATTGTTCTCCCAGCTCTCTTTCATCTATCGTTTGATCACCAGCGTGTACCGGCGCGCGCCACGGCTCGCACCCCACACTTCAACTGTGCTTCCCCATCCCGTCCCCCCCCGTCTAGCTAACTTGTGAAAAAGGCTCATTGAGCTGGCGGAACAGCTTGTTGATGTCTGCAGGATTCTCATGCAAAAATTTTGGTAGGCAAGCACTCACTCCCGCATCCTTTCCTGTAGCGAGCTTCACTGTAATCCTCTTCACTCATCCTCTCCACATCTTTACCATGATGTGTTCTGGACCGACTGGGGCATTAGGGAGATGCATATGCCTAAAACGAACTGCTTCCACCTGCCCGCTTGCAGTGCATAATAAATCGACATGCATTCAAGACAAGCATAGTTCATGCGAAGGTCTGATATCCCAGCGGCAACATAATTCACAAACGCTACCACCGTAATTCTCCTTCCGAACGCCACTGAGCCAGTTTGCCCAGTTCGATCAGCACCTGCATGTCATGAAGAACCGGGACACGGGACCTAGTTTCCCTCGTGTGCTGCTCTCTGTCTGCACAATGATTCTTTCTTTCTTTTTTTTTTTTTTTTTTTCCCTTGACATGTGGTACAACTTGCCAAATTGACTGCGGGTGTTTGCATTTTTTTTTTTTTTTAATTTCTGGGGTGCAGTAGTACCATTGGGACGGCGTGTTTTGGTCTACGTTGCGTTTACCACAGTACAGGGGTTGTTGTGGCGTGGAGGATGTGAATCGTAGGTATGCTGGTAGACTAAAGTGTGGAGGATCGTTCAATTGAGCTTCAAATGGCCTTCTTGGGGCTGTCGACGCCGTGGGGTAGAGTTGCAAACGGCGGAATCTGTTGCATAGTTATGGAATTCCCACGAACCATAATACTGCATGTAGTACAGTACAATCGCGATTCGCATCTCCTAGGTCTAAGTAACCCCAGCATCCAGTTCACTTATATTATCGCCCCACATCTCCCCCCGCCAATCCCACCACCACCACGGCCAAGTCCACCGGCATACCAACCTTGGAACACCAGGTACAATAATTTCTGAACCAATCAACCTCGCCGACGCCTAGAGAATTGACAGGGGATCCTACCTTCTCCCAAAGCTTCTAGAAGCCGGATAATATTAATCTACGCCCCATTTCTCACATTTTATATATCCTCTCTCTCCTTCCTCAGTATATCTAATAAATTGCCGATTGCAGCAATTCTTTCTTTGCTCAATTTACTTCGCCTGGGCGACCCCGAAGCGCTATACAACAGCGCACACGAATCTTGATTAACCTTGCTAGGGAGACACGGGTTCATGGAACTGATTAGGTGGCGAGATGAAGGGGTTTTCTCTGGGCTGCGCTTGGTATCCGCGGTTTGTGTGCTTGGAGAGCGAAGTGGTTGGATGGACGAGTGCAAGATGCTTGGCTAATCCCTTGGTGGGTAGGCTTGAGGGATTGAAAATAGAACCGTGGCGCTTGCAGCCATGGCGTGGTGAGTCTTGAAGGGAAGGAGGACAAGGTGGGAAGACATATAAATGGTGAGGGTGTGCGCCGCGCGCTGGCTTCGATGGGTTTCTCCCAGTTTTCCCTCTGGTGACTTCAATACCGAGTGTCGAGCCGGCTGTAACGTCAATTACGTCAAGCAAGCAAACGGGATTCTCTTCGGGCAGTGATATATCCTCGAACGCTGCCTCCCCGTCACTTCAACAACAACAACAACAACAACAACAACAACAACAACCACCACAACAAACACCTACGATATCAGCACTCTCAGACCCGCGCAACATCACCCGCGCAACATCGCCCGCGCAATTCAACTCCGCACACAACCCTGAGCACCACACGGGGCATCCATCCTCCAACGATGCGTCTCCTAACCCTCCTCACCCTCACCGCAACGACCCTCGCCTTCCCCTCCCCCTCCTCCTCACCCCTCCGCCAACTCAACACCCTAACCATCGCCTCCGAATCCTGCGCCTTACCGGACCCCCCAACCAACTGCGCCGGCGCCCAAATGCGCGACGTCATCATCCAGATCAGCAACCTGAGCGAGAGCCAGCGCAAGACGGTCATGGAGGCGGTCAAGAGCAGCGGGAGCCAGATTGTTCATGAGTATCCGGGCTTTGGGTAGGTGGATCTTTTCCTATTTCTCTTTTTGGGGGGGGTTTGAAGTGGAGATTGTATGCTCAAGTAGAGATTGTATGCTAATGCTGGCTGAACAGGTTCTCTGGTTTCGTTCCAGTGCCCGTCGTCGAGTTGATCAGGGCGTCGCTGGATAAGGTGCATGTTTATGAGAATGCGTGCGCGGAGATTCCGTGGTGTGGGGAGGCGCCTTGTTAGATTGATGGTGGTGGTGCGGGGGGTGATGTGGGGGCGTGTAGAGGTCTTGAGTAGGCGTTGGGGTTTGGTGGTATAAGGTTGCGGCGGAGAAGGGTAAAAGTAGTATATGACATGGCGTTACGGATATCAAAAAGGGGTTGGGAGTGGATTGATACAAAATTCTCTCGGTAAGGGGTTAGGACATGTGCATTGGAGTTCTTGAGGATATTTCTCCAATGCTGGCGGAGGGTGGGGTTTCATGGCACCTGGACTCGGTGATGTTTTTACTTGCAAAAATCTTTTGGAAGTTATATGTCCTTTTGTCTTGGCTGTGCAGAATATTGTGGACGACAGAGTGCGGTGGTGTGCGATGTTTTATACCGTGCGTAGTTTGGAAACCGTTGTACTCATATGTGAAACGATTCAAACTTTCCCGCTGACGGTCGTTCCTTTTGGAGATTCGCCCTGTAGTGCTCCCATGTAGCGCAGACAAATTTCCAGGGGTCTGCAAGGACACGACACACAGTGATTTGCAACGACCGAGTTATTTTCAGTAACTGTCTTAAAAAAATATATCTATTACCTCATGTCCCACTTCGCCAAGTGGGAATGATCGAAAACACCCTCGAGATGACGGACATCATAGTGGATCGGCCTCCGCGTTCGACAATCCGAGCAGAAGTGAACATTACCCCTAGGGCAGGCTCGAGCGATTACCAGTGACTGATGAGCGATATCTGATTGGAAATACCAATGTATGCTGTGTACCACAGTATGGTGGCCTGGAATGCTCTTGAAGCCATCTATTATTGAACGAGGGCCAAGTCTCAAAGGAGGAGACGTTACCACAACCCTCTCCTACCCTCCCTTCCGGCACCCACAAAACACAATTCGAGATACTCCTCTCTAGCCACGGAATCTACACCAACCATCACAACGGAAAACTCAAGGAGTCCTGCGCTCCCCATCAGACATACATATCAGAGGAACTAAGGTGCTCCCACAGCGTTCTTCCGGCATAATGATAGCTACGAGTCAACACCCTAGTTCCACATCCGAACCCGCAAAACGACCTAGAATCCGCATTACCCGTCCCATGTGCATAGACATAGATACGTTTTTGAAACAAGACGTTGGAACAATACACCAGCCCTAACGTCTCCTCCCTCGACTTCAGCACCCGTCATGAAGCCCCCACTCGCTCACCCCGACCATCACAAATCACACATCCCACTCTTGTTGGGCATCAACGTCCATAGGCGTCGGCAATCGGAGAACTCTCGACAACCGCGTCCACCGAATCGACATTCGAGGCTTTGGAATCATCTCGCGAAGTTCATCAAAGATCCATCTAGTCCGTACGATGCACCACTCCACACTCCTCCGTCCCACCTCGCAGATACACAGCAGGATCAGACAACCCAAGCTGGGGTCCCTCACGACCTGCGCACGACTGCAGACCGGATTACTTGATTCCTCTCGTTCGCAATCCTCGCGTCGAGTGTTTATACAAGACGTGCCGCCATGAGCATCATCTTCTTCCTCTCGGTGCGTCTGCGTCTGCGTCTGTGCCTGCGGCTGCGGCGAGCAACCTTGTCGTCCTCCACGCAAAATCCTCCACGGCTCTTCATTCGCAAATAGATCCCATACCAAATCCACGACCACCACCACCTAAGCAATAGCAAAAGGGCTGCACCCTCCCGCACCACCACCACCAGCACCGCTGCCAGCCGCAATCTCATTCCTCACCTCCGCAATCCACCTCCCCGTCGCCATCGTACCACCAGCGCGACAGATCTCGACGCTCGCATTGTCCGCGCCTGGATTCTGGATATGCGTCCGACACGCCTTCTTTCCCATTCGTCTCCACAGATCCACCGACACGCCCGATTGGATCCAGGTATCCAACGCGACGTGCGCGAGGGCCCCAAATAATGTTTTGAAGGCCAGGAAGGCGCCGTACCCGATTGCGGTTAGGAGGACGAGGACAAAGGTGTCGAAGATGAGGCGTTCGGATCGCTCGAGGACGTAGCCGGGGCCGTCGAGGAGGTAGCGGAAGTAGCCCTTGTGCAGGTGGTATCGGATGTGGGAGAGGAGGCTTCCGGGGGTGGGCGGTTGGGGGTGCTCACGGAGGGTGTCGTAGAGGGCGAGGAATCGAGGAAGGATATAAAGGAGGGTGGGGAGGAATATTAGTAGTGATATCAAGATTAACATCATCTCCGATGTTCAAAAGATAGATGTCAGTGACGACGGTGAGAGTTGGATAGAGCCCAATGGACTGAAGTACGCCGGAATCGAGCTTGGGAAGGAGTACTGGCGAACTCGCAACTGCCAGGCTTCGAAGAGTATGCAGAGGGCATACACTCCAGTCCCAGTTGGAGGCGACGACGAGGCGCCCGAGGCATTTAATGCAGCTGTGAGGCTGTTACGCCTGATTACCAACTGGTTCGAAGCATGTTCCGATCACCGATCTTTCACCTCAGCCCTGGGACGCCGCGCTACTTTATAGGTAGCATGGTTCCACGGAGCGTCGGGGCGTCACTGGGAGTGTCCCCAACAGCCATCGTGCTTATGGCATCCCAACGTCGCCATGTCATAGGAGGAGAGGAGGCTGTACGGAGTAACGACATCATAAGCACGCTATGATGATAGCACTAGTCTGCGGGCGGGGTCAAGAGTCATGTTCGCGGGTGCGCGATTAAAGAAACTCGAAGCTGCACGACATGGGTGTTGCAAACAAAGAACGGCGTTATAATGAATGCGTTCAAAGAAACATTTCCGGATGTTGTCGACAGAAGAGCTTGCGTTCATGGATCTGATCGATGAATGCAGCCGATGTTCTCGGATCCTGACGCTTAGTAACCCCAAGTCCCCCAAAATCTTGAAGATGCGAACATGCCAAAATTTGAGCACGTCGGACTCTGGGTTGCTCAGTGACATGAGAGACAATTGTTGATTGGTAATCTAATCTGGGTGAATGTAGTGGAAGCCCTGGAAATGCTTTCTTTGAGGTAAGAAGGCTCCGACTTTGGGAGGGGGTGAAGAGGAGCATTGGTAGATAAGCCTTTTAGCGCAGATTAAGCGTAAGCGCTAATTCCAACGTCTGCCCGTCTGGAAACAGACAACAACTCTCCACCCACAACTCGACGTTCGCATGGCTGAGAAAAGGCCTCTGAATATGGTGCCTGAATCCTAGAGCCATGACCCTCTAGTATCCGCGCCTGATCCCGCGTAAGCATCACTCCTCGGCGCTAGAGGGCCAACGAGGCTGATGCCCTCGGCCTGGGCGGGTTGATTTGTCGTTAGTCGCTCATCCATCCCACTTTGCTTACACACCACTCGTGCGGGATCCGGACGACACTCGGCCGACTTGAGCACTCGATCGTGAAATCGCCCTGGGGTTGGAACGTGAAAACCTTGTCGAATGCCTTTCATCCAGGGGCGGGACTACCCGTATTTCGGCGATAAATTCCCTCAAAGTCCAGTTGGCCAAGTTGGCCGTTGATCTGATCGATCTCCTGATTCAAGTCCTCCAAGTTCTGCGCCAGACTGGTTACTTCGTCGAACCTTCGGTGCTTCGTGGCATCGGCCACCATCTGGGAAACCATGAACTTCTGCTCCTCGAGCACAATCAACCTCTCTTTCAGCTCTTTCTCTTCCGACTCAAGCGCAGAGACGACGCTACTGCTACTGACGATGCTGCCAGTCTCAATGTTATTGTATTGAATGGAAGCGAGTGCTCCGCCTGGACGTCCGTTGCTTTTTGAGCCATGGGGTGAAGCATGTTTCAGCACCTTCGGTAGCGAACGGAGAGGAAGCATATGTAAGCTGAGGAAGTTGTATGCCTGCTGATATACGGCCTTCTGCAGCCTCTGCTGGGTAGGCGAGTCCGTGGGGAGGTCTCGTATTCGCCGGGCTGCTGTATCAAATTGCCCAAAGGCGTCCATCAACCTCTTCCTGACTTTCGTGGCCTCTGTAAGCTGCTGAGGTGTAGGAGGCTTGTCCGGATCCTGTAGAGCCACGAGTAATTTCTGAAAACGCGGTAGCAGCATCCGAATACCCCTCTCGAACTGTGCTAGATTCTCGTAGGCGCGCTGGTCGGGAGGTCTGCGTGCAAGTTCGCGTTCAAAGTCGCTTTTGCTGAACAAAGTATGCGAGCACTCCTTGCACATCCGAACATCGATGCTCAACTGCCCGGCAGCCTTTTCGGATTTATTTGTCCCAGAGGCTACATTCAACGCAACCTCGGAGGAACAGGCAGTTTTAGGGTCGCCGCAAACCACTCTTCCGCAGAGCCGACAGTGGTGCCTTCGGAAAGTGTATGTTGAGAATTCTTGTTGGCAGAAGGGACAATTCGACACTTTTGCATCCTCTTCCCATACTATAATGGACTGCTCCAGTGCCTTGCGTTGGGCTTTCGCAGACGATAAGGGCCAGAAAGTGCCGGCCCCATTGCTCTCATCAGGCGGAGGTGGATTCGCCAGTAGTTGGGTAAGCTTGGTGAGGCGTTTTTCCAGCCTGCTTAGCTCCATATGATCTCGGTCTACCTTGTTTCGCCTAATTTTTTGGAACTCGGCATAGTGATCTCGCTCGAATCCACGGCAATCATTGTACCCCTCTCTTGATTTGTAGCATGTCTCGCAGACCCTGCACCATATACCCCTGACTGGATCATGTTTGGCCTGTCTCGACAGCTTCATCTGGTACATGGTATGCTCCTCGCAGAACAGCTTACCGCAACTCCTGCAGTTGACGGCCACATGGCTCCCTCCTAAGCCTAGCTGCGTCCCAGATACGAGCGGTCGAGCACACATTGGGTCGGCGCAGACATCGCGGTATCCCGGCCTTTGCCAGTGCGATCGCGTAACTTCTTCGTCGGGATCGCGGCGGTGTATAGGGGGTTCGTGGACGGCGCCTCCAGAGTTGTGGGATGAGGACGGTATCGAGGAGGGGTGATCGTTGGATTCGAAAACATCGAGCCCTTTTAGTTTCTGATTGAGTACGGCAAGTGGCTGGAACCGTTTTGCCTTCTTCATCTGCGCTTCGAACCAGTTCTTGACCTCATCCTGCTCCTCTTCCACCAGATTCTGATGGGTGTCATCGAGATGTCTGGTAAGGGTCAGCGGGAGCAACTTATTAGACGAGCGTAGCGCAGTACCGGTTGAGTTGTAGGAGGGTCACCATGTCCTCGTTGCAGATGGGACATATGAGCCTGTTCGAAGCGCTAGCAGCTGCATTTTGGGCAGTTCCCAGCAGCACCTTGCTGCCGATATCCTCCTTTGGTTCCGCAGTGCTCGCGGGGCTGATGGACGTCTGCGAGCTCAATGATAGCGAGCTCTCCGAAGGCGACAACAGGCTGGCATTGCGCTGGTGCTGGGTTCGTGGCTGCGGGGAGACGGCAGGCGACAGATTCCTGCCACTTCCCAACACTCTTCCACCGCCCAGGGACCGGCCCGAGGTCATGATGGGAGCTGTCGGGGCGCAATGTGCGGGTTCATGGGGGAGGAGGAGCGGTGATGGTGGAGGTTCCAACCCGAGGAACCAAAGTTGGGGTCCGCGGCACCATACAGTGATGTCTCCACAGCGGCAGGGCTGAGAATCCCCGGATCACGGGTGAATGTCACACAAATTCACCGTGTTCACCAGATAACTTCCGCAAATAGATATTACTGCGGCGCATCTTGAAGCAAAGCAATATGGCATGTTTCTGTAGCGTCATGGGTATGCTGCGTGGTTGAATGTGGGCATTCTTGGCGCTCTCCCATACGTCAACCCCGGCGCAGCATTTGTATCTCCGCGCAGCTGGGCACCATTCCTTCTGCACCCTCCGTCATGACAAGCAAGTATCCGGAGATTCAAGGAGGCGGCTCCTTGATTCTGGCATGGCAGGTTCGAAATAAAAAGATTCTGGTTGTTGGCGGCGGTGAGGTGAGTGCTCTCTCAGGTCTTGCAACGTGCTTGATATTCACAAAGCACAGGTCGCCGCCGGTCGAATCGTCAACGTCCTCAATGCCGACGCCAAAGTCACCGTTGTATCCCCTCGCGCCGGCCTGAACGATGAAGTCGCCTACCGAGTTGACCAGAAGCAAGTGGAGCACATCGACCGCAAATTCGAGCCCTCCGACCTCGATGGCGTGGACATGGTGCTGGCCGCCGTAGACGACCCCGAGGCCTCGACGCAGATATACAAGCTCTGCAAGGAGAAGCGGATACCGGCAAACATTGCCGACGTGCCGCCGGAATGCGACTTTTACTTCGGCAGCGTGTACCGTGACGGGCCGCTCCAGATTATGGTCAGCACAAATGGAAATGGGCCGAAGATGGCAAATATCGTCAAGAAACGGATAGCAGCCAGCCTTCCCAGTAATATGGGGGCTGCCATACAGAAGGTGGGCGCGCTGCGGAAGAAGCTGAGGAAGGTGGCTCCCTTGCCTGAAGAAGGTCCCAAAAGGATGCAATGGTATGTCCCATATGCCGGCATGAAACCCTCCCAATAGCTCCCAGCTAATGGTTTCAGGATGTCGAAAGTTTGCGAAAAGTGGTCGCTGGATGAGCTCTGCTCAATGACAGACGAAGATATGGATACGCTTCTCGAGTTCTACAAGCCTGGAACGGTTCCAACGCTGGCCGAAGTACGACTCTACGAGCCTGGGGGTGTCTACGAAGGACCTTTTTTGATATAAGTATTGCATATCTGCAAGGAACTGGTATATATGTGGAAGGTTGATTCCCATCTGTGTGGTAAGTTTTCAACCAATTGGCGTTTGAGCGGTTGTCTATATGCCATATACCAAACTGCGCGCATATAAATTGCTGCGCTTTCAAAGTAAGAAATCTCGCTATCAGTAAATCCCACCTACATATCAAGCAACATACTGGTACATCGACATCGCAGTTTGTTCTTGAGGCTCCGCAAATACCATATGACGTCAGCCAATCAGCGAATTCTCTCGACTCCGTTGATTACTAAGCCCTGATGTTTTACAATGATAGCGCGACGCATGGGAAACCTTGCACACAACCAAGGTGAGATATCGCAGGAGACAGTAAGAGTGGTAGATTCAGATCGTCACATGTATACAAGCGATGTATGGTCACCTCAGTCTTCTATTTGGATGACATTCCGTGGAGAGAGAAGAACTGCAATCCACAAGTCTGTCTTGAAATGGGCATTGACCCTTTCACATTACTAGGTATAACACCTCACTAATCCAACCGACCTCTAACCAAAGCTTCTAGAACCGCAAGCATGGAAACCCAACCCATCCGACAGACTCCATATGACAAAATCGACTTCAAAGCCCTCTCCAAAAAGGACTCCAACTTCAAGCAAATCTTCCACAAAAGCAGCGGGCACCTCAACTTCCAAGACCCAGAAACATGCAAGACGCTCACCAAAGCCCTGCTCAAGACAGACTTCAACCTAGAGCTTGACATTCCGGATGACCGGCTATGCCCTCCCGTCCCTAATAGATGGAATTATGTCACTTGGATCCAAGCACTCATCGACTCAACATCCCCAGACTACAAGGCTGGCTATGACCCTGAACGGAAGGTAGTAGGTCTCGACATCGGCACCGGCGCATCCGCAATATACACCCTTCTCATACTCCGCACTCGCCCAAACTGGCACATGTGCGTCACCGACGTCGATAAAAAGAGCTTCGACTTTGCGGCCCGGAATCTGGCTCTCAATAACATGATCACGCGCACCACGATGCTGCAAACGACTGACTCCATAAGCCTCATCCCCCTGCAGTACCTCGGTGTAGAGAAACTCGACTTCACTATCTGCAACCCTCCATTCTTCAGCGACGAGAAGGAAATGCGAGCGAGCATGAAGGGAGAAAACAAAAACTGGAAACCCAACGCCGTATGCACGGGCTCCGAGAAGGAAATGGTGTGCTCCGGCGGTGATCTAGGGTTCGTCACCAAGATTGTCGAGGAGTCGCTCGTGCTCAGGGAGAAGGTCACGTGGTACAGCAGTATGCTGGGGAAACTGAGTAGCACGAAACACGTAGTGGAGCTGCTGAAGAAAAACGGAGTCACGAATTGGGCTGTCGGATGTCTGGAGCCGGGTAGTGTGACAAAGAGATGGATGGTTGCGTGGAGCTTTGGGGATATGAGGCCACCTAATGTAAGTCAAAAGATTCCCTCCCGGGAGAGATATGGAGATACTGACACACGCCCAAAAGCACCTTGCCCGATTCGATGGCATAGCACATGAGTATCTGCCCTTCCCGACACGATACAAGATTCCACTACCCGAGGACTCCGACATGACCAAGGCTTCGGAAACAATCAATGCCCAGCTTTCCACCCTAGACCTATATTGGACATGGGACTCTACAACCCGCACTGGCATTGGCAGGTCATCACAAAACGTCTGGAACCGAGCGTACCGCCGTGAGCAGCAGAGAAAACGGAAGGCTGGCGAAGCCGACATGCACGATACGAACGCTGAACTGAAAGTTGCTCTTGCTCTCCGCATACGAGTGTCTGAAGGTTCATCGAAGGAAATACTTATTGATTGGCTCCAAGGCGCGGATGTCCAGCTTTGGGAGAGCTTCTGCGGTATGGTGCACCGGCTGTTCAAGACGGCAAAGGAACAAGCTGGGAAGAGTTTGGAAGGTGGAGTGGAGGGTGGGGGGAGTGAGCCGTTCGTGCCACGAGCGAGAAAGGAGCGATTTTAAGTGCTAGCGCTTTGTTGAGTGCTAGCACTCTGGTAAAGAGGGTGGGCCTATTTAATTACGCGTATGGTTATTAATACCCTTGTGGGTAGATACCTAACTTGCTCAGTGCTGGGCATAATCATCCCGAATAGTTCGACTTGGCAAGGGGTTGAGCATATCGCACGTTGCAGTAACCTACTGGATATCGTGAGAATCCCTCCCTTCGCTACCGTCAATATATCCGACCGCACAAGTTCCACGCTTTCCCATGTCAAAGCCTCCTCAGACGAAGTTGATATCGTCCCTCTCAATCCACGGCCATCGCCCACACCTTCTGAGCAGTCCACTCCATGCACCCCCTCCTCACAAAAACATATCCCTCTCCAACTCCTCCGGAAACCCCTTGGCACAAGGCCACACATCCCCCGGCTTACACCCCGCCCTCACACAATGCTCCTCCTCCTCCTCCCCAGTTTTCCCCTTCCCCTTCCCACCGCCAGCACCAGCACCTCCCCCCCTCTTCCCTCCCCTGCCACCCCTTCCCCCATTCCCATTCCCATCCCCACCAAACACTACAACCTCCCCCCTCGCAACCCTATTCTGTCGATGCAACTGTCCCCCATGTAAATCCTCCTTGCCCTCCTCCTTGGCGTCCTTGTCCTCGTCGATTGTGAATTGCAAAGTCTTCCACTGGAACACGGCCGCTTCGAGGCCTTTGGGGGCGCGGCCCTCGGCCACGGTGACGGGTTGGCGGGTTAGCAGCGCCGTGTCGCGCCGCGTGTCGATGGCGGCGACTTCTTTGTCGTACCGGGTCGTGCTGAGGTCGGCGTAGGCGGAGGAGGCGGATGGGTTTGTGGGGGGTGGTGGCATGGTTGGTGGTAAGTTTGGCGGTGGTGTTGGTGGGAGGGAGTAGAGGCGGTGTGTTTTTTATTGTGTGTGGTGGTGGTGATGTGGACGCTGGAGTGGTGAGGTTAATGGGTGTCTTGCAAGAGAGAGGTGTATACACACATTCGAATGTTGAAGTTGGATCTTGAGAACTTGTTTGCTGTGCGAGGGAAAGTTGAGGTTATTTGTAGTGTGCTGCTAGGTGCGTGGTGTTCCTTCCCTCTGGATGTTGATTGACCGCCGTTTGTAGCAGCACGTGCGCGATTGCCCACCGAAGAGAAGCAAATTCTCGCCGTTGCTCAGTCGTTTTGCTCTCACTAATGTATTTTACCTCCAGGATTCTCGTGAAGTTAGCGCTGGTCATCGCTTCACTCATAATTTGAGTTAGTTTGTAGATATACCATGTTGCGAACCCTGAGATTTTGCCAAAGGTTAAAGCAGATAAGCCTGAGAAATCGTTCAAGCCTGCTTTACCAAAGCGGCTTGACATTTACCATTCTCAGAGCAAAAGCTCTCATGTGAATATCTCAGATCTCTCGATTTTGACGTCGCCAAACGAACCCCAAGTGCATGTCTTGGCTCCAGATTAACGGTTGCAGCTCATTCAAACCGTTGCTACGATAGCATTGGGACCCGGGAAGTTCCATGGGCTGAGAACACGTCTGAATAACACTCGCCATTTTATGTACTATCATTTTCCAGGAATGATTGGTGTGTATGATGTATATCGCGCTCATCAAATGGAACAGGTCACCGGCATCCTCCAGCTAGGTAGGCAAGCAGGCTTCACTGCCCCACCATGCCTCCCAATTCAGAGAGTACAGGGAACAAATCAAATGCATGCCTGTATCAGAACCGGAACTAATCTCCCACACAAGAAGACATGGATCATGTCTCACAATCCCACCTGCTGGGTGGCAGCGAAACGTGAAGGGATGTTCCGGGCCAGTGTATCTGCTGTAGTCGGATTTCAAGTCAGCGAGGAGCCCAAGCAAAAGACTACCTTCCTTTGACGCACGTCGGCAGTAGAATGTTCGGACTTTCAAAAAGAGATTGATCAAAAGAATGCATTGGCGCACACTTTACTGATACAGGGGCAAGAGTTCTCTGTCAAAACAAAAGTCATGTTTGTTGAGCCTTGTCTTGCTTGACTGAAAGAACACTCAACAAGGTACATTAAACGTACCATTGCCCTCCTCTATTGGGAGCGATTCCGTAGGGGAACTGTCCATAACCGGGTCCGTATGTTAGGTCTCCTTTCCGTGATCAGTCGTCATCTCATTGTGCTGCAACGCCAACTCAGATCCCGCATCATTCGGCCAATGATGCTGCCACCAATGTCGCAAACACGCAGATTGATGAAGAGAGGTTGAAAGAATTCAAATGCATATCTGGGAAAACTGTTGGGCTCAATAATGTTTCAATACAACACGCTGAATCGCCAGTTAAAGCTACGCTTTCAAACCCTCCATGAGGGCACCCTCCTCCCTCTTACCAACCGCTTCAAACATCTGGCCATTTCCACCCACATCAAGTCCCCTCTCCGCCCTTTCATACGCCTCATCACTCCGATCAAGGAGGATTTGCAAGTCAGCATCACTGAGAATGCTTGCGCCCTCGCCCTCCTTCACATCGAACCTCTCGCCGTCGCTCCTTCGCAGCAGCTTCTGCAGCTCTTCCAACTCCTGTTCCTTCTCCAGTTGCGCCCCACGCCCTCTGTCATTCCGGACTCCGCCTTTCCGGATGACGAGCTTCTCCAAGCGGCGTTTGGCTTCGGCGGATTCGAGCAGTTTCTGCTCAACCGTGTTGCGAGTGGCAAAGCGGTACACAATCACATTGCGCGTCTGGCCGATGCGATGAGCGCGGTCCATGGCCTGGAGATCTTGCTGAGGGTTCCAATCCGAGTCGAACAGGATGACGGTATCAGCCGCTGCAAGGTTGATGCCCTGGCCTCCTGCACGCGTCGATAATATGAAGACGTTTTTGGCGTCCTTTGCAGAGGAGGGTGCGTTGAAAGAGCGGATTTGTGCTTGACGGTCGGCCTGTGCTACGGATCCATCTATGCGAGCGTACGGCCAAGAACGAAGTTCGAGATATAGGCCCAGGAGGTCGAGGGTAGTTGTGAATTGTGAGAAGATGAGAACCTTGTGGCCTCCTTTTAGCAATTCAGGAAGCAATGAATCTAGCAAGAGCATTTTTCCCGAAGTGGTAACGATTGTCTCATCTGGCTCGGTCTCAGAAGCAAACGTTTCGTTCCCTGATGTCTCAGCGGCAAGGAAAGGGTTGAAGAAGTTGTAAGGCGAGTTGCAGCATAGACGGAGCTGCATGATCGGGTTGCCTAACTTCTTTTGCAACAGCTGTCGCTTGGCCAACTCGAATGTGGCCGCTCGGATTCTGTCTTCTTCGGCCTCCGAGCTCAAATCCTCATCCTCTTCCTCTTCGTTCTGGTCCTTCTGGGCCTCGAGTGCAGCGAAGTACTTCCGATCGCTTAATTCTTCGTAGTACTTTCTTGGACGACCACGACCGCGTTTCGAAGCGGTCGACGCCGGAGAACCACCTCTGGATGTTTTCGCACTCTTGTTTGGAGCACTGGTTCCACTGAGCAGGGACTTGCGCTTTTGACTTCCATTGGCGCCCGAAATGCTCAATGGTGTCGCTGTTCCACTGGATACACCCAAACTAAGCCTCTCTACAGCCTTCTCTTCGAGGTATGAACGACTTGTACCATCCAGTATGGCCTGATAGAGCTCTCGTTGCATCTGTGTAAGTGGCGCAAAGAGCACGTACTCTCTCTTCTTAGGCATGAGACTCTCTACATCTGTCTTGACCCGTCGGAGCAGGAATGGCTTCAGCACTGCATGCAGTGACTTTACCAGATATTGCTGGCGCTCTTCCGACAGCAGCTGCTCGTAGCTCGCTTTATCCTTCAAACCGGAGAAGTCGAACCAACTCTCGAAAGTGGACAGCTTATCGAATACAGTAGGTAATAGGAAGTGTAATAAAGACCAGAGCTCTGCAAGGTTGTTCTGCAAAGGCGTTCCAGTTATCAGCAGCCGGTTCGTTGATCGGTATGATTGCAGCTCGCGGATGAGCCGACAATCCAGATTCTTGATCCGATGGCCTTCGTCAATGATTATAAATTGCCATCCAAAACCTGTCAGGTATTTCCGGTCATTCATACAGATTTCGTAGCTCGTCACAACTACTGGAAATTGTGGTGTACCGGGATTCTTCAGCCGAGTGCGGCGAAGTCGCGCGCGTTCCTGCTTGTCGCCGTGGTACAGTAAGACTGGAATACTGGGTGCCCACTTCTTGAACTCTTCGACCCAATTGCTGGTGGTGCTGAGAGGTGCAGCAATAAGAAACGGACCATAAGCCTCCATTTCCCAAAGATACGCCAATAACGCGATGGTCTGGATTGTCTTTCCCAGACCCATTTCATCTGCCAGAATTCCATTGATCCCGTTCTCGTACAGAGACAAAAGCCACTCCAGCCCTTCCAGTTGATACGAGCGCATTGTGCCTCCAGTAACCAGTTTCGGCTGCCGGGCGGACTGGAGATTCTGGACACCAATGTCCCCAGGCTTCACATTCTCCTCATCGGCGGCTTCTTTCAAAGCCTCGGCAACACTCGCCTGTCCCGATCTCTGTTGTAGATCTTCCTTCTTGAAGAAGTCTGATATTTTGCCCTCTCTGCTTTCCGATTTCTTGGGACGGCCCCGACCCCTTTTCTGTGTTGCGGGCGCCTGGCTCGTGGTTTGTGCTGTGCCATTGTCGGTTGCACCGGACGCACGAGTCGCTCGTCGTTGGGATTCGGCTGCTACTTTCTCCGCTTTAATCTCGCGTCTCGTGGATTCTCCTTTCGTCTTCTCGTCTTGAGCCTTTGCTTCTTCTTCCTGACGTTGCATCTGCGCAAGCATAACAGAAGCATAAAGCTGCAATCTTCTGATTAGCATATATTGCAGCATGCTTGAAAAACGGCAGTCTATTTACCTTGCTCTTGTTCATCAGGAACTCCAATTGTTGAAACTTCTTGTCTAACATCTCTTTGCCGCTCTTGAGATCCTCCTGCCGCTCCTTCTCAAGTTCAGCGTTCCTTTTCGTATCCTCTTTCTCGCGTTGTATCCGAATTTTCTCCTCTTCAGCCTCCATTTCCTTCGTCACATTTTCGTCCGTGGTTAAGGAAGGAGGCGAGGAAGCGGGTGTAGACTTCACAGATTCAGCATCCGCGCCAGACACTGAAGAAGACGCCATTAGGGGTGCGAGTGAAGGCTGAAAGAGAGAAACCTCAAAACGTCAGATGGTGCGCAGCGGCTTAGAAGCGGTGGCGGACGAGATGAATGCAAGGTACAAATCGACGACGCGTCGAGACCACCTATTATGTCATCAACGCGTCGCGCAATCACGTCCAATTCAATCTAGGATGTCTACGCCAAGAATCCAGCCACTTCAGCCACATTTCTCCTTATGTCGATTCACGAACTGACTCTCAAGGATACGGAGTACACCTCTCATGTTCGGGTGTCCATTTGAATCGTTCACTCATTTGAATCGTTCACTCCTTCATCGATGCCGTAGGAGGTTCAATCTCTGTCAGAGTGTCACTATAGGCGTAGGCGCTTAGAAGCTTAAGGCAGCCCCTTAAGCTTCTCAACCAAGAGAATGCGACGACACATTCTCAAGGTACTGGTGAATCTTTCCGGCAGAGTCAGATTACCTACAAGTGGTGTCCAATAACTCTTACCTCAAGAACCCAGTAAGGACGTCCCGACATCCTCATCTCGTCTACATCACCTAGGCAAGCACAAAGCACTTCTATACTTCTAATTCCCGGCTTCAAAATCATAGTAGGCAAAAGATTGCCAGGGAACAGAAGGACTTGACAAGACGACCTGAGAATTACTCCTTCACCGGCAAGAATTCCACGCTATATGCTGAAGATACGCCGTATATATTAACCGTAAAAGCCACCCTACTCAGTGGTCTAGAGCGAGCTTGCTAAGAGAAAGGGGTTTTCCTGTCCACACTCCAGGACGCTGCTGTACCCGTAGCATTCGACCGTGCTCAGACGATTTCATGCTCCTCAACCATTGTATCCGCAGAAGACAGCGACATCAACCAAACTGGATGACATTGTGCAGTGGCTTCAGGATGTATCCTGTCACTGAGCAACACTGTGCAACCCGATATGACATGTAAGATTCAACATCAATCTACTTTTTTATCAAATGCTACTGTGAGCCAGATAGCCATTACTCTCACATAGGTGATAGGCATCCGACATCAACAGCGAACGAGTGCAATCGAACGTCACGTGCTGGCATTATCTATCCCACAAAATACAGTAGAAGAACTGAAAAAAAGGTCTGTTCTTCGAAGTCCAAAGATTAGAATTCAATGAAGGCTAGGCAATATCGCGGCCTTAATTCTGTCCTCAGCTGCAGTTTGGGCCGATCTATATGTGATCTACTAGCTTTAAGCATCTACGCGGATGGTTTGCATACGAAGGGTGTATTTGAGTACAAGCTCGACGTCCGAGCCGGTTGTCTCTGGTTTATATGGACTGGTTCGCCATATGTGAACGCCATTGAGTGCAGCGGGATAGAATCCTGCGAGCCCCTGGGAAGCCGGTGAAATCATACAAGCGATCTGGTCCTACAGTAGGGAGAATTTTCGTCAAGGCTAAGCATCGGACCAACGTTTCAATGTGACCAAGGTTACCCGTCCACCGTACAGGGTCTGTCTTTCCTGGCTGCAGCTGCAGCACCATGGATATTTGACATCACTCAAGGTCATGCTCCGCATGTTAGTGTCCCTGGCTCTTCACTCCAAAGGGCAGTGTATCTCTAAACACCATCACATCTTATCCATCCAAACACCCTGCGGCAGTTCTATATGTTTGCACCAGGTGACAGGCAAAAGATAATATACCCAAGGGCCAATATTATATTCCCTCTATAATGTAATTCCTAGCGTAGACGAACGTTCGGCCAGGTTCGCACTAACCTCATACTCTAGGACTCTAAATATCATTTCGACTTGAAGTATGAGCGCTAAAGACTTCAACACCGTCGAAGACGAGAGTGATCCGACAAGGTTTGGAGATCTCCAAGGCAGACTTGCATATGCGAGTACGCGCGCTATAGTATGAAAGGAAAATTCCTGCCGGCTCCGTAAGGGTTTTCAAGGGGGAAATCATAGGACACCACACCGTGAAACATTTGGGCTGCTGGACTCGTCCTACAGAGCTTTGAGGTTCCGGTATCAGAGCTTCATGTAGTCGATCCTAGCTGATTCGCACACCACCTACGCCTCCAGCGTCTCGGGAGACCCAATTGGAAAACCAATTGGAAACCAAACCACCACTCAATGGCTGAAAGGTGGAGGCTGAATCTATGCTTATTTATAATCAAATGTAAAATCCCCGAAACTCCGCACCTACCTCTATTATTGAAGCTGCTTAAATCGGAGGAACATAGAGAGATGGCACACGAACCTGTGACGTTAAGTGTGCAACGAAATAGCACAGCTTAAAAGAAGCCCAGGTGGTTATCGGCCGCAGTGGAGCAAAGCGGTGGGGCAAAACATATAAGTAGTCAGAATTATACACTACGTATCGTTGCCCAGTGAGAAGGCCTCTGATTGCTTCTTAGGCCGTTGGTGGGGAGGCAGCGGTGCTCCCAGGTTGCGGAAACTTCCAGCTTCCCCTCCTTCTGACGCATGTCACAATCAGCACTCCTCGACATCTTCACTGTAATTGGTCACATTCCGCTCAAATTAACATTTAGATGCGGGACGGGAATATATGTTGGCATTCGCGACTGTCCGCTGCCTCCCTATACACTATTATAGTCTGCTGCTGCAGCTTCTTTTGCGAACATTGCAAAACTAACTGGGGCGGGGATTCTGCTTGGTAAAATGCCCGGCAAGGCCGAACGGTTCCCCTACAAGAAGATTATCCTCTGCTGCGATGGCACAGCGTGCAGGGAGGTTTCTAAGCAACCTCGCACAAATGTATCCAAGATCGCCCGTTGCATCTTACCGATTGATGAAGAAGGCCATCCACAGGTGGTATACTATCAGTCCGGCATTGGAACGGATAGCTGGTGGAAATCAGACACGCTCATGCAGGCCTTTGGAATAGGTCACTCACACCAATTACCGGAATAACCTCTGTTAACGACTCTTCAGGCATTGACGAAAAGATCATGGAGGCATACAGCTTTATTTGCAACAACTATAACAGGGGGGAGGATGAGATATACTTGATTGGTTTCTCTCGGGGCGCTTTCACGGCGAGATGCATCGCACATCTTATTCACGATATTGGTCTCCTCACCAAGAAGGGGCTCTACTTCCTTACCGAAGTTTTCTTTTTCTGGAAGACGAACCGCGGCGCAGTAGCCGACCCTATACGGCAAAATCGCCCTAAGTGGATGTCATCCGAGTATTTACGATCCGCATCTCTACTTGGACACTTAGATGTTCGCGTCGAGATATGCGCTCTTTGGGATACAGTCAGCTCAATAGGGCTCCCGTCAATGGCCCGTCGCCTCTTACCTTACCAGCCGAGCAGCCTGGGCTTCGTCCATTCCGATCTCTGCCCCGGTGTTGAATTCTCCTATCAGGCTCTTTCCCTCCATGAACGTCGGGCAGACTTTCTTTCCATTGTTTGGAAGTATCCAGACGACGCCAAAACCTTGAGAAACCGACTAGAGCAATGCTGGTTCATGGGCTGCCATAGTGACATCGGTGGCGGAAATCGGGATGAGGGCCTCGCCCATTTCCCCTTGATATGGATAATATCCAAACTGAGGCATGCGCTGGACTTCGACGATGAAAATCTCTGGGAACCTGTGCCGAGAAACTCCAGCTGGAGACTCGATCCAACTGCCGGTAAGGATACTTCGCTAGATCTATAATACACTCTGACGTCCTGTTCTTCTATTTGCTGAAAACGATCAGGTACAGCTGAGACCTCGATCAATAATAATTACAAGGGCTTCTACCTTCTTGGAGGGTCAAAAGATAGGATCCCGCGCTCTCAGTTTTGGAGAACGAATGGACTCTTCGAACCAGCGCCACCACATGGTTTTATCTCAGAAGAGAATATGCATGTTACAGTGCGGAAATTGACAGAGATGGGAGCTGTTCCGCCCTGCAGGTCACTTACGGGTATCCTACCACCCCCGCCGCCAGACCCAAGACAATGGCAACTTCAAACCTCAGGATCCCCTCCCCGGTTGTACCATGTTCCCGAGGCCGCTTTGAGCAGAGAGGAACGCGAACTACTCATAAAATGGATTGATGAGGAGCTTCGTATTCTGCAGCGCAATGCTAATGCTGCAGGAGGTGAAGTGGGAAGTGCAATAGCTCGTTTGCGAGACAGATTTGGCCTCTCCGCTTAGATCGACTACAACAGGCGAGCGAACGGAGCTTCTCCTGCAAGGATAATTATACTTTCAAACTCGCAGTTGTTGGACGCTGGGAGCGAAAACCCGTAAACGAGGTAGGCGATGAAATGTAAGCAAATCTTACAGCAAGATAGTCTCCCTAGGTAGCAAACTCTATTATTAACCAAAGTACAAAACTTATAATAACGTGAGTGACATGCGAGCTGATCAGACAAGCGAGCTGATCACTCTGCCAAGATTCCACCTCTTTCAACCACCCATCTCAATGTCTCAACAACCTGATCTTGAATTGCTCCCTCATGAGGATAGGATTATCCTTGCTATTGAAGCTATGAAATCCGATGCGTCATTAAGCCAGCAATGCGCTGCTGCTCTCTATGACATTCCTCAAAGCACGCTTAGTAGCCGACACTCTGGAACAGCTGCTCGACGCAATACACATCCTAACTCGTCAAAGCTCACCAAGCACGAGGAGGAGACAATAGTCTAGTATATAAGGAAGCTTGATGCACAAGGATCTGCCCCGTATGCTTGGTGATGTACGTGATATAGCTGATCAGCTGCTGGCTGCATGTGGTGGTGGGAATGTTAGAGACAACTGGGCTAAGAACCTTGTCCGCCACAAACCTGCGATCAAATCTCAGATAACCAGACTTCATGATCACCAGAGAGTCAAATGCAGTGATCCAGCAATTATTAGTCCCTGGTTTGACCTTGTACGCAATACCAAAGCCAAGTATGGCATCCTGGACGAAAACATCTACAACTTCGATGAGACTGGCTTCCAGATAGGTGTTGGAGGATCAGTAAAGGTGGTAACAGCGTCTGAGAGGTGACTGAAACCACTGTAGATTCAGCCTGGTGTCAGATACTACGTATCGTAGTATTGTCGTAGTATCGTAGAGATGAGATATCATAAAGTAGAGATGAGATGATCTTAGATCTCTGAGAAAGATGATTGATTCTGAGAGTTGCACGAGAGACTGGTTTTGTGCCTCTGTGTGAGATTATGTAAGGCTAACAGTCAGGTGACAATCAAGTATCATCAACCTCGGAAGACCCATTCCATCTGACTGTCAGATTTGATGGTATCTGAAGATGTCACGGTGACAGAAAGATTGATTGAAGATGGGTTGACTGATTGTATTCAGGTGTGTGCTTGTGTGTGTGAGGCTGAGGCCTGACACTGGTTTTGATGTTCCTTCTCTGGGCACCAAGGCTGTGCAGGGCACTAGCCATTGCAGAATCACTAGCCACATGTCCTCAGACAGTACCGGTACAGACAGTTTCTCCCAGTCCTCCTCTCCAGTCCCAGATGGGATGTCCATAAACTGGCTTACCATCTGACAATTGTATTTAGTGATCAGCTCGCTTGTCTGATCAGCTCGCTTGTCACTCACGTTATGTCTATAAATAAAACTCGACATACGCTATACTAGAAGGCTGTCCCACTCAGGTTGCATTATGCTCTAGTTAATTTTGTAATACTACTACAACAAGATAAACATTTTGAATTAGATACAGTAGGTTTAGATTTGTTGCTACGATTTGCTTTTCTCAAGTCTATGCAGCATGGTGCAAGTGCACATTTGCTTCTCGCCACTCTCCTATGACGACCTGTCACATTCACGATCCGGGAAACGCCACTTTGGTATATGACGAAAACCTTAGCCTAAATGCACTGCCCAGAGCTGCCGTGCGGTAGCCTCCCTTTGGTGTGTGGGGCAAGTGGTCGGAGACAGATAGGGAGGCGTACGGGGGAGATGTGAAAAGGATACGGTTAAGGGGAGAAAGTGGGGAGGGTGGGGAAACGAGCCGCGTGAGATCGGGTTAGAGTCGCTTAGAGGCGAAGGAGAGTCGAGTGTTTTGGGTTGGGAGAAAGGGAGATCGAGGAGGACGGAGGAGGCGGGGCAAAAGGTTAGAACCTCCCGGAATAGGTTGTCGGTATCGCTTCCGATCGACCAGGCGAATCGTGTTCTCGATGAAGGAGATAACGTCACCTTACGCGGGGAACCGTAGGATGGACGAGTGAGAAACGGGCAATTTGTACAGTGCCGCGCCACATCCGAGGGTAACGTGGGAGTTAACATGTGGGATTCACCTTGATTCTCGGGGATATATTAACCTTATTGGAGAAATTCAGCATAGCAAGGCTTTCCATTATGTTTGCTTGCAAGCGAGCCTCCAGGCCCCGGCAACAATAATCTAGCTGCTGTTCCATCCATAGCAATGTTCGCAGTCCTGGGAAGGCTCTTGGATTCGCTGCAGTCCGATAATCCGAGGCTGATTCCGCATCCCAAGCCCCCGTGGTATCCAGTTGGACTTGAGGAGCTCTATACGCCGAAGGACCATGTAGCAGAGTAAGTTAACTTTGTTTCGTATAAGTAAACTATCATTATGATGCATAACGAGGAGAAAAGAATATTGTTCGCTTACGAGCACCTTCCGGTTTGGACAGCATGATCTTTATTCACGATCTCATCGAAAACCGCGACGATGCATGGACAACACATGCAAATGAACCCTGGCCTAAGACACACCTGCCTGAAATAATTCCTAATGTCCGGACTCTCGCGTTTGGATATGATGCAACTGCGCGGAAGATGGCTGATATTGTCTCCTGGACAAAGGTAGAGGAGCACGCAAAACGCTTGCTAGAGGCAGTAGCTGTCCTGAGTGAAAATAATGTATGCATCTTCACTAACACTATAGATTTGCTGTATAGGCTTACGCACGTAGGGAAATCGCCCTGTATTCTTCGTAGCCCATGGCCTCGGCGGTCTTCTTTGTGAAGCAGCTCTTGTGATATCGGCCGAACAAGACGGATACCCACGAATCGTGGCAGAATCGACTCGAGGAATCGTCCTTCTTGGCACCCCACACTATCGTGCCGGGCTTGCAGAGTGGGCTGTAATATGTGCTCAGTCAATCGGGCTGCAAGTCGTGGGAAAACAACAGCAATACTGGTCCAGTTTTCAAGATGATCTGGATCGTATCGCGGAGATGCAAAGCAGCTTTTGCAATGTAGTGGAGAATCGAAACAGATATACATATGCCGAACGCATCCAAGCCGTTTGCTGCTACGCGGAATTGCCAGTTCGTGGAAGCAATCTTGTAGGTAAATCGGTCGGAAAGGGCATGGAAAATTATGGCTAATGAGAATTAGACAATGACGCCTGAATGGGCTATACTCCCCCACTTCAAGACAATCGCTATTCACTCTGATCATTTTGGCCTTACGAAATTTGAATCCTCAGCGGCCTCGAGCGGTCAGAATTTGGCCGTGTTGCTTTCGCAACTTGTCAAGGAACTAGAACGACGGCTACGTCTGGACTGGATTCTGAAGCTCATCAAGTACCGAGACCTAACAGCGTCTCCATTCAAGAACTTAGGCGCAGAGTCACCTTTGCCGGAGGGGTTTCTGGAAGAACTCGTTCCATTCCTCAAGGACGAGAACCTCCAGGTGCGGTCCGCTACAGTTGAACTGTTGAGCAAGGAGTCGTCTTTGCCAAATCGAATTCTGAAGGACGTAGTTCCGCTTCTTCAAGACAAAGACCCACAGGTGCGATCCTCTGCAGCCCTTGCCTTAGGAAAACAGTCGCTGTTGCCAAAAGCGATTCTCGAGGACATGATTCCGTTTCTTAGAGACGGAGATGCGGGGGTGCGATCCTGTACAGTCAGCGCCCTTGGGACACTATCATATTTGCCAAAAGTGGTAATCAAGAATTTGGTTCCGCTTCTTGCTGACGAAGATCAAGAAATTCGGTCTTCTACCGCTAATATATTAGCCACACATTTACGGTGACACTTATTTTCGGCAAAAGAGCTTCCGGAAGCCGTGACGCCTGACTTAGTGCCTGAGAACGCCCGCGACAAATGCACGTTGTCAATGAGAAACAGGTACAGTATGCGAGTAAGATTCAACAAGCCTTGCATGACGGGCAGCTTGCTATCATTATTGGGGCCGGCGTGTCTCTCGGTGCTACGGACCCTGCGCCACAGCGCATCACCTCGATTGGGCTTGTACGCAATGGCCTAGATTATCTTCCGCAAAAGACCTTCGTCACAGCCGACGATATACACTTGAAATTCTACCGAAGAACGGTTGAAAAAGACACTGCAAGTATTGGGGAGGTTTCACGAGCATTCAAATATCTTAAAGATATACTGGAACACGAAAACCAATTCTCCGCATGGCTGGAATCAGTCTTCGGCAATCTTCGTGACGAAGTGCGTCACCCGGAGATTTTTGAAGCTCTCAGTCGATTCCACAAACGGGGCGCAAAACTCATGACAAGCAATTACGACGACCTCCTAGAAAGCTTCTGCGGCCTGCAACGTGTTCGCTGGTCAATCGCGAACCATGTCAGAGATTACGAGAGGGGCACTTTGGACGGGGTATTCCATATCCACGGAAGCTATCATGACCCAGCCGATGTTGTGTTTGACTCGATCGATTACTTCGAGGCAGAAACTTCGGAAAATGTAAAGAATCTCCTCAGTACCTACCTCGAGTACAACACTATACTCTTCGTTGGATGTGGGTCAGAACGCGAGGGCCCTAATTTTAATACCTTGTTGTCGTGGGCGAGTAACAAAATGGCGAATATCCCAAACCATCATTATGTTCTCCTTCGACATGGAGACACTGTGCAGTACAATTCACTCACTACACTAGGATACGGCCACAGCTATAGCGATCTTGTGCCATTTCTGAATACGCTGCCGGGCGAACAAGGTTCTGGCCCTAGCCCTCTAAATCAGCCGACCATTGATCAGGGGAGGTACAAAGCCGTGGAGGTCGTAATTGCTGACGACGGAACGTTCGTAGGCGGGGATGAAAAGACCGCGGGTGACCTTGTGGTGGATTTGCTTGAACGTCCAATCGAGCAGCGCTACGTACGTGTGCGCTCGAGTATCACCCCGCAGGAAGAGCGAGATTATCAACTCAGAGCTCCAGACAGTTATATGAGGCTCCGAGAAGACCTTCGACTTTACACCGTGGCCCTCCAGTTCCTCCTCCGTGAAGGAATCCACTATTACCGGGCGTTCCAGGTGACAGATTTAGACAAGGCCGTCATTGAGTTGCGCTTTCTCGCCTTACCAGGTCTGGGAGAATATGAGCGTTGGTATGTTTGGCCTGTAGAGGCTCCAAATAGGGTGCTCAATGTTCGATTCCCCGCCACGACTGGAGACTTCGTGCGAAGTGGTTACTATGGGAAAACAACGCCCCGTGTGCGTGGAATGCCACAAGGTAGACCAATTTGGCTTACTTAAATTCCCCCTCACATTGTGTGGGAGCGAGTGGCTCCAGCAGCAGCGCTCCGCGCTGTGCAGGAAGCGGATAACCCTGGGGTTGTCAGCTTGGATACCTGGGTTCTCTCTGATCGCCCACCGGATCAACTAACCAGACAAGTGCCTGATGTTCCGCAAGGGACTTGACAATTTCTCTGAAATCACAGCAGATATTGAATCCCATGTTCACCACGGACTTATGAGTACTCGTATGGTCAGGAAGTGCAATTATCGCAGTCGGACATTGATTCAAGCAGAATATGGTAATTGGAAAGGCGAAGGCACACGATAGCAACAAGTCATAGGAAACTTGTACATAATCTAAACCTGGTAAATTCTGTAGTTACCTTTTAACGCCAGGTGACGGTTACATGAATCATTAACTGTCTTGGCTAACGAGGTTACAATGACTGGACCCCTTCATGTACACGAAATGCGTAATCACATAATGACGGCCATTATCTTCGAGTAACCTTGTAGTTCTGGTATGTCTTGGCTTCCAGGACCGTTGTATCATTCGTAGGACTTGCGCAATCTAGTTGTTTTGTCTGTGCTGCCTTGCCCTAGGGTAGTCTTGGGGGTCTACTACTCGCGGATTGAACGCTTTTCTACTTAGAGCTAAAAGACGGTGCACAACGAAGCGCATCAAAAGCAACATACAACCCTTCGCTATCTGTAGGTAAGTTCGCTACATAGTAATGATGACTAGGCCTGCCTTTTTGCTCACTCAGTAAGTTATCTTTCGAATTCCATTGTACTTCGCTCACTTGCATCGAAACCAAAATACGCACGCGACACATAGGAGCCTAATAATATGACGAAGTAATGACGAAGTAAGAAGCATTACCCTTTAGGGTAAAGGACCGATATTACGGTCGCATCGGATTGGGCTCGAGGTGTGGGTAACCCCGCAATTGAAGTAACATTGTGAATGGGTTTGGTTGCCGAGTGGGTTCTGGGACATCAACGCGTTGTGGACCTACTCAACGCGTTGATGTCATGCCTAGTAAACAATGGCGCGCACCGACTTTCAACTACTTCCCACTCGTTCCCCCATTGCCGAGTCACAACCTTAACAGTTACTATCTCCAACCCAGAAACGCTCTGGATTGAAAATCCTCAGACTTCCAAAATGAGGACAGCTGCACCCAAAACGCTCGAAGACCTTCCTGGGGAGATACGAAACCGAATCTACAAATATGCAATGGAAAACGAAAAGGAAATCGTTCTTCATCACTCCCCGTCGCCTCGTCCGGACTCCCCTTTCGATGGTCCCAACAGACAGTTCCTTGGTCTTTCATAAACGTCGCGAATGCTGCGAGAAGAGTTCCGTCCCCTCTATCTCGGTGCCCACAAGTTCAAGATACCGGCCACTGAACTTGCCACATATCTTGAGGCTTCTACCCAGACATTCAAGGCATTGAGAGAAAGCATCTGGTTGGCCATATCGAGCTGCTGGTTCCCCTTCGGAAAGAGGATCCGAGAGACACTGCTGCATCTAGAGACTTGGACTACACGTACTCAATGTTTGACCTGCTTCCAGTGCTCAAAGTAATGGCGAGGACGTCGGCTCCCGTGCTGGATGTAAGCCTTTCGCAGAGCATCCCTCCTCAAGAAGGGGATGAAGTCTGGACTGCGGAGTCGGACGCCCTCATTGCGCAAGACGTGGAGAGATTTGTCGAAGCGACTCAGTTGATCCTGTCGACGTGTGGGAGTGCGAAATGGTCTCAGGAGCTGGGAAAACTTGATCATCTATGGGTCTTTCCTTCGGAGCAGTCGCCACATTTGTCTTCGAATATGGGATAGAGCATGCGGAAGACTGGATGCCTACCTTCGAGGAGTTGCCGTCGGCTATTCCTGGCAGAGTGCCCTTGCATGTGGTTTGTCGTGAGACAGACCATCTACAAGCTCTTGGCTTTCCGATTGATACTGACGACTTCGATGTTATGGTCCGCCGGTCAGCAGAATAGAAGGTGAGCATTTCAGTGTGAATATTCAAAGCGGACAATATCTGAAGGTGTAAATGGCATGCTCTACTCGATATTAAGTCCACCAGGTTGGAGATTGAGTTCAATGGCAATAGTACCCTCTTTCTATGGCATTTTTCAATAAACCAATTCCCTTTGCTCACTCCGGATATCCAAACTTCCAACATGTTAGTCTTTAGTCTTCTCTTTACTAGCCCAAACAGTATCTCAAATTGTTCATCTTATACCGTTTTTAAACATCAACGCATCCGCAGTATAAGATGTATCCGGCTTCTTTGTTGATTGTGCAACTCTTTAACACGGTGAATGATGTAATCACGTGAGTGAATACGGATGGCCTGTGCGCAAGCTGGCATTCTGGCCCCACTCGAAGCTCCGTTACACTGTCGCTCTACTTGTAAGAGAGCCAGGCATCCATTTTAATGCTCCTCCACCCAACCAAGTTTACGCGCTCCTCTCGCCTTTTCTATCGTTATATCGCTCACTACCACAAGATGGCTGAGGCGCTCCCGCTCTCGGAGATTCCAACACTTACTTTACTTTACAAGCTTAACCGCATAACTCCATCTAGCGCAGACCGGCAGCTCTATTCCCCGAATGCAACCTACAACGACAAGATCTCTATAATCAGGCAAGACATCACTACGCTCGCCGTGGATGCTATCGTAAATGCTGCCAACAAATCACTCCTGGGAGGCGGCGGTGTAGACGGCGCCATCCACCGCGCCGCTGGACCCGAACTACTCGACGAATGCGAACAACTAAACGGCTGCGAGACCGGAAGCGCAAAGATCACGAACGGCTACGAACTGCCGGCAAAAAAGGTCATACATGCAGTGGGCCCGATATACTGGTCAACCAAAGCCGATGGGTCTCATGAACGACTGCTCAGTGGGTGCTACAGGACCAGCCTGGAGTTGGCTGTTGAGCACGGGCTGAAGAGCATTGCGTTCTCCGCACTCAGCACGGGAATTTATGGTTATCCGAGTGGAGAGGCGAGTGAGGTCGCGTTGAAAACAGTGCGGGAGTTCTTTGAGAAAGGCGAGGGCGATGCGCTGGAGAGGGTGGTGTTCTGCAACTTTATGCAGAAAGACGAAGACGCGTATTTCCGCAATGTCTCGTAAGTCCAGTTATCTGGTGGTGCTGAACACGATCTGACACAAATCGCAGGAAATACTTCCCAACTGCCAACTCCGGTACAGAGACCGAGACAAAGACCGGAACGAAGGTCGAGGCGCGCACCGAGATCCCAGAACACGAGCACGAGGCTGATAACGCGACGACGACAGATGCGGCGGAGCTAGCGGCCAAACTTCCAGATGCGCCTACCACAGAGCCGGTCACACCAGACAAGTCTTCTCCCAAGAAGCAGAAAGTACAGGAATCAGATGATGAGTATGTCGTAGTGGACAAAGAAGAGGCAAAAGGCTTGGCTGAAGCTGGGCTCGCACCTCCAAAGAAAGACCTATAACGGCTTGATTACGATTTCATGATATTACGTGCATAGGATTGGTAGGATAGCGGTTTTGGGTCATGGCACGGCGTTTGGGGCATTCTCAGGAGCACATAGTATCTTTACTATGACTCTCTGAAATGTCATGTTACTTTTCTTTAGCCAACTTCAAGTCAGCTACACACTCCCTAGTATGCCTCGGCGGCATGGATTCCTAATTCAAATGATACTTCAGCGGCTTGCAGCCGGCAATTACGCTCTCCGCTTCCGATCGAGGCATGTGCAAGAAATATCTATTATCCGCCGGAGACTTTCTAACCCAAAAGTGAAACATGTATTCGGTGATTACATAACTTATTCAATCCGTCTCCGTAAGAGCGAACACATGGTTAGATTGAATCACTCTTGTTTGAATACCTGGATGTGGCTTACCAGGACTAACTGCTGTCTCTCGGTCCAGAGCTTCAATGGTCACGATGTCCCAGAACCACCAAACGATATGACTGAAAGCCGTCCTGAATCATACAGGCTATCTAGTCCTGGGTTGCCAGATGACCCTAGCATTGATGAAGCACTGTTTGCGCACTGAAGTCCATTGAATATCCACTATTGCAGACAACCCCGACTGTGCTCTACCCGCCACTGCTGCGGTTCGGAGACCCAGCATTCCTCCAAAGCGTTCTCGCCGAACGGTATTTCAGTAAGATATACGCTATGCCCTTTCGTCCACCATCGCACATAGTCGTTCTCTGTAACAGGTTTTCCGATATCAAATCTCTCTTTCTGCGGGTCCTGATCTTCGGATCGCGGATCTTAGTCAAAGTGATCGACGCCCAGATAGCGCAATACCACTTGCAGCTAACTTGCAGAGAATACTCTGGGCAAGAGTTCCAATCCAATACTATTTGATCCTCGTGTTCAGAAGACTGCGCCGAGTACGCGCTCACTGTTTGCGGGTTGCCGGGGGGAAGGCCATATTGAGATCGGTTCTGATTTGAGCGAGCGGATTGACGAATGGGTGGTTGAGAACCGGGAGTCTCTTCTATATCCGACTAAATCTGAATGGGACTGCACAATCATTGGAGAGGTCTCGAAGGGAGTGGTGATTTGAAGCTGAATTGGGTCGAGCTACCCTACGACATTGTTCTCTCAGTTTTACGCCCCATGAGATGGCCAAAGTAAGAAGAGAAAGCTTAATGCTTTCTTTGTACAGTCATTCAAAAGCATAGCAGGAAAAGTGAGAGTACTACCTGATTCCTGCCTCGAAGCTCACACTGGCGAGCCGCTATTGACTTTGTCATGCCATTGATGGAAGTTCGAGACTGCCACATCTTCCACACCAGAGAAATACATGTTTGAGCATTAGATGCAAGTGAATGGCGGAAGCTCCACTGCAGCAGTTGCTAGAGGTGTCAGGACTTGACGTTACGAAAAAGCATGGGGGGTGCTCCTTGCCCGTCCAGATGAAGCTACACCGACGGTGACAGACAACAGTTGAAAGAGCCCACAAGATGCGGCGCCAGATGAAGACATGAGCAACTCGAATCCGATCGTTTGTATCCATAAGTCGACATGGCCGGCCGGCAACACTGATCACTGCCTGTTCAGCCAGATGATCTTGCTCTTGTAGTCTCCAGTTGGAAAGCGTATATTTAAACCCGCGTTCATATAAGTTGCCCCGCTGTAAGTCCCGTTATCTAGTGTATTTGAATACCGCGCTTTAGAGTCAAGTCCTTGTAGCTTCAGCGGGGGTACGGATGGTTTCGTCGTAGCTTTCTGCTGAAACGCAAACACAACAGACTGATCTCCCGTTCTAGACACAAACTGTGCTGCCGGCCAATTGCTTTTATCGGGTATAGCCAAGCGGTGGAATGAGCCGGATAGGACAAGTGGGTTAATGGCCTGAGCCTGTTCAATGATTGCTGGTACTGCTTTCTGTTCATCTTCGCTCATCTCCGAAGGATTCAACTCGAAACCGAAAGAGCCGCACATCATTGCCACATGTGAGCGGTATTCCATTGAGATGTTCCGTTTTGTGACCCCGTTGGGAATAGCAGAGACATGGCAGCCCATCGCTGACGGCGGATAAACCAACGAAGTGCCCAGCTGTATGGTGAGTCGATCGGACGCATCGGTATTGTCGGAGGTCCAGTGCTGTGGCCAATAATGAAGTAGACCTGCATCGAAACGCCCACCACCCGATGCGCACCCTTCAAAGAGAACATGGGGATAGGTGGTAGTCAGGTTGTCTATGACGCGGTAAAGACCCAACATGTACGCATAGTCGTCTGACGGATGACCTTGTTGGTGGATACCGCGGTTGTTATCCCATTTGATATATTCAATGTTGGCGGATTCAATAATTCGCGAGACCGAGCTGATGATATGATCCTGCACCTCCGGGAGGCCCACATTGAGTACAAGCTGATTCCGTGTCAGGGTTCTGGTGTGCCTGCCAGAATGCATTACCCAGTCCGGATGTTGCTTGTATAATGTGGAGTTCGGGTTCACCATCTCCGGCTCCACCCAGATACCAAACTTCAAGGACCGAGAGGTGTTGCGGACGGTATAGTTGTTGACTTGCTCAACGAATGGCTTGAGACCGTGAGGGAACTTCGCAGGATTGGGTGTCCAATCTCCAAGGCCAAGAGAATCGTTGTTTCTAGGATACTCCACACCAAACCATCCATCGTCCATGACGAAAAGCTCCACGCCGAGCTCTTGGGCTTCGCCGGCCAATTTTACTAAGGATGTCTCATTGATGTCAAACTCGTTTCCCTCCCATGAGTTGAGAAGGATAGGCCGTGTCTGGTTGGTAAAACCAGATCGAGATAGATGATTACGATATAGGTCATGAAATGACCTTGACATGCCTCCCAGACCTTGAGACGAATAGACTGCAACCGCTTCGGGGGAAGTGAAAATGTCTCCTGGACCGACGTTTATGTTGGTGTGTAGTGGATTTAGGCCGAGTAGTATGCGTACAAACCCATGTGAAAATCGCTCGACGGTGGCTGCAAAACTTCCAGTATATACCAGGTTGAAGCCCCAAGCTTCTCCAGTGCTTTCCGTGGTGGCGGGAGAAACAAGAGCAAAGAAGGGATTATGCAAGTGGGAAGAGAACCCTTCGGTGCTTCGGAACCTGCACTTGTTTTAGCTGCGGAAAACACTCAACACCTTCCCATCAAGCCTACGTTGTCTCGCCATAATCGACAGTCCGTTCGACGCGATTGAACTCATGTGCCCAGTCCCCATGTACTTCGATCATGTTAAGATCAAGGTTCGGGAAGTCCGTACTAAAGCTGGCGGCTCTTTGAATAGTAATGTTTCTCGTGCCATTGTTTGTGATTTTAAAACTTCTTGCGATAGCATTGTAATGCGGGAAGATAGAATATGACAGCACCGCGGAAACGTCCCAGTAGTTGTCATACAGCTTTACTAGTAAGGTTGAGACGTCGTCCTCTGTGCCGTAAGTTGAGGGTAGTCCCGGCAGAGTCGGCTTTCCGGCAAAGATCTCGTGCGATTGATACGTAAACTCCGATACAGTGCTTCCATCCGAATGCTCGATGTGTATTGCAGGCAATCTAAAGTCGCTACGCCCGATGTCCGGAAATTCTCGTCGCTTGGTAGCTAACCCGGCATTCCATCCGTTGGAGAACACGTACGCGGGTGGTACGAAATCGTCTGCCGGACCTCCGAAGTGGTCCGATATGATATCCCCTGTTGTTGGATCGATTTGAAATAGGTACGACACGTTGTCTCCAGTAAGAGTAAAGTTTGTTCCAGTGGCAGTAATCGCTGATTTATCAGTTCGATGTCTCTATTTCACGCATCTCGTAACTCGCCTTCCCCTGAGACCCAGCCGGCTAACAATATGAACACACAAGGTACCCAAAAAAGAATCATACTTGATGTAGACTGCAAACACCGGTTTCAGACGTCGTCCCTTTGCGGCTACGGCCCGTATTTTATACCAAATCTTAATACATGCTTTTCCAGCGTCCAGGGTTAAGCCAGATGACGATCCTTGCGGGGTACTTAAGGCACCGAAGAGTGCTGCGTGATTTTATATGGAGGAGGGAGTTGGAACCCAGCCTAAGCGATCTCATGGGAACAAAATTATTCGTCCATTCCACCGTCGGACAGTCTGGTTCCAGATGTCTCCTCCCCACCTGCATTGTACCGTTTGCCGGAATGCCAAATTCGGATCATAGGTTCGACAACATCTAGATAGAGAACCGAACACTGTAGCCGAAAAGTCGACGTCATTTCCCTTTGCGTATATCAGGAGCCAGCTGGGAGGTGCGGAAAGAGGGGAATGTGGGATTCAGTCGAAACTTGCACCGAAGTTGCCGGATTTAGTTTAGCGCGTTCTATTCACCCGAACCATACCCTACCCACGCAAAAAGGACTTCGTTCATCCACCAATGGCAACCATTTCGACCACTACGGCATTTGCATGCCTGCGATGTGCTGAATTCATAAAAAAGAAAAAAGAGAAAAAAAAGCCGTACAACCTCCTCTTGACGGCTGGATTCACTATGGCAAAGGCAACTTTCGTTCTCTATGTGTTAGGGAGGCGTTCATACTTCGCAGTTTTGTGGATATCACACTATTCCTGGAGCTCCAAAGCGTCGACAATGTAATTCGCACTCAGCCAGCTGGCGTCGCCGCTGCCATATACGCCCAGTGTCAATGTGTTTCTTCCCGCTTTGAAAGCGCTTGCCGGCACGTTGTACGTGTAAACCTCACCATAGCCGCGATAAGCCCCACGAGTTATCCCGCGAGAATCGATTAATTTCTGGCCAGGTTAGTCATTGAACACCACCTTGTCTCTGTACTTACTGGAGCTCCCGGGTCGCTCCCCGTCCAACTGCCAATCTTAACTGAAGGCCGGCCGCCTTTGAAAGACAGTGTTGTCCCGATGCGGAGGACATGTGCCTTGACTTGCGCCTGGGACAGAGAGAAATTGACGGTCACAGTTCCCCCTTGTTTTGACCACAGGGCCATAGGGAAGTCTTTTGCCGTGGACTGACCCACTGTATATGCACCGCCCCATGGACCCATTCGCACATCAGAAGGGTGCATTCGCTCGATCTTGTCTCCGTTTCTAAGCTCGAATGGCTGGCCGTCAAAGTTGCCAATTCGCCATATGACTGGTGTCTCCACCTCTTTTGAAGCGATGTCCTTCTGCACCGTCTGTCCGGCCGTGACAGTGACAGAGTCTGTGCTTACAAGAAACTCGCCCTTGTAGAGGTTCATGGTATACGATCCAGGTTTCATCAACGGAGATTTGTATGTGCCATTGGAAGCCTTGGTCCAGTATTGAGCCTGCGTGTTGTGCCAGTGAAGCACTGTTTCGAACTGGTTCGGCACGCCTGTCGCCGTGCCGGAAACCGACCCTCTACCAGTGCTTGGAACGTACCCCTGGATATTCAGACCACTGAAGAAGCTTGTATCCAAATTCTCTGATGGCTTCGCACCTGGCTGGCTTGTAGGTTCGTCAGTGTCTGCTGTTCCAATGTCGTTGACATGACTCACGTAAATGCCATGGCATAAGGCCCTTGCAGACCGAATCTCCAGGGTTCCGTACGCACATGACCACTATTCATGTACCAATACAGCTCTTGGTCGCTATCGCCAGTCTGGCTATTGATGTCTCGCATGAACGGGCCGCCTGCTGAAGTTTCATATGCTACTCCAGGCATGATCATCCACACCGACGCTTTCTACGGAGATGTGAGACAGGCGCATAAGAGTTTCAATAAACTTACCGGTCCGGAAACTCCATGGACGTTGTCGTCGATGAAACGATCGCTGGTATACATCTTGCATCTTGTCTCGCCATTTGGACACTTGAATGTATCCTTGCCTTCAAACGCCGTACATCCTCGAGTGTCTCCCACATTCCCATGGACGCCCGTCGGCAGTTCAGAAGTCCGCAGCCGTGCCAGCCATCTTAGCTCTCCGGGGTCGATCTCTCCCGTTATGTATGTCGCCATGTATATAATCGCTTCTTTCGGCTTCGCGACAAAGTAGTGAGTGAGCGGCAAAGATCCTGCTTTGACAGTAATCTTGACATATCCGTTCACGGTTTCGCCGGTAACTGTGGAGCTCCCGAGACCTGAGTTGATCGCGCTCGCCTTTCCAGTTCCTTGGTACTCGACGCCATTGTATTTGAGGCTCGTTATGTCGCCATTGGCGCTGCGCGGGGATTAATAAAGCCAGGCTGGCAAATGGGTTTATAGATAGGTCGGCGTACCGATTGACTTCAAATACCAAGCCTGCGTCCGTATCCACTTTGAACCTGGAGCTTGTGGAGGTAAGACCAAACGCTGCCAGAGCGCGCTGGCCACAAGCTGCGAGAGCCACAGCATAGAGTGAACAGCGCATCGCGACTGAGATTTCTCGTCCTGGCTGATTTCACTGCAAAAAGAATGATCAGACTTTATAGTCTCGAGGCGAAATATGTGCCTCTAGTGTTTCGCGCTTGTTCCCCGTCATCTCCGCTCCATCTAAGTCTGCTATTACCGCCTATAATATCGATGATATCCACGGAGCGCACAGCTCTCTAGATTGCGGAACATTATGATTTCCCGCACGCACACCCCGGCCCAATTGCGGATGCAATATAGAAGAGAAAGCCCCCGGTTCTTATTTCCCCGCAGCTTGCAGCTAACCCTTAGGAAACTTCCACGAAGATTTCGTCCAAGCTTCTTTCCCTTCAAGCGATCTCTCCCCTTATGTGCAGGCAAAGGCTCCACTGTACATAAGCAACTGCATTAGAGTAATGCCTGCGCTGCGCCGAATTTTGTAGGGCACTTACTCTTATTGAACTATTTAGTGCACACATGCAGATATGTACCACCTCGCAAATTAATCTCTGACATGTATACAAACAAACAGACCTTGCGGCACAGAAGTGCGAGGAGAAGCAACAGTAGAACGCGTTAATCAGCTCAGTCCCTACGTGACGCTGGAGTGTAGTACTGGCGGTAGTGGGGCTTTAGGCCATATAACAGTGTGGACATGTTAGTCTCTGTCCAATCAGTAATGCCGCGTCTCATAAATTGTAGACCGTTTTACGGGTCGTCATGTCTGCCGCAAATGATAGTCCGACCGCATAGCGGATGATGACCACCAAAGGTTCTGCTGGAATCTCTCTCAAAGATGAACGTTCTTCCGTTTTTATCTACGATCTAGCCTTCCATAAGCCGAGGTGCCGGGGGCAAGTGGAGAAGTCGAAAAGGCCGTGATGCGCCCTTGGTGAGATCTATCTTTCTCGATTTGAGCATGAGGGGCTCTGAAACAGTTTTGGAAGATGTCGAGTGTCTGCGGTTAAGGTTCTATCTTTCTTTATCTGAATTGCACAATATCTCGCTGATTTCCAATTCTTATCAGGCGTGGTATTAATCCTCCCGTTTATGATTGTCCGGTTCGCTCTGTACAATCCCTCCCCCTGGCGCAATGAACAATTCCAAGCATAGAAAATGCATCAAGGTAAGTGAGGGAAGGAAGTGATAGGTTGACTCTAGGCGAGTGGCAGATTATATGGAGTAATCGATCAGTGGGTTACCGAACAACCTTGGAAAGCAGTGATGATAGGCATGACCCATCATCGACTGTGTCCCTTCAAGAGCGACTTCCTTCTTCACTTCCTCAGCGCGGTTATTATGATAGCTTCAGTGGATTAGCCGATCTTACAAAATAATACGAATATCCGATATGCGTGATTCTGAGATTCCATTTTCGCATGTCGCAGTGCGGGCTTATGTCGAAGTTAGTGTAGTAGCGTTTGATATATATTCATCTGTTTACGCGCGTATATGGTTAGATCTTTTGTTCTCCTCGAGGATGCTGCAATAGGTGCGCCTGCCTACTTCGAGCATATTACGAACTTGGCAGCACTGCTGATTCGGGCATTCAGCCCATAGCTGCAGCTGCAGGTCCAATCAATCATCGATGCGTTGTCCATTACCCCCCTCAAGCTGCTGATCATCTAACTCTACATCCCCAACACCCTTCATTCTTTCTCGCCCTTCTTCGGCTTGCAACCACTGCGAACACTTTCTGGTACCAGAATTGCCGTCATGGCCGTGTGCAACTTCACCGGGAACGGGGACATGTACGGCCTCGGTATACGCCTTGGATACTATCTGCAATGGTTCAGCGCCATCTTCGCCGCTTGGATGGCTCGCTCCGAAGTCAAGGGCCTCCGTTTCTCGATAGATGTCTTCGTCGCGGCCTCGTTCCTCGCTCTCATAATCCTCACGGTCCGTGACGTAAACAGTTTGGAACCCGTCGAAGTCTACATAGTGCTATTACTCATGTTCGGCGCGTATCTGGCCTTGGTCCCCATATACATTTGGCGAATGTGCACTGGATGCGACCCATTCTGGGATCCTACAAGATATCCAATCGTCAATCCGGGGGCACTTGCAGCGAACCTTAGTTTCATTCTCCTGATCGGCGTGCTGGTATACCAATATTGGTTCTGGTTTGCACGGGTGCCGAGTCTGGATAAGAGGAACTGCCAGGAGTACGGTTTCCTGTTCGGTCAAGTGCGCCTGAACAGCAAAGCTTCCGTCGTAGTCAACGCCCTCCTCTATGCATTCCTCGGTCTCATCTGTCTCTACCTCCTAGCTCTCAAAGTCCAATACATGCTAGGCGTGGATCCCGACGACGGACGTAGGAGGAGGTCTATCAGCAGACGCGACAAAGATGCACACATCAACCTTTTGCGGAACATGGAAGGGTGGGGGAAGCTTCTTGTGGCTGTAATCATCATGCTTGCGACGGAGCTCACGGTACAGTGGAACGAGATTCAAGGAGTGAACACCCTCGCTGGCGTCGGTCAGACGATACCGTTTGTCATCGGTCTCATGTCCGCGGTGAGGATCCTTTACGTCTACTTCTACAAGCAGAATGCCGACGGCGGAGACTTCTATAGCGGAGCCGACAGTGGACAGTTGAGTAAACGTCAGCTTCCCTATGTTCGCACCCCTATAAGACATCAACGGGTACATCCTGCCAGATCGCATCACAGTGATCCTGAGGCGCCTCCGCCGGTGCATGAGCGCGCACACGCGAGGGATGGATAAGGGAAAAGTTACAATACGTATATGGGAAAGGCAGGAATATTATGGGTGTGATAACTTGGGTTGGCCTGAATAGAATCCGCTATGGTTGAGCCCCCTATCTATTTACTCGACAGTAACTTACGAATCTTAGGAGGGTTACTTCACCGCTATCGGAACTTGAAAAACTGGTCAACTGAGATGGAAACATCCATGCTTCGACGCCACCCTGTTTCGTTCCAGTCCAAGCGATCCCGCAGTATTTGAACCACTGAAAAGGCCCCATCAAGAGCGAAGAAGCAATCATATAACCTGCACGCTCTATCATTCACGACCACAGACAGTACCTGACCATGAATGTTCGTTGAACTGGTTCGAAGCTTGGCCATCAGGCACCCGAACAGCCTGGCAGAGAACACCTTATCGTGGGAGGACAAGACTGATAGCTTCGCTAGATCCAGCGCTCGATCCGAAGACAGGATGGAGAGACAAGACGGCCTGTTCTCATTCCAGGCCGGTTTAGACTGGTTTGCCGTTTGCGCCTCGCTGTTGAAGAACGCTCGCTTTGTACATAAGGTATGCTTTCATATATTTTTTTGCAGTCGAATATTTTCGGCCTCGTGGCGTAAAGGTAGCGCGCGGCCCTCCTAAGGCTGAGGCTGCAGGTTCGAGTCCTGCCGGGGTCGCGGAATTTTTGGCTCTGGAACTGGGTTGGGAAATAGATGTGGTGGAAAGTGGGGTGTTGAGTGGGGAACTGGCGCAGTAGATTCACGGAACCAATGGTTTGAGCCCCCGCGAGTATAATGATACCTTTTTTATACACAACAACTGTAAAGGGATTTGACAAAGACCTGAGATAAACCGAGGACCTTAGTTCACAATCTATAATCGGAGTGTATACCTATCCTTACTACGCTCAATGTTAGTCCTTTGTTTCCCAGAGTTTTTCTTCCTGTATTAAGGCGGCGGACTCGGGGCTGAAAGCATGTAAAGGGTTGAATGAACACTGCTCTTTCAGTAACCAGAAGTGGACAGCTATTAACATATCGCTAAGACTGTGATTCCTACGGATTCTATAATGCAGTCCCGCAACGGTAAATCTCGCGGTGCATCTCAATAAGTGTCTGACCAACGCACTTCTCTTCCTTCCTCTGTCAATCTTCGTTCTTCTCTGTGTCCCTCCGTCCTCTCTTCCTCCCGCGCCTTGCTCAACCTCCCATTCCACTTCTTCTGCCAATTGGCCCTCCAGCACCTTAACTTCAATTCCCGGTTCCAATCCCTCAACTCCCTCACACTCTCCGTATCTCCCAGTGCCCTCTGATTCTCCCTACGCACAGTCTTGATCCAATCCCAACATTGACCGATCATCTCCATTTGCGCTTCGCTTGGGCGCTGGCTGCACACCCTCAGTAACGTGTACCTGCCCGCCAAAAGCATGTCCGCCAGCTGTCGCTCGGGACTATTGATTCCTTCAAAATCAGGCGGAGTAAAAAGGTACTTTTCGAACAGCGAGCGAGCGATATGCGGACCCAAGGCGGCGAAGAAGGCGTCACCGTCACCGTCGTAGACGTAGTACAGGAGGAAGACGAGTTCGCGCATTGCTGGGTCGCGCAGCCAGGACTTGTTTGGGAGTTTTATGGAATCAGTTTCTGCCTTGATGATTGGTATTTCCTTTTCTGGATTTACGTGAAGAGGTGTGGGGATTGACGGTTTTCCCGCAACGGCTTGAGAAGTCGCGGTCTTGATCAATTTCATAGCGGCTTCGGAATGTGGGATAGTAGACGAATTTGGGTAGGTGTGTCCTCTCAGGAGGCTCCGCGGAGGTATGGGAGGCGGAGACGGAGTTGCAGCCGTGCGACACTCCATGCTTACTGTCCTCGAGGCAACACTGCGACCTGGTTCCGGCGAGGGCGACGGTGTTGCCTGGTATTCGCCTCCACTTATCGGCACGGGCTCGTCCGGCAAGGGTTCCACTCTCTTCTTCTTCTTTTCGCTCCACTGGCGGTTCAGCCTGTCCTTCCAATACTCCAGTTCGGATGGAGATACAGTGTACCATCCGGCCATGACTTGAGCAGCTCCGCCCGGCGACCTTATCCGATCTTGTGTGTGCAGTTCCGATGCAAAAGCTGCGGTGAAGATGATGGGAAGCCGTTCATTATGTCTCTTCTCGATTCGGGCGATCGTTGTCGTATGACCGTCGCTCAGTGTTTGGTAGTGCCGCCAGGCAAGCGTACTGAGCGTCACGAACATGATGCCCAGCGTGAGCACTCCGTCGATTGCACATACTCTCGTCTCGATTGACAGTGAGCGCAGTGGAGCTGGCGACATGTGCCACGGTTTCGAACCAGACTTCGTTTGAGGCAATCACTGATCGCTTGCCCAGGAAGGAGTCCGGTGACATGACGAGCGTGAAGTTCCCCTAGACCGCGGTGGTCCCAAGATTGGGAAACGCTGTTCTGCGTTGGCTTTGCAACCGTAGAAGTTGCTGTAGGGCGTCCTCGTCTCCGTAGTGAACAAGTCGCATCAGGCGTTTCATCTCCGCTTCAAGCGCAGCCGCATCGTGTGAAGGGTATTGAGCTGAGGTTGTCGATGTAGTCCTCGTGGATGTGGTGCTTGACATGCTTTTCCCGCTCGCTGAGGAGGCATAGGAGAGGGCGTCGGAATCAGCGTCTTTCCCCGTCCGTGTGTTCTGACTGATCTTGGACAACGTTCTTGCTCTCCACCTCTGGAGGGTTGAAGGACTGTTCTCCATGTTCGATTAGTTAAAAGACACCTTACAGATTTCGATTTGAATTGTGGTAGGAAATGTTTATTGATCAAGCAGGAGGGCGTCCGGAGATGATACATATATTGTACTTTCGGCCGCGATTCCGAGCAGTTGGGTATATACCCGCGCCATATCGCCCAACCACTCCTATCGTGATAAGACTATCATCATCATCCCGAGAACACGTATTATTGGTGTTGTCTTGGGCACTGGAGTTCTCTGGCCAAGACCTGGATCTCCGCGGTAGTCCTTTTCGGACATGGGTGGTAGGAAGATAAGCTCGAAATGGTGCGTTGGCCAATCAGGCATAAGCATGCTTATCCGTCTACATATCTAGGATAGTGATAGCGGGTATACGCATAGTCTCCCCGAAAAGTAGATATGGATATTTGATAAGGAGGAATCGAAATAAGTAAAAATAAGTAACCCAGTCGCCAAGTGGTTTAGTTGTTTCACAAATCAGTGAACAATTACATTCTCACGGTCAATTCTACGCCTATTTCTCGGGTGTGAATTGCTACTTTTTGAATTCCTCGAGTCTCCTATCTTGCTCATCCAACTTAACCTTATGCGCCCTACCTTCTTTCGTGAAAGGATTGACATCATACTTAGTAGAAGTCTTCAACCTATCGCAATCCGGCCTCAAAACCTCCTTCCGATCACCCGGCTGCCAAAACTCACAGAATTGATCATGCACATGGCCAGGCGGAGGCGAGCGCTCTAATTTCCAAACCGCATTCAGTTCTTCTACGGTCATAGTCAGCACGAGACGCTGCTTTGGCGGTGTGGACGAGCGACTTGGGATTGAGTTTAGAGATGTTCGACATGGTGATTTAGACTTGCTGCGAAGAAAATTGAAGCGGATCTTCTTGTTGAAAGGGTTATGCAGTTCTTTGCATTGCCCCAGGAGGTCTGATGGGTCAAAACCTCCTGCTCATTCCCTTCCGTCTATCTCTGGGAGGGTCAAAGACGGGCTTGTAGGACTCCGAGGGCCGTCGACTAACTCAACGTCCGAATCAGTCGGTCTTGGAACTGTTTATCAGTTGAACTTCCAGTGGGAGCTACGGACCGAGCCTGTTGGTGCTGTGAGTTCTGGTCATCGTCGCTGATATCCCAATCGGACGACCAGTCTGCACGTAGCTCTGAAAAAATCATCGCCGCCAGCGTAGGGTAGGTTTTTCCTTCTGGTGTTGTCCAGACGTGAGGCTCTTCTCCAAGCTTTTCCGCTCCGGGAGTTCTCCCACCCAGAGGGGCCTCATTGTCTTCCCCTTCCGCATACCTGCACACTTTGGGAGAAGCGTTCGTATTTTGGGTGCTCATGATACGATGCATTCAAAGCAGAAAGAGTCTTCTTGCCATTGATAGGATTGAGTTGGTAGAATGTCCCGCAGGACTTGATTTTGAACATAATGAACTACCTATGTATGATGAACAGCACTTCGATCAGAAAAGGTGATGATATCGCCCAACGTGGCCGTACCACAAACATTCGTTTACAACTGAAATCACTGTCCCCAGTGATTTCTCACTCCAACTCTCCAAACGACCTCGCCCTGACAATCAGCAACGTCTTCGATATACACCCCCCTAATCATCTGATCCCAGTTCCCCACACGTTCACTACCTATGCCATCGCAAACAACACCCACTCGCCACAGTCCTGAACCACACCAGAGTGACCACACCCCAAAACGACCCCGAATCAAGCCCTCCAAACACACTTGACCGAACTCAATACTCCCTCCCCAGGTCGTCGAATCGTTTCTCCCCCGGTTTACGTTCCGTATACACAGCGATCCGGCTGAGGAGCGAGAAGACGACGCATAGGCAAACGTAGGCCAAGCCGATGACGGGGAGGATGATGGAGCCAAACATTTTCGATGACGGACTGCAGCGCAGAGGAAGATGGCTGCGTTAGATTTTTCCGGTAGGCGGGTGTGAACTGTGAACCCGTTGAAGACGACCCTAAGGTTCTTGGAACGTAGGATATGTGAGTGTAGGCGTGGTAGTCCAAGTATCCAGCTGCCGGATTGTTGGTCGGGAATAAAGGTGCACGAATCGACTTTGCGACGCAATATGGTGATATAGATTGCCTAGATATGCAGCAGGAACACATGCGAGCGGTGCTTCATGTGATTGGCGTAAGCCGCGTTGTGCCGCAAACGGTCCGACACGAGGTTCCGACACATGTGCTGAGAATGGTTTGCGGTGTAGACGATACGCGATCTTTCGTGCCCCAAGAGTAAGGTAGTCCCGAAAGTGTGGCGCTCTTGCTGGGCGAGGCTCACAGTCTATATGGACACTTCCCAAGGGTGACTGCGCCGCATTGAGAGATGGCTGAAGACAAGTATTCATAAATGATAGAATCCATACGGATCGCAGAATAGATCACATTGGAGATTGGCGCTAATATAGCAGCTGCAGTCACACTAGCCTAGCCCAGAACGAGTTGTGGACGTAACTCTTCCACTAGAGATTATATGATGATAACAGTTGAAACTGCACTGGACTCAACTGCACGGGTGTTTAGACTTTCAGACTAAACATCGCCGTCAGGAGGCAATCCTAAATGATGTTGACAATATTGGCATAGTTTGGACGCTCATTTCTGATTGGCAGTGCAATGGTAAACCACTGTCCGTGTAAAAGAACGTAGGCAGACATTCTCCCTCCCACATCATCTTTCTCGACAGTAACTTCCTCCTTCACTCCTGCATTAAGTAAACTGCATTGTACCTTCAAATAAAGCTACTACCAGTAAGCACCCAAATTCCTCCGCATGGAAATCCGAACTGGACTACTTTTCCTCGCAACCCGAACCTGTTCCCCCTTCAACCTCCTCCGACTTCGCCGCCGGGATGGAATAAATCCCTGATCAAAATGAAAAAGCATAGCAGCTACAGGCCAAACATGGGCTTGCGGCAACTGTCTTCAAGCTGGAATAAAGTTACTGTCCCATCTAGCGCAGTGAGGGAGATTTTCTTAGGTGCGGACGTCCTGGCTTGGAAGGGCACTGTCACGGTTAAGGTTAGGGAGATGGGTGGGTGTGACATGGTATTTCAGGAGGTGCTTATTGCTTAGTGCAAGTAGTGCGGTTGACTGGAGAGGGTTATTTGGAAAGGGATATCTGTTCTGTGCTTTTGCATTCGACTTTGTAATAAAGAATGTTTCGTTAATAGCAACCTGTTCAGGCTAGTTTACCTCAGGCCAGCGTAATATTCACTAATTCTACAGTCTATATGCCTCATTTTCCATCATCACACACAGCTCAATTTCCCCCCGGCCCCATATCAAACAACAAAAACTCCGCCGCTCTCTCCCCCACACTCTCCACCTCAATCCTCCCCGGCCCATGTACCCCCTCAACATACGCCCCATCCCCCTCCCCCAACACAACATCCCCAACCCTAATCCTCGCCCCTCCCTCCCTCGGCTGCTCCCGCTCACCCATAACCACATGCAAATACACCTTCCTCTCCCCCTGGGCCACAACTTCATGCACGACCCTTTTCCCAGGACTCAGAATACACGCATCCATACTCAAATCCGCATCAAGCGCAATCGCACCCTCCCCCTCACCCTTCCTCTTCGTAGACTCCATAACCCTAACCAACCTATCCCTCTTCACCTCATCCCCAAACCGCCTCGTCTCATACCTCGGCTTCAAGCCCCTGGTATCCGGCCGCGCCCAAATCTGCAAAAAATGCACCTCCTCGTGCTTATCGCGGTTATACTCCGAATGTCGGATCCCCGTCCCCGCGCTCGTGAATTGCACATCGCCCCGCTTCAGATACTCCAGGTTGCCCAGGCTGTCTTTGTGCTCGAGGGTGCCGGAGATGATGTACGACCAGATGAGGAATTCGGCGTGGGCGTGCGTGCCGAAGCCCGTCGAGGGCTTGACGCGGTCTTCGTTGATGACGCGGAGGGGGCCGAAGCCCGTGTGCGTGGGGGAGTGGTACGTGGCGAAGGAGAAGGTGTGGAAGGTGTAGAGCCAGTCGTGGTTGGCGTGGCCGCGGGCGTTCCAGGGGCGGAGGGTGATTTTGAGGGGGGAGGGGGTGGACGTGGACATTGTGCGGATGGGGGTTCTGGACGTTCGGGGGAGCAGGGTGGTGAGGGGGGTTCGAAGGGGAGTGAGGCGAGCCAGTGTGGTCGGGAGGGCTGCGATGAGAGCTGCGACGAGGGCTGCTGTTACTCGCGGAAGGTTGGTGTTGACGTTTGTACTTGTCTTGTTCGAATCGATTGCGATGTACTGATCGGTGATCGTTGCTGGAATTGCTGTTATCGGAGGAGGAGAGACCTTCAACCCTGGACTCGAGCTGAGGCTTTATACATGTTAGTCGGGCCTGTTATTAGTTCCTGTATCCAGTGGAAGCTTCGATTTTGAAGCCATTTTTCTTCTTCGATGGTGGATTTGCAATGATTTGGTAAGGTTGTGGAGAGCTATCGGGAGGGGAGCTCCTCTTTAGCGGCTGACAAAGCTCGGCTGTGAGCGCTTCCGGCGATGATCTGGCTTACATAACATTGTCAATACTGAGTACCACAGCCAATCTGAACAAGCCTATACGCTAGATAGTGAATCTTAAGGTGGGATTGATTCCGCTATTTCTTTTGTAATGATTCCTGATCAATCAATCCAGAAACGGTGGCGGTAAAGCCCACCAGCGACAACAACCAAGCCTGACCATCAATTCAGTTATCACGTCCCTAATAAATGGTGATGTTATCCATCCAGCGTGCAAGGGAGGTAGCGTGAGTTACAAACCACAAATGTGTTGCGTGTTATTTCCTTGTCAGTCGTTATTGCTTGGTGTGTAAGGACTTATGCGTAGGTTGCTTCCTTTGTGAAGTCCTCGGCCGTAGTGAATATGAACCTCCCATCAAAAACCCCCTACCTATGCATCGCGTTCACGCTCTCCTACTCCTACCCCTTTCCCTTCCTCTTCCCTTCCCCTTCCATCCCTACCACTTCGCCTCCTTCCTCGCCATAAACTCCTTCAAGATCCCCACAATCGTCTCCAGCGCCTCCAACCACTCGCCCAACTTGGCATCAATCTTCGCCTGATCATCACCCAGCTTCTTATAAAAATCCTTGCGGTACGGCGTCGCGGACATGGCGGCGCTGAAGATGGGCTTGACGACGAAGCTGTGGTGCGGTTTGAGCGTGTTGCCGTAGGCGCCACGGAACGAGGCGCTGAGTTCTTCCGAGGGGTTGGCGAGGTTGGAGCGGAGGGCTTGGGCGGTGAAGTCGAGGCCGCTGTTTTAATAATATCAACATTGGATGTTGCATGGAGTACTTGAATATCAGGAATCGAAGGGGTTGGAGGATGTCAAGGAGGAGCGGGAGCCAACGTACCGCGACAGCCACAGCAAGCCTTCTGTTGCTACATGCTTCTTCTCCTTCAGCTCATTAATCACCAAGTCCTGCAGCGTCTCCGACAGCGTAGGAGCGGCGAGCTGCCGATCGCGAATCTTCTTGATGTTGCCGCCCATGTCGTTCTTGACGGGTTTGAAAGCCGCGGAGCCAAGGACATCTAACAAAACATAGCAGTTAGCTCTGCTTTTTGACATCCAGGGTTTCAAAGTAGGAGGTGGGGAGAGTAGGGGATGTGGAGTTCGAAGCATGGTAAAGTCTGAACAGGGAACGCAAAAACGCACCAAAGAGCGTTATCAAGCTCTCCGCCGCCTCGAGAAACTCAGTCGTGCTAATCACATTATCCTTCGAGGCGTCGACGGGCACATCGACGAAGCTGCGCTTCAGCGTGTCGAAGAAGGTTCCGCCAGGGGGGTATGCAGTCGCCATGTTGTCGCTGTCGATGTCTGATGCTCTGCGTGCTCGGGCCTATCTGTGTGCGGAGACGAAGAAAGAAATTGGAACGATTCGATTCTATTCTAGAGGATTGAGGAATGAGTAGGAGAAGCTGTCTGTTGGAAGAACAGCTGGTATAAGTTTACTTCCAAACACTCGACGTCTCCCGAAGTCCAGCCTCGACGCGGGGTTGGTCCAGCCCCTGCCGCAGCCGCACCCCACTCCGCGGAGCTAACCCGAACAGGTATCCCATTACTTCATGCTCTCAACGTATAGCGACGGCCGCGAGTCGGTAACAGTCGCGGATTCAATTGCACTGAATCTGGAGACGGGATACTGATATAACTCCTTCTTCCCCCTAATCCCCTCTCTTTCTCTCTCGGGATGGTACATACAACCGGACGGGCTGGAGCAGCTCAAGACGATGCCATTGACTTCGGTGCTGTAGGATGACCCGGTACGCGCGCAGACGAAAGGTCTCGGAGGGTATAAAAACAACAAAGTAACCGACACCGTATGCTCCTAGCGGGAGAAGCTTCTCCAGAACCCATATCTCCCACAGAAAAAATGGAACAAGATATCATACACGTACCTCCCTTCCTCTCCCTTCCCACTCGGTCTCCTCTGCCCTCACTCAGCAAACACAGCCGGCAACACAGTCTCCTTCAGCCTCTCCCTCACCCTCGTCCTCCTCTCCCCCGTCCTCCCATCCTCAATATCCTTCCACCTCCACCCCCTCCACACCTTCGTCGCCTTCCCATCAATCAACGTCATACTAATCGGCCCAAAATCATTACTATCATAACTCTTCCTCCAATTATCCCCCTCGACCCAAACATGATTATGCGGAATCAGAACACCGCCCTCCTCTCCCCCTTCCACCAGCCCATCCATAAGCCCCACCATCTTCCCCCGCTCCGCGCTCGGCACCGTCGCGTACCCCCGTGAAGGAAACACGACATCCCCCGACAACCCAATTACCCTCTTAATACTAATCTCCCCCGGCCGATGCGGTTTCCAAAAAGTGATGATGTCGCCCCTCTGCAACCCCGCCGTCGGCACCAGCCGTCGGATCCACACGAAATCCCTCTTCCCCGTCTCGTGCTCCTCTGCCGATAACGAAGGCGCCATGCTGCTGCCACGCACCGTGTCGACGCTGAATATGTGGTCCCGGATGAAGGTGACGCCTACGGTTGCTATGATGCCCCATTTCAGCGCCTTGGGGAGGCTGTGCCACAGGATGCGTAGGAAGAGTCGGATGCCGCGCACGTTTTGGAATTGGGGTGGGATATCCGAACGTGGAGGAGGCGGGGGAGGCGGAGGAGGTGGTGGTCGTGATCGAGGAGGAGGAGGGTTCGGAGGGGGTTGAGAGGCGTGCGAGGGGGGTATGGAGGTTCGAGGAGCGGGTGGTATGGTCTTGAGTGTGGGTTTGACGGCGGGTTTGGGAGGAGGTGTAGGAGGTCTTTTTTTGAAGATTGGTGCCCGGGAAGGACCACGAGTCTTGGAGAGGAATGCTGCGAAGGAGCTAGGTTTGGGCGGCATGGCGACCGCGGCAAGGAGGCTGGGTGGGAAGACAATTATCTTCCGAACATTCGTTGTTTGGTGGATGTACTATGTAGTGAGGTTAACTGTTGGCCAAGAGCTCGCGGACTTCATTTTACGCTAACTAGATCTGGTAATACCCAACCTCTCAGGACATCACCAGCAAGCGTTCCATCGGTATATCGCTTTTGCACATTCTCGCTGATTCTCTAATATGACGACAACACTCAAGCACAGAATACCGAATACACTCATAACGGACGTGCATATACTACACCGCCGACCATACTGTACATATCGACGAAAAGCATCGCTCCAAAATCCGCCATGCCTTTATGCTCGTGAAAAATGGTTGATAAGAATTTACTTCAATGCCTTGATAACCGCATCAGCATACTCGTACGTCTTCGCACTTCCGCCCAGATCGCCGGTGATGGTCTGTTGAACGTTAGCCTCTGATCATTTCTTGAGCTGGTGTCCTTGCTTACCTTGCCCTCCGCAATCGTCTTGAAGATGGCCTGCTGGATGTTCTCAGCATACTCATTGAGACCCATGTGCTGCAACATCATAATGGAGCTGAGGAGCAGAGCAGTCGGGTTGGCGAGCTGCTTGCCCGCAATATCGGGGGCGGAACCGTGGACGGCCTCGAAGATGGAGCACTCGTCGCCAATGTTGCCAGAGGGGGTAAGACCGAGACCACCAATAAGACCAGCGCACATGTCAGACAGAATGTCTCCGTACAGGTTGGGCATCACCAGGACCTTGTCGTTGTAGGGGGTGGGGTCCGTGACCATCTTAAGGCAGGTGTTGTCCAGCAGCTCGGCGTCGAATTCGATGTGAGGGAACTCCTTAGCAACATCATGAGCGGTTCTCAGGAAGAGACCGTCGGACATCTTCATGATGGTGGCCTTGTGCACAGCGCGAACCTTCTTCCTGCCAATGGCGTCGGCATGCTGGAAGGCGAAGCGCAGAACGCGCTCGCAAGCGTCACGGGTGATCAGCTTGATGCTCTGGACAACGCCATCCACCACGACGTGCTCGATGCCAGAGTACTCTCCCTCGGTGTTCTCGCGAATCAACACAGTGTCGACATTGTCGTAGGGAGTCTTGAAGCCCACGATGGACCTACACGGGCGGACGTTGGCGAAGAGGTTGAAGGTACGACGGAGTGTCAAGTTGAGGGAAACGTGGCCCTTGCCGACGGGAGTCTACTCTTATCAGCACTGTTTCGAAAATCCGAACGGGTAACATACGGCGAGGGGACCCTTGAGGGCAACGTAGTTTTTGTTGACGCTCTCGATGGCCTCGTCAGGAATGACTGTCTTGCCATCCTTCAACCGCGGCGTGACGTCGACCGTCTCCCATTTGATCGGCACCTTTCCAGCTATCAGTACAACCCTTTCGACCGAGTTGAGAATTTGTTCGTACATTGGCGGCTGAGTAGATGTCCTTGACGGACTGCGAGATTTCCGGCCCAATACCGTCACCCTCGATCAGGGTTACTGTGTATTTACCCTGAAGAGCCATTCAGTCAATGTTGTTCAAGAATGCCGGATTGGATTGGCCATATCAGAATGGGATGTCGCATACATCGCTACCCTTCTTTCCCTTGAAGCCACCGACTCTGTCCTGCGCATACGACCGCGTTTGTGACTGATACGAAAACAAAGTCAGCCATGGGTTTCTTGTGAGATATATCCGGCCCTAAGAAGGTCCCAGATAAGTGCAATCGAACGAACCTGCATGAGCGCGGGCGCCCATCTCGAAGCTCCGTTCGCGCGGCGGAGACACTGTCGCGCCGGAATGGCTACTGAGCGGGCAGCCAACATTGTGATAGACGATATTAGTCCCTAGTATCCAATTGAGCCACGCGCAAAGATCGTAGCTTGGGTTGAGGGCGTTGAGGGCGAAGAAACAGGCGGTTGTTGGAGATCAAGATGGCTGAGACCCAAAAAAGCAAGCTCCGCGCGATAGCAAGCCCCAGACGTGCGCCAAGAGAAATCACATGCAACTACCCTAAAAAGCCGCAAATTTTTCTCCTCAACAGTAAGAACAATGTTTGTTTTATTTGACTAGCGCATGTTCGTCTCGAACATTTATTTGTTATGGAACTCTTCCACAAGTCGTTTCATATTGCACGGTTTTGGCGCTACGAGCGATTCGAGCTCAAGCATTGCCGTAAAAGTTTGCATCATACACCGATTGCCATTTTAGGACGTTGAGACAGCCTTTCATCCGTGTCTCCACAATATGTCAATGGTGTAGCATTCTGTTGGGAACCAGAACAGGACCGTTAACGTGAATTGGCTGTGTACGGTTGTAAGTTCAGACGTGGAGTAAATCTATCCCGCTGCGGGCTGGCTCTGGTTGAAAAGTTCGCCCAGACCTATTTATCTATCGCCTTTGACACTGTGCTGAGGAGAACGGGGTCGAAAGCATCAAGAAAATGGGGATACTTCGTGCGGAGCCCAAGGGCAGCTCTCCCGACTGAGAAACCCGAAAGGCAGTTGCGAAGGGACATCACTGTACGGAAACGTGACACTCAACTATGCCGGAGAGTGTCTACAAGCAGAAAACATAGAGTCTATTTATCTATCCCTCAGCAACCTGCTCCTTGCACTCGATAATGCCGCACTCTGGCGATATGCAGAACATCACTAAGACCGATTCGCAAGCTCAACAGCCTCCTTCACAACCTCATCCAGCGACTGCTCCGGCAAGCCAAGCTGACCATTCCAAATCTTGCGCTCCTTGGGGAAATCGTAGCCCACATCCACATCCGCGACGAAGCTGAGAGCAAGCAGACCAAAAGCCGCATTGAAGTCGCCCTCATCGTACTTCTTCCTCAGCGCAATCAGTTCCGGCCCGGACTCTTTCTTCTCGACGGCGAACTTCTCGCCCGTCCGTTTTTCCAAGCTAGAGATGATTTCATTGGAGCTGGTGACGAAGTCGGTAAGGAAGATTTGCTGGTTGGCGGTCTCTGCGGGCTTGAGGAGAGCACGCACGACAGCCAGGCCCGTGTTGCTCGAGGTGGTGATGCTGAATTTGGAGTCGCCCGAGTCCCAGACGGTGGCTTTGCAGTTCTTGACATCTATGCCCAGGAAGTTGCCGCTTTTTGCGGGATTGAGGGCCCTAGATTCGTTAGCCGTGCCCAGGATTAGCGATATCCGTTGACTTGCCAGTCCAACCACGAACCGCAGGCGAAGCTCGTCCAGGTGAAGCTCCCGTTGGACTCGTTGGCTCTCTTATTCAGGTACTCCAGCATCTTGCCCTTGGCATCGTAGATGGGCACCAATTTTCTTGCGCGGGGATCGAGGTTGTCTGCGCCAAACTCCGAGGGGACGAATCTCTTGACGCCTGCGGCAATGGCAGCGTCGATGATTCGGAAGGCGAGGTCGTCCTTTGTCACGGGGCCGGTACTGAGAGCCACGACGACGGCATCTTGGCCTCTGAAGGCTTCTGTCAATTCCTCGACTGTGTATGCGTCGGAGATTGTTTTGACGGGGACGCCGGCAGGGAACTTTGCTGAAGAGCTAGCACGTGTGAGGATGGTGGTATCCAGAGAGGGCTCGTTGAGTAGAGCGGTGAGGATGGGAGCTCCGACTGAGCCAGTAGCCTGCGTGGTATTAGATGTGCACTGTTGGATTGTGTTGTATATGGACTTACGCCGGCGATGATGATTTTCTTGAGGACCGGTATGGACATGGTGAGGTCGTCTGCTTGCTTATCCTTGTTGCTTCCGTTTCAGTATGCGGTGGTAGATTGAGCAGCGGCTTCAAATTCCTAGATAGTGGTGAATTGCTGTGGTGATGTTCTTGTGGTTCCTGTTGTTGATGTTGCTTTCTGTTTCAGCATATTCTCAGAGCTCTCCTTATATATGTATACTTCAGGCCCGCCAATTCCTGATAGTCTACTAATCAATGCACAACAGTCTGCTGAAGCCTCGGTGTCCTACGCGAGGCTCCGTTCGGCATGGTTCCATGACCCTTGGGGATCCTACCGATGCCGCTCCTGCAAAATGGAGATGCCGCCCTATGAAAAAGATGCCGCTGCTACAAACCGCAATGAATGGATCGTCGCATGCCCTATCGTCAGATTACTCCCGATTAATCATCCTGCTAGCGCAGACTAGAAACATGCCAGCACGCAGATGGCGTAGCGGATACTCTACGATATGCGCCCCCTCAGCTGGTTCAGCTTGGTGTTGCGTGATTAATCAGCCGGGGATCAGTAAACAGTAAAGCAAGCACGCAAAGTTATGCCAAAGCCGTTGAATCGGCAACCATACGGTCTACCTTCTGGGACATGCAGTTAGAGAAAGCTGAAGTAGACGGCACAAAGAAAAAAGTGACGGCATGGGAAATGGTTGACGAGATGCTGTTCCCTGTGCTAGAGCTGGATATGTCGGTACAATGCGGGATTGGATAACCTGTGTATGCGACTACAATAGGTCGTAATTTCAGTTGCATATTGGCAGCAGTGTACCTCCCAATTTTGCTATGGCGCAGCTTCAAGAGCGAAGGAGGTTGTGGTTGATGTTGGTGTTAAGGAACGTTTGAGGAGGGTGCTCAGTTGAGGATGGGGCTTCAAGGTTCCAAAAACCATGGCGCTTGCCGAAAAGAGCAAAGGGCGCTTTTTACAAGTAGTGTCCTTGGCAAATCTAGCTCCCAACGACCATCCAAGAACTCACCACCACTCACCACTCAACCCATGCTGTTTCCCCGTTTTCGCCTGCCCCAGGTTTTCGCCTCATGCCAGCCACGACGACGCGTGTCTGCGACGGAAGCCAAGTCAAGCTTGCTTTTGCCTGATGTCTCTTTGCCATGCCGGAACAGCCGCAGACGAGCCTCCAAACTCGTCACGTCCACTCCACAGTAAGCATCCTACCGGACAGTCTCCTTTGCTGGAATGCACGATTACTACTTTGTACGTAACAGTACTGTGTAGAACGCGTCTGCTACGGCCTGGCGGATGAATTCCGAGCTCCCAACGGTCGCCAAGCTACATTCCATTGCCTTCGTCGTCCCAGCCTGGACAACCGGAAACAGACGTGTGGGGCAATGACGTAGGATCAAAGCACAACCTCCCATGGCATGTCTCTTTCCGGACCACACACTGGCCTATCCCGGGGTTCCCTCCTTTTCCAAGCCCTCCCTCTAAGCACCAATTGGCAAAATCTGAGGTTGACAGTCATGCTATGACTTCTGGTGCCCAAGGCCGTGCTTTCTGAAAGCACCGCCGCCCTTCCAGACTGGTTGTCTATCTTTATCCGGCAAGAAAAGTGCATTCTTGAAGCCGTTGACAGACTAAAATCTCCGATTGGGCTCCGGAACAAAGAAGCGGGCGATTTACCAGTAAAGCCATGATTCGACCTAGCGTCACTTCTCGTCATGGCGACTATCGGACCCTGGGGTCTTCGAGCTTCTACCACAGTTGGGCAAATGTCAATCCGCGTATTCAAGCTCTACCATGAGTACTATGCCGCACGGCCATTCTCTTCACGCATGGAGGGATCGACCCATGAAACCACTCCTTGCATTTCCAGTACTCGAGAGCAATCTCCTGGCACGGCGGACTGAGGCGGTGCATCAAGTGGCGAGGTCCGGCGAAGGAGCCGCGTAAGGACGGTGTGGGGGATCCAGTTCTCCGTCTTCGCTGTGGGACAAAGCCCGGATAGCTCCGACTATTGTTTACATGCAGCCGGTGAGTGGTGCTTGCCGGCTGGACTAGGCATGGTTGTCGTACTACGTTGTTTCCGCTGGGGGATATAAAGCCATTCCTCACCCAGGAATTGCTCGGCCCATCTTCCACCACACTGTTCCCCACAGACGGACCCTTTCCAACGTTCACTTGACACCAACACCGTATGTGCCATCATAAAAGGTCTCCTCTCGTCCCCACTGCTTGCTAACGAACTTCAGATTCACCCATTTGAACCTCATCATGCGTTTCACTACTGCCTTCGTCTCGGCCCTGGCCGCTGGTGCTGCCTCCGCTCAGGTTTCGTCCATCATTCAGTCCGTTGGAGGCGACATCACCTCTGCACTGGGTTCTGTCCTCCCGACCGGCTCCGTTGCATCCGACATCAGCTCCGCCCTTTCCTCCCTCGAGTCTGGAATCTCCTCCGAAGTCAATTCCATCACCTCGGAACTCGCGACAGCAACCGGCGGTGTCGCGACCAGCTTGAGCGAGGTCTTGTCTTCCATCGAGTCGAGTGTGCACAGTGTCGAGAGCTCCCTTGTGACCAGCGCAACTGAAGGTACCACTGGCGCTGCCGGCGCTACTACCACTGGCACACAGACTGGCACGCAGTCCCCTGGCGCCGCAGCCCCTACCGCCCTCCCTGTCATGGGCGCAGTTGCAGGAGGTATTCTCGCCATTGCCGGTCTGTTGTAAAGTGGAAAGCGCCCAGCCTTTGCAAAGACCAGCTGCGCAACAAATTGGCTAGATGCCGTCGAGTGGCGTTATGGACCGGCTTAGGGAAGTCGGCAACTAAACCCGACGGTGCACCGGAATAGCTCGGTGGTAGCTTCAAAAGAGTGGAAGAGGAGTTCTGACTTCTAGATATCGTGTGGGATGTAATGGTAGTCGAGCTTACATGGTCGAATTGACTATTTCGAGTACCTGAACTTTCGCTCCTTTACAATGTTGAAGTGATGTTTCTGAGTGAAGAGTTACTTTCCCACTATTCAATCATTCGGTTTCGTGCGATGCCTTCATCAATTACCAATCAGTGAGATCCTCCGCAGTGCAGCTGTGTTTGCGTTTGATGGTCGGACTTCCTAATTAGGCACTAGCTCTTGTTGTATAGGCAGCGAACGATATGAGCGATGGACATCCGTACACAACCACAACGTCACTTTTTGACTATATAAACAACAATTATTCCTATAATAATCGCCCTGAGAACACAGGATAGCGAAAAGGTCTAGCAGCTTCCAACGGTTGAGGCTGAGTCACGCAGTATTGCATTGATTCGGCTGCTCGACCTTTTTGTCTTTTGGAGGGCTTCGGTTCGAGCCTTGCTGTGTCCATGGTTTTTTTGAATTTTTGCTCTTTGGTTTTTTTGTTGCCTTTTCTACTTGTATGTCTTCAGTGGAAGAGCGGTGACACCAGGTGAGGAGCGTGGGAGTGAGGTGAGGGTTGGGAAGGTATCTACCACAGGAAGTTTGGCTAGCTTACGCGTCGAGAGGCTTGGGAGTTTGACAATAACGGGAGTGTTTCATCTGCATACAAAAGACGGTCAGGGGTCAAAACTACAGCAGCTGCGGAGGGCGAATGCAAGCAGACTCCTAAGGTGGATTGATTGTACAGCATATAGGGTTAAGAGATATTACGCTACCCTGATATGTACGGAGTGGTGAGCGACTTAGGCGTCCCCTCCTCGCCCACCCCAACGTGCACATCCACCTGCAGTGATCTTGCGCAAATGACGAAACAGGCTGAGCTATCCAGACGTCCCCTTCGGCTCACTGCTCACACTTGCATTGACTAGACAGGTGACTGCCATATACCCTCGCGCTGAAGATCCCCTCCTCCCACTGCCTGATTCCCTTCCATTCTGAATCCTGCTTCTAGTGTTGTCCACCTAGTATCCTTCCATTCATAATTGATGCCTCCGCCCCGGCCCCGACGCCAGCTCCTTCTCGCATTCCCGACATATGCCCTGCGCAGCTGGACGTCTCCAGATACACCGGCACATATTAGGTTGCAGCAACGCCCACCCGCGATATGTTGTTAGGGTTGGAAGGTCATGATGTATCAGAGACGGTGAGTTGGAAGATCAACTTCCTGTTGCCACTTGGAGGGTGACATGGCGGACCAACTGAGGAATAAGAGAGGCTCGCCAGCGCGAAGAGCTGCCTCAAGCATGGATGATAGCCGGGCCCTTGCATGCTTTCGCGAACGGCAGGAGAGCAAGGGATATATCAAGGGTGTTTGGCCTGATCTATCGAGGGGTGGTGTTGATGCTGGCAACGGAATTGATATACAGAAGCGGCTGAGAAGCCTACAGGTAGTTTCGTTGGTACTCTCGTGGGGGCCGGGCACAGGGCGTCTTGAGCCGTGCCGTGGTAGGAATGATGTGGTGTCGTGGCGCAGGGGGGTTGGCGGAAGAAGGGTACTGAACAGATGGCTAGAGTCAACGGGATGGACTCGTTCTGCAGCACGATAGTCAAGTCCCTGACGTTTCCCGCCAGAGAGCTTTCCATCGACTCTGACTCTAGGCGTGCACTCCTATAGCCAAAGTTGCTAGAAGGACTTGTGTAGTTGGCGTGATGCAGTAGAAGGGTGCCCTAGTACCTAGGTACTTAAAGGGCAGATCGAGCAAGCGCATGCTGAGCCCAAGTTAGGAAACAACGCCACTTCTGCGACATGTTGAACTGGCTTGTTTGGTGGCTTTTGACGACATTTCTCCCTATTGGTTATGAATGTGGCACTGTCAGTGCTACCCAAATAGAGCTTGGAATGATAAGGATGTAGAATCGTCCAAACTAGCAGCAAACTCCTAACCCTGTTATTACTATGCTGTCTTACTAGATTTGTCTTGGAGTTGACGGCGAATGCAGAGTGCGCTTGCGTCGCATATGACATCTACTATAGGGTCGTAAGTTCTGTGTGCGAAATCGCAAGCAATGGGTCTCAGGCATCTCCACCTGCAGTTGTTGCCGAGTGGACTTTGGACTAGCTGAAGAGCGGGGCATTCAGCCCTTCTGAACCTGCTGCTCACTTGTCCTTCCACCCGTATGTTGCATGTCCGTGCAACTGGATCCCTCGGTTGGCTGGCATCGACGGCAAGGTAGCAGAGGCTATCAGATTCAAGAATTCCCCACCTATTTGCTGTTGGTTTTGTACAGAAGACTGGTGCTATAAATTCACGATTCTGTCGCGTGTCACTCGAGCTCGGAAGCTCGTCTGAATGCGCATCCGCCGACGGTCTTACGATCCATGGTACAGTGATTTAGAAGGACAAGACAATACTCATGTGGTGAGGCTTATTGCAACGCGTACAGCATGGACCTGGGTTGGTCTCTGTTAGACCAGGTCTAGAAGGTCGGCGCATGACATGGCTGCCATCTGGGCTGAGTTGAGAAAATGTCGCCAACCATATTGCGTTCGCACACCCACTCCAATGAGTTCCAGCTGCACAGTGCACAATGAGACCCGTCTTACTGTGTATACTACTGTATGTACGTAGTGGGTGGTGTCGCATCCTTCCCGTGACGTCATTCCGCAGCCTTCCAAAGGCTTCAGCCTGAAACCAAAGGCGTGGGAGGAGCTTGAACAGTGGAGACTACGGCGTTGGATTGAGAGGGTTCCACGCCTAGGGTATTCAGAAGATTATTGAACTTGAGGGAGGCAAGTACCGAGAAGGAAGAATGGAGAAAGTCTGATTCAGATTGGCCCTGAGATCAGACGGAAGAGTTTGAGGGACTATCTAATGGCAGCCAAACTGACCCTGATGGATCATCCGCAGATGGGAAACAGATGACCGAGATTGCAACTGCACCTTATTTGCCCTATATATCTATACTCATTGTTGTTGAGATATATACAATCGAATTCACTCCACCTGCATTGCCAAGGAGCAGCTGACTACCTTGGACGGTGGCGCCTCGCACGGGGCACCGGCCAATGCCTTTCTGGAGAGCCTCCGAACGGAGCATGCACTGCACCTCTCTTCCACCATCTCTTCCGCGTCAACAGGGCAGGATTGTAAGAGTCTTGACGGCAAGTGTATTCCAGTTCTAGCGGAATCTGGCAGCTTCGGGTCGGGGTCGCTCTATCGATATAACTGCCTCGCTCTCGAGTGGGAAGGGGAGGATCCTGCCTCCTCAGATGGAGATGGCCTCATCCTCTAACAACTTGCCAGAGTCGCAAATCACCAGCTTCCCAGGGTTTGGAAGACGTCGAATAGTGCCCTGTAGCCAGGTTGGAGTGAAGGTATTGGAATGGGGTAAGTTGCACTTGGTATTGGGTAGATTTGGTGGATTGTTGTTCCCTTTGATAGGGAGATCTTGCCTTTTTGAAGGTATTTGAGGGTTGGGCTTCTGGTATAGTGTTGACATAAGAGCTTGTCGGCTGGACAGAGGTCTCGACAAGTGTGCTGGTACCTTTGATCCTGGCTTGTCATGCAAGTGAAGAACTTGTAGTCTTTACATGCTTGGTTCAACCGCACGGTAGGTAAGTCATCGTACGTAAATAACAAAATCCAAAGGCAACTACACGTCGGCTAAACATCCACTCAGTGACAATATCCACAAGACCACTTAAGTCGTACACAACACCAGTTACAGAACAATACATCACTTACAAAGCTGGAAAAGATCATTTACATCGACCACTAGGGCTGACTATTATATATTATTGTATCAAAGCCGAACCCTCATGGGCAGCTAGAAAGTATCGAACTGCTCAGCAGTCCAGTGTCACCGACCAGCGGCGACTACTTACCTATTCGACTACCCCAAAGGGCAAGGGCACAAAGGGAGATCACAGCAGCTAGGAGAGCAAACTCGACCCGCTCTCCCACACTTACCTTTGACACCATCTACTTCGCCTCCTCACCCCCCTCCCTCTCAGACTCCGCCAACTCCAACCCCGCCTTGTCCTTACCCGCCTTCTCAAGCTCCGACATCTCATCCTCGACAGACTTCTTCTTCTTATCCTCATCCTCACCCTCGGCACCACCAGACTGCGCACTATCCCTCTTCTTCTCCTCCTCCACCAACTCCACAACCTCAAACCCCATCTCCGCCTCATCGCCCACAACAAACACCTCGTCCAGTTGAACGTCGACATCCGCCTCAACGCCCTTCCCGTAGTGAATCACCTCCCCCGTCTCCGCAGAGTGGAACTTGCGCATCATGCTCCCGTCGACGGTTGAGATGTCGACTCCATTCTTACCTAGACCTTTTGCGTTCGCCTTCGCCATCGGCTTCACCGCCTGAGGCTGAACCATCTCGCGCCCGGCACGAGGACATGCGCGACCGGCGCGGCCGGCGAGACCGACGACAGCGGTATGCGTGGCGGTGCGCGCGGCCTCGATGTCCGCGGCGCGGCGGCGGGAAGCGGCTTTGAGGCGGGAGCGGCGGTCGTGGCGGATGAAGAGGAGGACGAGGATGAGGAGAGTGAGGAAGCCTCCTGTCATGCCGAAGACGAGGGCGATGGCTTGGGGTTGGGTGAATCTGTCCCCGTCCATGGCGGTGGGGGTGGGGTGGGGTGGGTTTGAGGTGTGTTGGGGAAGTGTTGGGGGTGGTAATGAGGGGTGTGGTTTGGGTTTGGGTGTTGGGAATTGGGGAAGGGATGTGATGGGCTTGGGAAGAGATGATGTAATGGGTTGGGTGGATGGATGGTATGTGGATGTGGTTTGTGAGTTGAGTGTGTTGGGAGTGATATGGTCCTCGGTGGTGGGTTAGGGACGAGGCTTTATAGCGCAGGTGATCAGAGGTGTGGACATTGTGGAGGTGAGTGGTCTGGGAGGGTTGTGAATGTACAATGTTGAGTCTTGCGTACTTGGTGGAAGAATTGGCTTGGGAGCTTGTACAATGCGAAAAGTAGCATAAAACTCTGAATGTACAATATATGGCAGTATGCAGCAACAATTCTGTGAACATGATCTAAGAGTTCTGAACTGGACTGAGAGACCTTGGGTTGGGGACCGACTTACTTTCGTGCATCTCTGCCCAGGTGAGTTATCATACCTAGGAGGAAGAGATGTGATGTGAGAGGCCATACTCCACAGCGGTGATGTGCCGAACTACTACTGCAGTACGATAGCACTGCATCTGGGTTGAGAGATGGGCTCCCATGTCATCCATAAAAAGGCCGAGATACGGGTAGACTGCGTAATAATTCGCTCCGTTTCGCGTGATGCTGTATATCGATAACTTTGAGGTCCGCTTCCATGATTCAAATGCACTTCAGTCATCACACAATTGCCAACATCCCGTTTACTCTCCGAACAGGACAGTACTTCACTAAGCTAAGTTCTGTAACACATATCTCCCATCACCCCAGCCTCAGCAGAGTTCCACCAATCTGATTGCCTCCCTGTCCAGCTGAGGTGGGATTGTAATGTAAGACGTTGACGTGGGACAGAAGACACATAGTGCACTCACCAAGCCTTTCGCCAACAACTCAGAACATAAACATAGCATGTATGAATAGGAATGCATTGTTCTTTGCCAAGCCAGCACTTCTTCCCCCATACCCTACACAATTCACTTACGCTAGAGTAGTATTCTTTATTCCCATGCAAACATCCCTATTCACTCCACCGCCAACATTGTCTGCTTAACGGTCCAATCCTACACAGCTTTATCCAGATGGGAAGGGTGCACTTCACAGCCGGCCATCCAAACCGCACTCTCTATACCAACAAGCCCACCATACGTTCTCACAAAGAGGCCTTGAAGGTTCTAGCAGGGTATGATGGTTTAGAGGTCAGCTTAGGGCTTTTGGGGGGATTTGTCGTTGTGAGTGGAGTGCGGCGGAGATGGGGGAGGGGGAGGGGGATGGGGAGCGAGGAGCGGGGAGGAGGAATGTTGTAAGGCGTTTTGCTTTCTAGATGCAGCCCATGACTTCCCGTTTCTGAGCGGTGGGACTCGGCATTGCGTAGGTCGTTCCTGGTGGGTAAGTCTCTAGTTGCCGCTCGTGGTGTAGGTGAAGCTTAGGCTTTTTGGTATCTTGCTAGGGCGGAGATATGGCACTACTGGGCGTTCTGCATCTCAGAATCGCACTCGGAGAAGAGACGACTGCTTAGCTGAGTCGTACATATACGAATATATAAAATCACATCGCACAATCTTGATCTTGTGTCTGCATCAGAACCTGAATTCCTAGGCAGTGCTTCAACGTGAAAACCTGTATACAACTTGCTAGAGAATTCATGTTCCGGGTCAACCTGATATCGCAGCCCACCTTGCCGACGATTTCCGCAGATGGAATTCTTATCCAAACTACGTGACGGAATCGGCTATGTTATCTAGCTAATGTCTTCAGTTGTGTTTACTTCGATCCCGCTGAACGGGACCTATGCCTGGTTAGTGCCAAAGAAGAATACGCAGAGGACGTCGGCAACTTATGGAACTCGCTGTAGTGAGTCGCCCGGATTTAGCGTCACAGGTGGATGCACATCGTATAAAGAGACACGAAGCCTAGGCTATACAGGTGACAATTCCGTCTGGAAGAGCTGAGAGCAAGCATGAAGGTAAGCGGCCCGGTTCACCTTGCATGCCGTGGTGGCACGATAATCTACTGCTGGGACACACTATGGCTCAGTAACTGTTCACCAAAGAAGACTGTCACTCAAATCGATAAGAGATATTATGGCAGTGAGGGAGGCAATGATTGCATTGTGCTATATATGCGAAGCCACAACTCCTCCACAGACTTAGAGACCAAAACACCGCAACCCATATTGAACCCCTCCACCCCTTCGCCCCATGACTCAATGTAGAGGAATGGATGTTAGCGAAGACCCAATGTGAGCAGCACATACCTGAAGTGAAATCCAACCCGGAAGGATCCAGCAATGAGGTCGAAATCCAGAAGCAGAGAGAGACTACCAGCCATCCCGGAATGGAAGACCAGTACATACCTTGGTGTTAACCATCGTCCGTACGATTCGCAACCTACCAAACACCAACGGAAGCCACCGCGTCCCTCAGGAATAAAGGCCACTTCAGCAGTGGAGAAACCGCGCGAAGCGATTTTAATCGGAGTCACTCGAACCCCCTCTGGAGAGGATCCACTGCGGGTCATAACGGCTTAATTAAGCGGCGTCGTTCGACTTGTCAGTCTCACTCCAGGTTCCTCGGCCGGTGGACAGAGGCTCTGAACCCTTCGGAGAGTGCGTCCTGGCCGTAACACAACGTCCCGCAGAGCCGCCGGATCACCGGGCCCCCAGATGTCTGGCCTCCATCTGGTGCACAACGGCACCATGTTATATCCATCAACATGGCTCAGGTGAGGACAGTCGACAGTGCTCACCAACCCGAAGGCGCGGTCAAAGACGAAGGAAGAATGTGCAAGGGGAGGGGAGGGGAGGGAAGGGGGGAAGGGAGGGGGAAAGGCGGCGCCGAGGAAGGAAAGGTCCTGGAAACAGTTAGCCAGACGTTCTTGAAAAAGATTCAAAGAACGAATGGCTGGTAGTCTCTCTGCTTCGGTTGCTGGAGGTGGCGAAAAGTTTGCGGAAGAGGGCGGTGAAGGTGAGTTGAGCAAAGCTGAAGCTCAACATGGAAGGCAGGTGCCATCAAAGATCGAAGAAGATGATATGGAAGAAAAGACACTGATGAGAAAGATACAACACACTCGCAGAAGAATGGAGTGGAGGTTGTCGCCGCGGTGGTTGTGGGAAGAAGGAGGGAGGGAGGAGCGTGGAGGGAGGAGACTTTATATATTCCCCAGCGGGGGATGCGTTGCGCCGGTGAAAGACACAAAATTTTGAGACTCCCATTGGTCGATGCGCAGGCTCCAGAGATTTTTTGGAAGAGTCTGGAAGAAATTATGAAACAGTTCGGAGCTTGCAGAGAGCGGTCTGGCGTTCTCCGAGGGAGGTGTGGTCGTCGGAGGGAGAGGTATGGTGTCAGATACGGAAAGACAGTGGACTCGTGATCAACGCCGCCATGCGGAGGCACAAAATTGGTTATGCTATACGCTCTGTGAGATGTGTTAGGTTTAGGACCAGCAGCAGCAACATGTTAGGTTAAGTATTTCATCGTAAAAAGCAAAAGAAATGGGCAGATGATGGATTGTTCTGCCGTGAGTGGCACACGACAACGGGTGACTACACATACTGGCAATTGATAAAAGAAAAGTATTTCCGCTCCATGGAAAACCCTACATAGAAGCTCAGAAGATGCGGTCAACAACGCGTTTCGTGAGACTGAAACCTTTGCAGTTGTAACGAGCAACCTTCTAACGGTTAGTTACAAGACACATGGCTATGACACAGCAGATTAAAACATCACATCCAATTATTTCTCTACATATTCTGCCAACATGCCACACTCGACCGCCGTCCTATTACATCTACGCTTTCTCCGCATGAGAGATCCCCTGCTTCGCTTCCACCTCCTCCACTCTGTGCTCCAACTCATGGGACATGTAATCCGCCTTCTTCATCGGCGGGACAAACAACGGCGCATCCCTGAACAAATGATTCATCTCCTCAAGCGGGCGCTTGGCCGTCTCCGGCAGGAAGGCCCAGAAGAAGAGCGCGTTGGTGAAATTGCAAATCTGCCGCCGGAGTCAGTACACGCTTACACATGGTCTATACGGGAGATGGGCACTTACAATGAACAGAAAGTAGTACTTATACCCCACGTGCGTCATCGCCGGCTTCGTAACCTGCCCAATCATCGTATTGAACGCGAACGACACCATGGTCGCAATCGAGACGCCCTTACTCCTCGTCTTCGTATCGAACACCTCGGCGGGGATAATCCACGACAGCGGGCCACACGTCGCGCTGAAGGAGAAATTGTATATCCACGTGATGACGATGAAACCCCAGGCCGCTGCCTTGTTTCCGCTCTCGCCGGGCGGGAACTTGGCGAGCAGGATGGTGGCGATGATGAAGGTGACCATGTTGCCCAGGTTTCCGAGGATGAGGGGCCAGCGGCGGCCGAGGCGGTCGATGAGGAGGATACAGAGGAATTGCGCGATGAGGGCGATGACGGAGGATATGGCCTGGTATTTGAGCGTCTCGTCGCCCTTGATGCCCATGAGGCCGTAGATGGTGACGCTGTAGTATTGGATCGCCGAAACGCCGGTCATTTGTACGGACGCTTGAAGCGCGCATGTCAGGAAGAGACGTCGGAAGCAGGAACGGTCGGTGAAGAGTTCGACGTAGGATTGTGCCTCGTGTTCGTGCTCGTATGTGATGGCTTCTTGGATCTCGTCGTACTGAGCGCGGACGAATGGGTCCTCGGTGTTGCCATGGGCGTGGAGCTGGGCGAGCGTACGCAGTCCTTCTTCAGGGCGGCCGTGGTCGATGAGCCAGCGAGGGGATTCGGGGAAGAAGAGGATGAGGGCGGCAAGCACAAGAGCGGGGATGATCTGGATGCCCAAGCTGGTCCTCCACTGGCCATCGTTGGTAGGCGCGAAGCCGACATATGTCCCTAAGACTATGTTAGAAGATGGTCGAAGGGAGTAACAAGTGAGTAATACCATAAGATATCCAAGCTGCTGCAAGGGCGCCAACTCCCAGCATGAATTGTTGAAGAGCGGTGATGCGTCCTCTGATGCTAGGATGTGCCAGCTCGGCCTGATATAAGGGAACAATCATGCACAATACTCCGACTCTGTCAGAAAGTTAGCATTTTCTGGAGAGGCTCCGGCGATTCCGAACATACCCCAGTCCTGCAATCGCCCGACCAGAATACAAATATGACAAAGCCTGAGCCCCAGTTTGCAAAGCTCCACCAAGACAGAACACGAGAGCTCCAATCATGATAGTCCATTTCCGACCCAACAGATCACCCATGGGGCCAGCGGCCGCCGCTCCGAAGAAGGCTCCGCCAGTGAAGACTGACACGACCGCTCCTCTGCATACCCGTTAGAAGCACGTATCTCGGAAGGGGAGAGACGAAGGCTCACGTTTCATCATCGGTCGGCTTGAACTTGGCATTGAAAGACTGCGAAGCAATCACTTGAGCGATGACACCCAAATCATAGCCAAAGAGTAGCGATCCGAGGGACGCAAAGAGGCCAACAAGGAACTGTTTAAAGTGTCAAAAGACATGTTCCAGGGTTATGGTTATGACTGTGGATCACTGACCTGATACCACTTAGGCGGAAGCGCCATGTCGATTACTGTGTACAGAAACACAAAAAGTTCACAACAGCAGCAACAGCTCAAGCTCCCCGGATCCACATCTTATACCTCCGTAGAGCTCTCCAGCTCCCCTCTTCCCCTTGCCCATCAACCAGGGTAGCTCTCCATGCCCACACCCTTTCCCCTCCAGTAAAGAATTATCCCGCTGCCCGCCCCTAGCATGTCCCATCGCCAGAAAGCCCTCCCCAGATTTCTCCGACCGAGGCATCGTCGGCGTCAATTGGCCGAGTTGGACTCCTCCACGCAGGAATTCCTAGTCCCTTCACCATGTGTGGTCTGGTTGAAGTGCGGAGCCGACCAGATCGGCAGTTTCTCCACGAATGAGAGGGACTGGGGTGTGCTCCAGATGCGGTTAGCGCCTGCCCTCGGCTTCTGGATGCTGGACCACCGGTATGTTTTTCGGAATCTGATATATATCTATAGCACGACAAGAGACGACGAGAGTTGACTTGAAAGAGATATTTGTATATCGAGGGTTTGAGAAGAGGAAAGGACATCCAAAATGGCAACATTCACCCCAATCCCCTCCACCGAGAACCCCTCCATCACCGTCCACCCCACGCACAAAATCTCAAAGATAAACGACAACATCTATGGCGGCTTCACCGAGTAAACATTTCCCCCTACCAACAAAAAAATACCCTCCTTTCTCTTCCCCCCAACCTAACTCCGAATCTCCAGACACATGGGCCGCTGCATCTACACAGGCCTCTACGACCCCTCCAACCCGCTCTCCGACCCTACCACCGGCTTCCGCAAAGACGTAATGGCCGCCATGAAAGAACTCCGCGTCCCCGTCGTGCGATACCCGGGCGGCAACTTCGTCGCCACGTACCACTGGCTCGACGGCGTGGGGCCCAAGGAGCAGCGTCCGAAGCGTCCCGAATTGGCCTGGCTGGGCGTCGAGAGCAATGAGTTTGGCACCGACGAGTTTATGAGGTGGTGCGAGGAGGTCGGCACGGAGCCGTATCTGTGTTTGAATTTCGGGACCGGCACGTTGGATGAAGGTGCGTTTTCCGTTTTTCTGGATTCTTCCCCAAAGGGTTTGAGTTGTGCTTGAGTTGGGGAGGGTGTTGAGATGAAGAGATGATGATGACGATGATGATGATGAAGAAGAAGAAGAAGAAGAAGAAGAAGAAGAAGAAGAAAGAGAGGGCTGATGCGGATCTAGTATAGCCCTCGGATGGCTCGAGTACTGCAACGGCACGCAGGATACCTACTATGCAAACCTGCGGCGCAAAAACGGTCGTCAGGAACCCTACAACGTACGGCACCGTACCTCCCTTTTCTCGCAAACCCACTTTCCTAACAATCTCAGGTCAAATACTGGGCCCTCGGCAACGAATGCTACGGCCCCTGGCAAGTCGCCCAGCTCACCAAAGAAGACTACGCCAAAAAGGCCTACCAATGGGCCAAGGCGCTCAAACTCCTCGACCCCAGCATCACGCTGATTCTGTGCGGCGAGACGGGGTTTTCCAGCTGGGATTACTACGTGCTGAAGGAGTGCGTCAAGTGGGACGTCCATGGCCTCAGCGGAGATAAGACGAAGAGCTTGATTGATATGCATTCGATCCATTTGTACACGGCGAGTGAGGAGCATTTGAAGAATGCCACTGGTATGTTTTTCTCTCTCTCTCTCTATCTCTAGAAAATCCATGGACCCTGCCACACAAGAACCCGCGGACTAATACTGACGCCTTCGCAGCCCCCAGAGCAGCCGAACGCGCCATCCAAATGGCCATGTCCTTCATCGACCTCGCGCGCATCGAGAACAAAGTCCCGCCCACCGTGCCCCGCCAAACCATCTGCTTCGACGAATGGAACGTGTGGGACCCCGTCCGCGCGCCAGGCGAGCAGGGCGCCGAAGAGAGGTACACGCTGTCGGACGCGCTGGCCGTATCCGTCTTCCTCAACGCCTTCATCCGGCAAGCCGCCTCGGTAGGAATGGCCAATATCGCGCAATCCGTCAACGTCATCTCCCCGCTCCTTACGACCCCGAGTGGCCTCGTCAAACAGACTACTTGGTGGCCGCTGCTGCTGTTCTCGAAGTATATGCGCGGGCATACTGTGGCGGTAAATGTGCGGTGTCCGGAGTACACGGGGCCGACGAAGCCCGAGTGGATAAGGGGAACGATTGAAACGCCCTTCTTGGATTGTAGTGCCTGTATTAGTGATGATGGATGGGTGAGCCTGGCGATAGTGAATGTCAATGAAGAGAGGGATTATGAGGTTGACCTCCAGGGAGTAGCGAAAGGGGACGTCGAGGTACATGTGGTTACTGGAGAGCAAGTGCATGTTGTCAACACGGAGGAGGAGCAGAAGGTCGGGATTGAGGAGAGCAGGTGGAACGGTGAAGGATCGTTCGTGTTCAAGAAGCACTCACTGACGATCCTAAGGTGGAAAGCGTAGTAGTAACCGGACATGACGGCCAGGAGAACCCGGCTCAAGGTGGTCCTATTGTACCTAAGATAGACATTCCCAGCGTTTTGTGAGCTATCAGTGAAACGCCCCTATCAACATGGCCAAAAGCTATTCACAGGGTAATTCAGGCGCTATCCCTTCCTGTATTCCGCAGTAGCAAACATAGGTAATCATCCTCTCCAGTGCTGCTCAATAAAACAACCGCGACAAGGAGTGAAAATGTTCGTAAAACGTGTACCGGCCGGATCCGTGATAAACTCAAACGTCATGATGGAACGGCGCGCAGTGCCTTCGTGCAGTCGAATAAGAATCTCTCGAAGAATGGACAGGAAAGAAACATGCGGTGATCCTACTCAAACGCCCATCGTCAAACAGAGTCGTTTCGGAGGTCGAGTGGATGGCGCAGGTTTTCAACCCTCCGAAGCAGGGACACTACCCCTCGACACCCTCCACTTTACGCAAAAACTCCCTTACGCGCGATACCTCCACTCCGTCAAGTGGATCGCTCTCCAAAGCCTGCACAAGGCTTTCCAGGACGCTATCGATGCGGTCCTCCTCGACCTTAGTGCACAGGCTGACCACTTTGCGGTACATGGCTTCGAGCTGGCCGTCCTTCTCTTTGAGCTTACGGCTCCTTTCTGCAAGATTCGCGTTGTTTTGTATATACACCTCCAGGCGATGGCGAAGCGTTGATATTGACGGCAACGCGGCGAGCGCAGGGGCATATTGTTGCGCCATGGCGGGCAAGTCTACAGGGAGAGGTGTGGAGAAATATGAGGGTCCGTCGGATGCTTTCCGGATGAGGTGTTCTCCCGCGACATGAAGTTCACGAGGCAAATCTTCAGCACGCACAACTACTCCGGCTCCATCGCTGTCGGCATAACCAAGCTTCCGCTTTTCGCGTATGTCTGATCCTGTGCCGATAGCCAGGTTGTGTCGCTGAGGTTCTAGCCACCTTTTCAGGTTGACGATCCGCTTTGCACGATCTTGTCGCGTGCGCAGCCGCGCCCGTAACTGCTCTAGGCGCTCCTGTTCTGTTCTTTGCAACGCAGACAGCTGTGCAATCGTCTCATTCGTGCGGTCAATGGTATCTTGTTTGAGACGAGCTTCTTGAGTGAACTGCATGCTGGCACTCTGCAATATACCACTCATAACTATGCTCTTTTAGTGTATGCACATATTGCACGAGAAAAAGAAGGTCACCTACGAGGCTGTATCTCCCTGGTGGTTTCTTCAACCTTACTCAGAGGGGCCTTGCCTTTACTTGGGCTATCCACGCGTGTCGGCGGCTCCGCATTCGCATCAGTCCCAACGCCGAAATCGAGCGGTCGAGTGCCTTTGTCATTTGGTATCGTGGGATCTGCCTGCACCTCCATGAGCTGAGAGATGATGTTGCGATTGCCAATTCTGGCAGCGAGATTCAGAGCCGTGTTACCGCCTTTGTCACGCGCGTTGACCATCTCTTGCATGAAGCGCATGAGTCCAATGGGCTTTCCATACTGGCTGGGGCCATTCTCCGACTGGCTATGGCCGATATTACTTCTCACAAGATACTCCAGAAGCGCCTCCAGGTAGTACTTGCTCGACGCAGCACGTCCTTTGATGGCGCATGTGACGGCGATATGATGCAGGATTGTCCTCCCTTGGGCATCACGGAGCTCAATCAAGGGAGCCAGGATCTCGAGCGTCTCAGGGAAGCAGCTGTGGTCCAGACTGTTGTTCACAGAGACAGCGCTCATGAGAGGCGTTTGGCCAGCAGCGTTGCCCCGAAACATGTTGGCTCCCTTCGACACCAGGAGCCGCATCAACGAGACACGCGCGAGCGTCGCCGCCCAATGGAGGGCAGTGTTGCTCGCATTGTCAATGGGAAGATCCAGATCTGAGCCAGAGAGGTGCAGTATGGCGGGGTGGTTCGTGAAGTCGGTCCGGGATTGGTCTGCGAACAACTCTGTCAGCATGGCCTGTTTCTCTTCGGATAGTTTGTCGGTGGGATAAGGCAGAGGCGGGAGAGCAGTAGGAACCTCGCCATCAGCGGTGGTAATCTGATGGCCAGTCTGGTAAAAGGACTCGCTCGGTTCAGTCGGAGAACCCTGATCCCTCAACGACATGTCGGTCCCATTGGGTTGGGTGAACGACTCTTCCTGCGATGGTCGCATTCGTTTCCTGGGTGGTTCCTGTATATCATTATCCTGACCAGTGCCATACGCCGAGTCAGTGAGACCATTGGCGCCGAAGCTCCTCTCGGACGCCAGGCTGGGGACACTCTGCTGACTGCTGGCACGGAAAGAATCCTGGCTCCCCATGGGACCTTGCGATGGACGGCCAATGGACCTCCGCTGTGACGAGCTTGGGGGACGGGGTGCCGGAGAGTTCATTCTAGCGACCTTGTTCATGGCAGCGAGGGCGCTTGTCGCCGTGGAAGATATGTTGGAGAAGAAGGTTCCGCCAACGTTCTGGTTTGCGGTACGGCCGTCCATACTTTGGGTATAAAAGCGCTTACGGTTCGCGGCCATAGCTTGCTCCTTCGTGGGAGTCTCGATGCCTTGTCCGACGTTGCCATCGCCGCTCATGTCATAATCCAAGAGGGGTCTCAAGATATCTTCTACGCCATATTGGCGACAGAACTCCCTTCCGCGGCGGTAGTTGATCCACGTGCCCTGGTATTTGCCGTAGCCACCTTGAACCTTCTCATGTTCCCCTGTCAGTATCTCTTTCTCCAACACCTTGGTCCGTTTGCCCTTATCTACACCGGCGACCTTGAGGATTTGGGTAGCATTCAGCCAGCCGTCAGATCGGCGACGCATCACGGCGACACGGTTAACCTCCATCTCATAAACAGACACTCCGGAGTAGACAGCCTGGATATGTTAATGGCGCTTCCTGTACAATGGACACCAAACCTACCGTATAAATCTGGGGCTTCTCCATGGGATGCTGCTGGTAGCCGTTCACGTCGGAGAAGGAGCGGGAGAACGATGGGGCCGGCATGGCAGCATTTTGGGAGCCGCCAGGATACATGGCAGGCTGGGAGGCCGAGCCAGAAGGAAACGAGGCAGAGAGATTAGAGCGCGCGACTTGCATTATACCGGCGTAACCCTGGAGAACGAACTATGCGGGGAAGCAAAGGTGGTCCCGCCCGACCATACCGAGGCGCGAAGGGTGACGAGGTCGATTGCGATACGTAGAGCGTTGGAGTTGAGAGATCAATGCGATGCAACTCAAATAGAGCAAGTCGAACCGGGGAATGTGTGGGTGACTATGCGCGGAATGGTTGAGAGATTGCGTGGGTTGAAGCTGGACGCCCGAAGAGGCGGTTGGTGAGCGCGTACGTCGTTCGTCGCGTTCTGTGGTGCACGTGCGCGTTGTAGGTACACCGTAACCGGCAAGAGTAAGCGAAACGAAAAGCTGTGGAACCAATCAGGAGCATTGTTTCGTTTTTCCATTGGAATCGGCGCTGTTACGAAATGGTCTGGTATTGATAAATGAAGTTCATCATTCAACGTTGAATTGTGAGGTCGACGTTGTATACAGCACCATGAAAATCAGAGTATTCTACCTAGATAAGCTTAGGATTAGGTATTTGTGGGCCGTGGATAGCCCGTCATATACGTTCCGCTCTTCCGGTCGTCTCCTGACCAGCAGGCACTGGAGATAGAGTCTCATTGTTCAATCTCTATGAAAGCTCCTGAGTTTTTACCCTCTTCCGGGAAGTTAACTATGCAAGTGGTAGACTCAAATCTCAATCACGTGATATGTCTTGGCATGCAGGTGATGATGGGAAACTGAACCATAGCGTTCCGCGTCTCCAACGAATATCTTTACTTCCCATCCACGCTCAATCAATCCATGGATGCCCGCAGATGTCGAAATCTTTCCCGAATGCGTCGCAACTGAAGTCGCTCCATCTGCTGCGCGCCCTTCTCCGCGAGGCCAGCTATCTACCCGACCCGACTGCGCGCAGCTATTTCAGACGCTACATCGTCGGCCGCTTCAAGGCATATCAACCGACCCAAAATGCCACGTCCCTGGCCAAGGAGAACCGGCGCTCCGGTTTCAAGAGAAGACCCATTACTGTGATTGAGAGCCGTACGGCGGACATGCAAAAGAAAGCCGAAAAAGGTCTCAACTATCTGCGACGTGCCAACATGGGCGAGAGGAGTTGCTTGCGAAAGGTCTTACTCCATACCTATGGGAGGATTGGGCGACGCAGATACGCATTACTCGACGATCTCATCAAACCGGAGCCGCCAGTCAATTCCGAGGCGCAGAAAGCAGACCCTGAAGAATTGGCCCCGTTGCAGAAGCTGTACTACAGCGATAGGCCTGTCCTCCGGCTTTTCGATTCCCCCAAGAAAGTTTCAGATCGCAAGGTAACTTTCAGCCTCTCGGCTCCATATTCCAGACTCCAGGCCGTCATCACCGGCCAGGTGCAAAAGGGAGCAGCACTGCACGCATTGTTGAGGAAGACGAAGCTGGAGACAGATATATACAATGTTTGGGAGCGCCCAATGCCTATCAAAAGAGCGCGGAATAACATCAAAAGGTGGTATAAGGACACCATGGAGAAGCTTCTGCCACCTCTGCCCAACGCCGAGTGGGACCATCTCAAGGCGCTTGCTACTGGAGAAGCGCGCTGGAGCGGTATCGTTCCAAGGAGAACACCAGCTATAGCATCCACACAAACAGACGATCGGTTTGTGAGTTCGCAAGTCGCCATTCAGCAAGCCATAGCTCTGGATAAACCAACCAAGGCCGACAAACGGGCGGAGTTGCAGTCCTCCACCGACAGTATCACCGCCCGGACGATGAGGAGATTGTATGCAGAAATTCTTTCTTACTGCTGCAAGCTCGAATGGGATGATACTCGCAGTGGCTGGGTTTCGCGATGGGCTTCCACCGTTCCGCCGGTCTTCTCCTGCTCTGTGGATGATGCCCTGTTCTCTGGCGTGGATGAGAAGGGACGGCAACCAAAACTGTCTGCTGCTCGCAACGCCGGTAAGCAAGTCGGAAACACCTCAGAGGCCAATTCATGAGCAGTTCAATGGGTTCAACCGGAGAAATATTACGCCGTACCGAGGTTAAAGTTGCAGTCATGTCACTTTCAACACCGGCAGGGCGCATTTTCTTCGACGCATGAACCGTTTAACGTCCCACTTTCGGAATCAATTAACTGAAATCTCGACACCCCACATTCACAATGCCTTCCGAAGGTTACTCAATTCGCCATGCGACACGTGAGGGTATGCTTACGATACATCCCCTGCCATGCGTTAAACGCCGCTAATAGACGCGCAAGACGTTCCCACCATCTTGGGCCTGATCCACGAGCTCGCCGCCTACGAGAACGCGACCGACTCTGTGAAGGCTACAGAAGAGCGGCTAGAGAATACCCTCTCTTTCGCCGACAGCGCCTCGTCTCCGAACCCTTCCTTCACCCCCGGCTATGCGAAAACGCTCCTATTGACGGCGCCGGAAGGCGAGATCGCCGGTATGGCTCTCTACTTCTACAATTACAGCACATGGACTGGTGCACCGGGCATCTACCTCGAGGACCTCTTCGTCAAGCCCGAATACCGGAAGAGGGGATACGGAAAGGGGTTAATCAGGGAGCTGGCAAGAGAGACGGTCAAGGTTGGAGGTCGACGGTTAGAGTGGAGCTGTCTGGATTGGAATACCCCGAGTTTGGAGTTTTATAAGAGCCTGGGCGCAGAGCAGAAGAATGAGTGGGTGGGATTGAGGGTGGACGGGGATGCATTGACGAAGTTGGCTGAGAGTTAAGAAGTCCGGATGCGAAGTTTGAGGAATGAAACATGGAAAATCATGGCTGGTATGGCACATGAAATTCCTCTTTGCTTGCCACTGCTTTTGAGCGCACTTGAACGTTTATGAATAGAATCCGCGGTGGCCGCGGTCTATACTCGTTAGGGCTACTGATTGGTCATAACGCGATATCTGCGCTGGTGATGATCATCATCATCATACTTATCAACTTCTCAGAGATAACGCCCTCACATATCCATGTCCCTATGTGTTTCGAGCATCTCTACCTCTGATTACTTAGTGTAAGCCAAGAACCCACACGTCCACACTCCGCATATATAAACCCATCGTCCTCCTCCACCGTTCTCCACACTTCATCACTTCTTCCCTTTTTCCAAAATAGCCGAATACCAGTTGCATGTGTGCAGTCTCTTAAAGGAGATGAGACAAGCCGATGTTCGGTGCTCGCGCTCCCCCGGCATTCCGAAAAGCTTCTTCAGAAAAGTCTTATGGATTCGGTCTCGCTCTTGCTTGACTATACACACAGCCCCGATGCTTCTCTTTTCCAAAATCCTCACAGGTTCCCATTATGAATTGAGTTTCGAAAGTCCAAACACATGGATTCGATGTCGTCGGGTTCCGCTCGAAAAACAGACCTCGATCGCCGAATGGATGGTCAACCGCACACAAGCTCATGGGATCTTTCTCACAAAATAAACATGTCTGGCTATGTTCCTCTAAAATCCCTCACCAAAAAGAGGAATGTGTGGAGTTCCGACAGAAAAAGAAAAGCCTGCCGGAGTTCGAATGTTCGTCGGTTGCGCTCGCCATCTCTCTCACGAACAACAACTTCTACAATTGCATGGAAATTTCTATTGTTTCGTGGATCTGGAATTTCTATCAGGCTAACTTCTCCTGCGCGGTCGTAATGAGTCCGCTTTTCGAACGTTAATTTGACATGTACTCGATTAATGTCTCGATTCGAATCAGACATCGATACGCAGCAGGGACATGCAGCCCCAGCAGCAGCAGAAACAATGAGGCCAGCCCCTGTAAACTCTTATCATACACCGATTCATTTAATGTCCTCTTGACTCGTGGACCGTCCCTTCTGAAAACCACTGGCGATTGCGTATGTTTGGAGAATGGAGTAAATGCAGCTCCAGGGATTGTAAACATCGCAGTCGTTCTCCAGATGACCTTCTCGGGCCTCCATCGGAAAAGTCGTGCAGAGGGCTCATGTTGATTTGAGAGCTTTCTCAAAACAGATCGAGAAATTTCGAATGGTGTGGTTTTGCGAACAACTCTAGAAATGGTTTAACCCACCGCAAATATTTAATTACTGGAGCTATGACGGAAGATCCATTCTTCACCTAAACACCTAAAGTACACTTGTACTCTGCATGAACGTCTTCCGTGGGAAGGAGTGCTGATATATGCGCTCTTTTACCTATATTGCAATATCTATGGTGCAACACACTACCGCTGATATAAAACTGAGCTTTTCCAAGCCGTCGTATCCCGCACAAAAGACTTCTCTAATCCAAAACGAGACATGCGGCATTCCATGTGCTTTGAACAAAAAAAAACCCCAAGGTCGATATTATGAAGATTACGACTACATGATCTAAAGACCATGATCCGATATCATAATGGATTTTCTCACCGAAAATCCATAAAATCTCGCCACTCGCCTTCATCATGGATCCAGGACACCGATCAACCTCCAATGAAGCATATAATGAGACACAAGATTGCACCCATTTGACTCTAAAACAAATACAAGTTCACCGAATGGAGGCAAGAGTGCGGTTTGAGAACCCGGCCTATTCAAGTAATATCAGTCAACAGCCGAAAGAATTATCAGCAGACACGATGTAATTGTCAACTTGGCAGAGACTTAAGTTTCTGGTATCGAAAACAGTCCAGGCATAGGTTTATGTGTCTGAGATAGCGAAAGGGAGTGTTGTCGACACTTAGATGGACCGCACTCGATTGACTCTATGCTGTACTACTAAAGGCATATCCTCATCAGATAATGTCCGGGCGATTGTCTTATTGGAAGTATGCACATGTGATCACCATTCACTGCTGTGAGCGTATGAAAATTTTTCGGACCGAAGACAGCTTGAACTCCGAAAATGTTCGAAAATAACGCTGCGCGGATAAAGAGCATCAAACGCCTAAAGACCGACAAAGTGCGCAGTATGTGAGCAATCAGCGCTTGAACCTAGAGCGAAAACATCCGATGCATATCAAGGAACCACTTTCGGGCAGTGACATCGATCCCCAGACTTGGATACATGGCTTTGACGGTCGTCTCCAAAAAACGACAGAACGAATAAATGTCCAGAACCTGAGAATTGATTGTACAATACCATTAGATATTGACTCGCGGCATTTAGTAGCCCGACATAGCGGGTGTCTACGCAGTGGCACCAGAGCACCAGGAATTGGCCGCCCTTCCATCTCCTGTCAAGCAACCAGGAAAAGAAACAAAATTGGAAAATGGTATAATACGGAAACCCTGTGGAGGACGCCGATACGATCCGTCGGCTCGGCGAAGTCGCAATGAAGTATCCCCGATGGTTGAAAAACAAAAACGAATGCATCAGGATACCAGAGGAGTTACAAATGAGAGTTCCGCTCCCACCTGGCTGGGAGCAACATAAGTGACTAGACAAAAGGAATATGGGCAGTTAGAATTAATGTGCGAGCAATTACGGGTCACACCTTCCAAACTGCCAACACACTGTCGGAAAGCTGTTCTGTTGCTCCATGTGCGGGGACCATGATTCTCCCTGCCCAAAAGAAAACGTTTAAAACGAAAATTGAAGACCAAGGACGAATGTGGAACTTTCTTTGGCTGACGGAGGAAACCACCCAAGCAAGTGAGAAGTGAAAGATACCTTCTGTGTCTCTGACTGCGCATCTGAAATGATTTGATATGACCTTTATGGACATCTCTGGGTGACTTTCGCGAAACTCCGATTTGACCTCGTACTCTTGAATAGACTGTAACATTATGAACAACATTGAAAACCCAAGTAGAACAGGCCATGTGGAAAAGAATATCTTTGAAGAAACTCTGTTCGACTGGAGTAGTCCACCCGCAGTCCACCCGCAGGCAGACCAAAGTTAGACGTTGTCAATGTTTAGCGTTGAATCACCTTGTAATGGGATTATGGAACACAATGCCCGAGGTGCTGTCGCTCCCTTTTTTGCTGAAAAACAAGGAAAAACGGAGGCGTGGTGGGATGTCCCCATTTGATTCCTGTTCACATACGCGAAATACCGACCGCATACCAAACATGTGTGGAGAGAAGACAGATAGCAATACCAAAGCGAGTGTCCACCTTCAACCTGAGGTTTGCGGAAGAAATTCATGGTTTAGAGGCCCATGGCAAAGAGCTGGTGGATGCGAACGACATCTCCGTGTAGGCGAGTCAGGATATTTGTTCAACCCAGTAAAACAGCACATCGAGTCTTGAAAGTATTTATGCCCAGGTGACTCAACTTGTTGATGATGCGCATCATTATTGACCTATTTTGCGACGCGGTTTCATATGGGACGGGATGGCTCAGAGCTTTGAAATCTACTTGTTCCCGCTGATATGCCCAATAATACATGTATCAGTTCTTCTAGCGGCGCTCTACATTGTGATGGGCAAGATAGTGAGTTTTCGTTTTTATACGCATTGCCATGCTCCAACCCTATGAATCGGATTCTTTTGGTGTTGGTGCCGTCTTCCCAAGGGTCGAGTGTCGACCCAATAGCAACCAATCCACACCGACGACCTGTAAAAAGGTACACTCAGAAATTAAACAGTCCGACTCTCAAATTTGGAAAGACAAGAGAAGTTTCCCAATTCTCGATGGTGACCGGCCTTCGCTGACGTCTGTGTCGAGGTCTAAGAATAGCATATACCTGAGCAGGGATCCTCGTTCAGGTTCAAGCGAGACTTCAGCCCTCGTATACCCGTGCACGACTTTGACCACTGCCGTCGCATCAATACTGCGATTTGTCTGCCTCTTCAGAATTATTTCAGCCTCCCAAGCCACGTGCATTGCTACGCTGCCAATTGCAATGCAACATGTTCGGGTTGAGCCTGCCTCAAGCAGATCTATTGCCTCCGTAAGTCACTCCTACGACAACTCGGGTGAAGAACCGAGTGGTACACCGCATGAGTAATGCTATGTTTGCGCTAATTGTGGGTAGTGGGTCTAGGAATCAATATTTACCCTACCTAGAATTAACATGGTGGCGCATAGTGATGGGAAGATTTAAGGTCGGGCGTGGTCCCCTTTCATCAGGCCTATCAAACAAACTGTTGCTCAGCAACTCCTCTTCGTTTCTTACTCTCGCTCTAGGCGCATAACGCGTCACTTCTTAAAGAGCCAACTCCTATCCCTCGTTTCTGGAGTTGTCGCCATGAAGACCCTTGTTACCCTTACGGCAAGCGCGCTCCTCGCAAGCATTGCTTTTGCTGCGACAGTCTCCCCGGATGGCACGTGCGGGGGAGCGAACGGCTACACATGTTTGAACAGTGCCTTTGGCAACTGTTGTTCTCAGTACGGATGGTGTGGCTCAACGACAGGCCATTGTGGAACTGGCTGTAATCCTGCCTTTGGAACCTGTACCAACAATCCTCCTCCTTCTTCGACCGTTCGTTCTTCTTCCACACCACAACCGACGCCAACTAAGAGGGTCTCCACCGATGGTAGCTGCGCAGGTACAAATGGCTACACTTGCTTGGGAAGCACTTTTGGAAACTGTTGTTCCCAATGGGGCTGGTGCGGGTCGACCGTCGACCACTGTGGAACTGGGTGCAATTCGGCCTTTGGAAGCTGCACCGGCAACGGGGGCACTACGACATCCACCACTTCTACGTCTCCTACCCCTACACCATCTGGGTCAGTCTTGCAATGTCTGAACACCAGGAATGTGCCTTATAAGATGACTTCCGATGCCGGTTGGGCCGATCTGATCGAGCCTTACAATCTCCGCCTACCCCATACACCTGCCGTTGTCGTTCTACCTTCTACCAATCAGCATGTTCAGGACGCAGTGGTCTGCGCCAAACAAGCTGGAATCAAAGTTCAGGCCAAGGGAGGAGGTCACTCATATGCCAACTTTGCTTCTGGCGGCAAGGATGGATCCATGATGATCGTCCTCGAGGCCTTCAATGGTATCCAATTGGATGCCAGCGGCGTTGTCAAAGTAGGAGGTGGTGTGCGGCTCGGTAACCTTGCCGATGGTATCTGGACTCAAGGTCAGAAGGCACTCTCGCACGGCACATGTCCCGGCGTTGGCATCGGCGGCCACGCTACGCACGGTGGATATGGCCATACATCTCGTAACTGGGGTTTGGCGATGGATGCCATCGTGAAGGTCGACGTTGTTCTCGCCAACGGGACACTTGTGACGGCGTCGTCGACACAGAACTCTGAGATATTCTGGGGCATTCGCGGCGCGGCAGATTCCCTGGGTATCGTCACCAGCTTTTACCTTCAGACTCGCAGCGCGCCCTCTAGCATCACCTACTTCGAGATACAATTCGATGGGATCTTCAACTCCAAGGCTACGTTTACGAATACTCTGCTCCATCTGCAGGACTTTGCCCGCAACGCCTCAGTCGTCGACAACCGCATCTCCTTCGGTATTTATATGGACGGATACGGCTCCTTCGCTCCCAGCGGCGCCTTCTTTGGCAGCGTTTCCGAGTTCAATACTAAGATAAGACCCGAATTCCTTCGCGGCCTCCCCACGCCCACGAATGTCATTGTCCAGTCATACTCCTGGTACGACTACCTCGTCAAAGTTTCGGGCAAGAACACAATCAAAGTTCCCCTAACCGGTTACGACGAGCACGAGAACTTCTTCGCTAAGTCGATCACGGTTCCCGAATCCGATGGCCTCACCGCCACCTCGCTTAACTCACTGTACGATTATATCAAACGAGGCACCTCGGTCGACTACTTCATCATCATCAACCTCTACGGTGGACCCGGTTCAGCTATCAACTCCAAAGATACTAACTTCGCTGCCTACAGTGACCGCCATAGTCTTTGGGTTATGCAGAACTATGGCTTCACTGCCAACTCGATCACTTGGATCAATGGATTGAATGATGCGGTTGTGAAAGCGCAGCCGCAAACGCAATTCGGTGCTTATTTGAACTACGTGGATCCCAGCTTGGATGCTGCTACTGCACACAAGGTGTATTATGGAGATGCGGTGTACGCGAGGTTGTTGGCGCTCAAGAAGTCGATTGACCCGCAGAGTGTGTTTTGGAATCCTCAAGCTATCGGAGCTTGAGTTAGGATGAGGGGTAACAGAATATGTATGACCTGCAAGAAGCGAAAGAACTTCTAATATAATGTCTTTTATCATGTATGCCAATGATAATCGGCATCTGCGATCTTTACCTAGAGTAATTGGAGGATCAGGTGGGATAACATGTCTCTAATTCCTGCAATGCAGGCTCAGTATCCAGAACCGAAAGTCATAATGTGCCCAAGCTTGCTAATGAGTTTGTAGCCTTTTGTGTCTTTCGGACTGGGTATCACTCCGAACACGGTAAACCAAGAGTTTGCCGTAGATGAAAATTGAAGTCGCGCTGGGGGTTAAAGAAATAATCGCTCAAAAACAATTTAATGAACCTCCCTTGCCAAATTCAAGCATCACGGTGATGTAATTCAAATAGAAGGCATTCCAAGGGTACTGCGGTTTAGGTAACCACTGAAAATTCGCGTGCAATTACAATCCACAAGAAGAACGTTGGCAGTCTCCTTACTTGTTTCTCTCCTGCTAGGTGTGAAGAAAAACGACGAATCTGAAGTTTGTGGTAAGAGAGTAGAGTAACCGTAAAGTACACGGAGAGTTATCACTATATCTTCGAGGAAAACGGTTCATGTTTCGAGGCTTTTTCTTACTGACTCTATCCGTTTCTACATGTTTTGAGTCTCTGATATCCACAATCTGAACGCTTTTCGAGAAATTTGAGTGGCAGGAAGAAGTGATTTATAAAGTGAGGTTGAGGGCATGATATATAAAGGATGATGTGCGTTACAGGGTTGATGTTGCTATACTTGGCGTTGCCGAATAGAGCGACCCAAATGCACCATCACGTAGCGCAACCAATAAGGGTAAGCGTGGAGACCCCGATCATTATCTCCGCCCTCCAGCCTCATCTCCTGCGCCATATCCTCCGAGTGAACCATTCGCGCCATGATGATGACTTATTGCGCAAGGCCGGTGCGCCTTCTCCGAATACTAGACAGGGCAACACCGAACATCTTCAACCAGACGCGTCAGATACAAGTGCAGAACCCTTTCACCACTCAAGGAGTGCAGTGAGCGAGTCATCATGGAAAGGTCCCGATCTGTAGCGAACTTGACCCTGGAACAACTTTACCGTAAGAGAGCTTTTGATAGGATCAACCAGAGAGCATCAAGGTTGGTGCCCATTAATCGCCTAGAGTTCGATCACTAACTGTACATGTAGGGCACGGAAGAAGTCTCGCATCGACGAGCTCGAAAAGGAACTTGGAGAGCTCAGAGAACAGCTCCAGAGGTCCGAAGAAAAAGTACGAAGGTTGCAGCATAGCGAAGCGGTGTTGCGGGAAGCAATAGACGCTGCTCGGTTCGCTCTGCATAAGATTGATTCCACTTCACCATCCTTGAATAAACCGTTCCCTTCACCACCGGCCTCGACTCACACAACTGGATCAGGCGGTGAGGATTCAGCTGTATCATCGACGGCTGAAGATGGTACAACAGTAATCCCTGCAATTGGTGCAGCGCTGCATTCAGGACCAGAAGTGGCCCCATTGGCTAGACAGGATCTATACAACTTTCCGGACATCTCCATCAAAGATGATACGGCTTCATTTGCTGTCAAAGATGATGCAACGGGGCTTACCTTAGACTTACCCCTCGCGCAAGACATCGATTCGGCTCTGCAATATGAAGGTTTCGGTAAGTCTCTTCCACGGTTGCTGTATACCTGTACCTAAGCTATGCTAGTTACGGATCCCTGTTCTATGAGCCCTCTATCATTATCATTTTTGACACGCTTCTCCAACCAGTCAAGTGGGGAGGCTTGTATTTCTCCGATCTCCAACCCTTCGTCACAGGACGTCGAACGGCCGTGGGAGCGCCTTCCACTCCATATAGATCCCACCTGCCGCCTTGACACTGTGCTCCTCGAGCAAGCGAAACTCAACCGTCAGCGCCTGCAGACTTGTGGTCCAATACCAGAGCTGTCAGCGGGCAACCAAGCTTTCCCAAGCATAAGTTCCCTGCTCAATCCGGAACCCGACAGCTCTCAAGCACCCATATCCAACGCAATCGGTACCCATGGACGAATTACCATGGAGATACCTAGTCTGCCGGCCAAAATCGCGATGATGTACAACATGTGCCATCTCTTACGTTGGCTGATATCGCCTACGAAACAAAACTATGAAGCCATGCCGGAGTACCTACGGCCCTTAGAGATACAGCTCACAACCCCTCATCCAGTCTGGATCGACTTGATAGTATGGTGAGTGCCATATACCTCCGCTAGAGGGACCTCACTGAATCGCGTAGGCCAGAAGCACGTGAACGCATCATCAAATACATGGACTGGACACAGTTTCCCACTCTACGGTCGGTGGGCAATCAATCCATCTCGATCAACTGGCCACATGGACAGTCCGAGATTTTCACTGCGGTTTCCGAGAAAGGCATCGCTTTACGACCGCGGTTTGAGAACCACATACGACAGCTTCAGAATTGGACTTTTACCTCCGAGCTCTCTGATGCATTTCCTTTCCTGAAGGACATGACGCAAGGCTGTGGAGCGCAGCAACTATGAGCGTAGAGCCAATGACATTCATGCAAACCTATCCAGCGCAATCTTCGGCGGTGGTCATCATCAGTACCCATTATTATGGACGAAAACCGCACAACGCATGGGCTCTGATTTGCACTTTCGAATTGGAATCCACGTCCACATGTGTATTTCGTGATGCCCTTTTTAAGAAAAACGATATAACACGCAACTGTGTAGGAAAGTGAAGTTCAAGGTGGATAAAACACGGCCTTCTATACCTGATCTTGGCCACAACTGTGTGCATTCATAAAGCGATGCTTTCACCTTCGTCAAGTGGCCAAGTCCCACGAACGACACCAAAAATGATGTTCACCACTGACAAGAGCAGCGGCATTTCTTCGACTCTGAACAGCTTCCAAACCTGGCAGCAGATTTAACTCGCAACAATGAAATAAGGGGAGCGTATCCAACAACGTGGACATGAAACTGCATAGATATTATTCTGTACGATAATACATGCAGGGGAGCATTTGTTTTGACCCAACCATACTGCGGAATATGCCCAGTAGATAGGGAAGAAGTAGCAGAATGGAATGAGTGCATGGGGGTAATTGTGACCAATGACGAAAAGCCTCGAAAAGTTATTATTTCGAATCCCATGTGTTCGTGGCTCGGCAATCCCGTTCTCTGTGAGAGGGTACAATGATGCTGATCGCCATCGCATTTCACATAATCTGCACTTAACCTGGGCTTTAGGAGATGCTACGAGAGCAGTGATAACCACGACACCTTACGTATATAGAATCATTATCACCATCGTGCCTCTTAAGGTCTCCATTGATTTTAGGCCTGCAAGACGCCGAAGAGATGTCACTTCCCAACCCCTGCTCTCGATCGGTCATGGTCCGGAGTGCGATATATAAAGTCTTTTGCTCCGCTCTCTGGCTGTTCTCCTTTTTACACCTCTTCAACGTGCGCGGCAAATGCTTCACTCAGGTTGAATGCAGTTGTTGAATTTTAAAACGAGGGTCACCTGTATCCAGGTGCGGGTGTTTCCCCATTTCAAAAATCTGGGCCAATGGGTGCATGGGGCACCATCTTTGATTGTTCTCGCAAAACTCAGCTTGAAATGGCCAGCCGACTCGATATGGTTTCGGCGAGTGCGTAAACAGACCCTGTGACAATGAGACACCATTGCAGGCCCACTTATGTGGCACCGGAATCGAAGAATCTCATCGTTCTTTTTAAGAAAGAGGACTCAGCCGACTGGCCGTAATGGAATAGGCAAACGCTCCGAGTTCCATTCTATGTCAAGCGTCAATTGGTGATCCCGGAAGACATGCCTGAACCAGAAAGACGGACATCAATTAGCCATGCGTCCATGGATCCCAAGGCTGGAAGTTGGTAAAGCACAATGCTATGACAGCAACTATGATGGAATGGTTCCGTTTCCCATCGTTTTCAAAAAGCGCACGAAAACTGGCCATGGTCGTTGTTCGCAGAATGCGATATCTGGTATTGAAAATCTGAGACCTTGTCAGCGACGTCGAATGTTCGGGGAAATCCAGCCTAGATTCGCAATATGTGCTTTTCCCTAGTGATACTCGCTAGGAAGAGACCCAATGTTCGCACGGGTCGAAATAACGCCGCAAAGAGATCCGCACCGTTCGGATGTCGGCTGAGATAATTCCGGCTTGACTCGGCATGACTACTGAATCACCGTTCTTCGTCATTGCATTGTTGGCATTAACCGAAAGCACAGCAGTACTTCCCATGTGTTTTCATTTGCCAACTAGGCGCAGCCTTCTTGCGTGTCCATTATTACCTATAACTTCAAACAACGTGTCGATGGGCCGTATTTATACGTGTCTGTCGACCTGCTCAGAGGCATTCTGCAGTCCACTGGCTCAAGTCGAATGTTGAGAAACCAGTCTTCCGAAAGCTCTCGAATTTAGAGTCCATGAAGTCAACAGCCTGCCACTCGAATCGATAGGAGTTGCTACGTTGGCCGTTTGATGATGGGATTTGTCTATCCTAGTGCCCGGGGTTTCGAGTTGGTCCACAGTTCCGAATCAAACTGCTGTTTCGCAAAGCGAGAAAACCAGAACATTGTCCTCGGATTGTCCTGGATTGATTTTGGAGTTCCATGAGCCGTCAGTTCCCTTTTTGGGCGTAAATTTGAAATTAGAAGTTCCGTGACAAGAATGGCATGACTTGACTGAACAGTCTTGACCGTTTTTCTCGACCTATGGGTGGGGCAGGAGTTCCGACTCAAAGCCAATGCCTACACACACACGGTATGTGGACTGAATGGGCCGCGTTCGCCACATGATGCATTCGGAGCCGCATTGCGAGCACTTTATGAGTTCCGTGGAAACCACAAAAGCAGGGTGATCACATACATATGTAACCCCCAGTTATCAGCAAGATGTTCCTTCCATGCCCAGGTTTTCCTCTGTCTGCAAAGTTCCATGCCTGACCACGGTGTAAAGATGTACTTTCTCTTTCTCTAGTCAAGCTCCAGCTAGAGACAATGATGATGTCCAGCATCGTTCTCTCGCCTCACACTCGAGGAGTAGGAATAAGCCCAAATTAACCATGGTAAACTAGACCTGTTGTTAGCACAGTTCCTTCCCATTTTCTTATTGCACCTGCTTGGAAGCACCATAAGAAGCCCAAGTCGTGAGAACTGTATTGATTTGAGACCTATCAGGGCCCGGCCCGGGACTACTTTTACCAATTCGTAACCAGCTACGTCAGGTTTATATAAGCATTGAAACGGAGATATTATAGTCTCCCACCTGCAATTGAAGTAAATCAATATTTGTGGAGTATGGTGAATGAAATGATCACATGATGTTCGAGTTCTGATTGGTCAACCCACCAAGCGCAATGACGAAGTTGCAGCAACCCTGGATCTCCAGCTTGCATAGCTCCCTGACAACCAACAACGACCTGCCTCCCGCTTTCCCCAAGACCGAGCATTTCTCCTTCCCTTGTAATATTTATTTGTTTCTCTGCAGCATGTTCTTTAATATGCCATAAATGTGATACCACCTCCAGCGTCGTTTCACACTAGTGTTTAATCCTATTCGAGAACATCAAACACCTCTCCAATGACCACTCAGCGACCGCAATCGTGGAATTACCACTCAGGTACCTTGAACCTCCCACATGATTCTTATACAGCGCAGAAGCTAGTATGACGTCTTATCCAACGGTACTCCCAAGCTGACCTTCTCCCAGCAACATGCGACTCCTGAGCATATCCACCTCACCTCCCGCCGTCTCTTCATTGGACCTGTACCCGTATGTGCAGCGCACCATGTATATAGATACTCGCTGATACCAAGAGACAGGAAGGATGGCTGAAGACAAATCGCCGGGACTGGTATAAGCACCATCTCCACATCAACTACTCATCGCGCGCCGCTACGTTTACCTCGTCCGACCCCCGAAAGGCATGGACACGCCGACTAAGTGGCCTCGAAGGCCCAAGTTCGTCCGCCCTGTTCCAACATAGCTTCCCGCAACCTGAGGAACTCTCTGCAGAGGAGGACAACGGAGAGGGTGGGGAAGACGACAGTAACGGTACCCCCGGCTCTGCAGCTGGCGAGAGAGACGATGCGCAGCCGCTGCAAATACCACGCGGCCACGCGCAAGATGCAGATGCGGTGAAGAGTGATTCAGTAACGGAGTATACGGATGCGCTATCGGACCTGCAGGAGGATCTACACGGCGAGGAATCAAGCGGGTACGGCCGGGATACGCCTCAGAAGCAACGAGCGCAGGAGTCCAGCTCCCAGTCCTTAGTAACAGGGCAATCCCGCCCGGAAGCAGTAGCATCAGATCAAGAGCAGGAAGAGGCAAGTAGCTCACAAGTTCCTTCGAGCCCGGGATCAATCCAAAAAACCCTGGGTAAACGTCCTGTATCGACTTCAAGATGCAGTAGTGGCTTGGAGCCAGGCGCGATATCTGAAGTTCCTCCTGGAGATGAGAGATCAACAACTTCCCTGCTGCACGATACTGACGTGAGGAAGGTTCGGCCTAGTGTTGATCCTACGCCGCGCTCGAAGAATATGTTGGAAAGGGTTAAGAGCAAATCCAAGGGCGCTGTAGGCTCTGCCGACGTCGCACGTACCACGTCGAATCTTCGGAATCTCGTCAAGTTCGATATTCCAGAGGACTCAAGGCGGGCGGAGCTGAGTATGAAACGTAAAGCTGCGCAGATGACTATACGGCACGCCACCACGAGGCTTCGACGACAAAAGCTGAAGGATGGACTTATAGTGAAGATGGAACGCATGCTCATCCGTGTTGATAAAGCTGGTGCTGACGTGCCCGAGGACTTTGATGAGAATGGCGACCAGAAAATTGATTCCCGCGTGAGGGACAAGTGGCGAGAGTATATGGTGGTTTGTAGGCAAAGCATTTCCGACGATGCCGACTTCGTCCTGCAGCTGTACAAGACAAGAGTATGTATGATCGAGCCATCACGATTCCGTGAGTCAGTTACGCTGACTGCAACAGGTCATCCCCGAGATCGAACAGAAAGGCGCCAGTAAGAGAGCTGCTTTCGAGATTAGGCTCAGCCGAAAGACGACACATGTCAACCTGTATTCCTCCCTAGATAAATCCGTAGTGGTCTGGACCCGCGTCGAACGCGGTACTGCGATCTACATCATGCAAGCGCGCACGGCGTCTCATGCGGTGGAGTGGTACACATTCCTGCGAAACACGATGGGCTGGTCTCGGACGACGGAGCTCCAAATAAGCGTCCCTGACCTAAGCGTCAACCTTCTGATCTCAGATCCCTTCAAGAAGTTGGAAGCATCGCAATCCGAAGTACATCAAGCCGAAGGGAGTGATACCGAAGAGGCGGTTCTGAGAACGATGCAACAGGAGCAAGCCGTCGCGCAAGAGCTCATACAACAATGTCTTGACCAGCTTAAAGACTCGCCAGAGTGGGCAGATGTTCTGAATACTTGGATGAGGGACCAACGTATCGGGCTTGCGTGGAAACGATACGATCGATTGGAGTGGATACACGGCACCAATGAACGAAGAATGTATGGAACCATAGCAATGCAAAAGTCGCACGAGCTCGAGCTGCGACCCAAGTCACACTATCCCACCACTGCGGTGACGCGGAAGAAGCACAAGACACTGACGGAGCCGCTTCCGGTCGAAGGATTCCTCATCCGCCTCAGTGGGCAGCGTGGCCAAGCAACTCGACTCGGGCTGATGTTCCAGAAGCAGCTTTACTTCTCCACGCACAACCAGTTCCTTGTCTTCACCCGGCCTCCAAAGTCGGCTCCCCCTCCGCCGCCAAAGTTACCGGCTGGGCCTGGAGGCCAAGTGCCGCGCGCACACACCGTCGCTGATAAGACGCCCGACACTTGGATAGTAGACCCTTTTCCGGTCAAGAACGATGTTATAGAATGGCTGGCTGAAGGCCACTGGGGCACTGCGGAATCTCTGCGACTTCGGGACGCCGATGCCGAAGATGAGGCAGAGCGGAAAGCGCACAACCTGCTCAATTGTGACGGCTACATCAATCTTGTGGACGTGAAGAAGGTTCGCAAAGCAAAATGGGGCGCGACGCCTGTGGACGATGCCCTTGAGTCCGGTTCAGATGTTGATTTCGACGAAGAGGTTGAAGATACCACGGCTGATGATGGGGCTACAAAAAACTTCGATGTCGAGAGGACTTTTGAGCTGGTGATGCGGAATGGCTTGATTATCCGCTTGCAGGTAAGACGCGGCACAAGTGGGTTGATGCCGATGGTACTGACTTGCACTAGGCAGCCAACAAAGCCCGTCGCAAAGACTGGGTTAACAACCTACGCGCTCTCGTCAAGTACTGGCGAAACCGCATTGCATCTGACATCGCCATCCTCAAATCAACCCGGGAGAAGAACCTCTCCGCTCTCAACATTGACGAAGAGGGCGAAGCCTACATTGGACAGTTCGCGAAGAAGTGGGAAGTGACGCAATCCTACGCGTCGCCCGAACTGTACAACATGTGTGGTATAGCAGACTGCCGCACCATCCACATGAGCGGGCTACTTTACAGAAAGCCGCGCATCCACGCTGCCTTCACGCGGTGCAGCGTCATTCTCACATCCGGCACGCTGCTCATCTTTCAGGATGTGCTACGCAGTGGGACGGGGAAGCAAAAGCCGCACATCCACCATCAGCGCATCTCGAACCTCGATCTCAAGGACTGTTATATCTATTCCGGCTTGCTGACGGAGTCGGATCTCCTCTATCGGAACCAAACCTTCGACGCGAATAAGCCAGGGCATCACGCCCTTCCGCGCATATACCTCGAGGATGGTTGGACGTCCACAGACGAGGACGTCATGACCACCTTTGTTGTCTGGTACGGCAAATCTAAGAGTTGGTTCCGCGCCGAGGAGGGGGCTGGGGGTGGGGATCAGCATGCGAATGCGGGAACGAGGCATAAGTTGAAGAGGGTAGCGAAGTTGGGGAGCAAAGGGAGGAGTATGGTGTTTAGGGCGAGGAGTCGGACGGAGAGGGACCATTGGGTGTTGGCGATTCAGAATGAGATTGAGAAGGCGCAGGGGCGGGAGGGAGGTGCGGGAATGGATTTCAGGATTGTGGAGGGGGAGGGTGGATGAGGTGTTTTCGAGGTGGTGGTGGTGGGAGAGAAGGTAGAGAGGAGATGGGGAGGGTGGGATAGGTATGGTTGGGGTGTGTATACATTATTTTTTTTCGGTGGCAAGGCATGCGCAGTAGCAATGCGAGATGAGACACATGTTTAAAGTGCGACTCTTGGGTAACTATCGTGGATCTTATAGAAGCATGAAAAAGAAGCAGCGAGACAGAACAAAGGGGAGCGGACCACAGATAGCGGGTCGTAAAGCTGGGATAGCAGCTCAGCAGCGTTGAGCGACAGCCCTCTGAGGGTGAAGGGGAAGGCAAAGAGCACCCTAAGTCGCGCCGCAAGAAAGCGCTCCCGAGCGGTACGGCGGAAAGCGGCGAGTGCACGTGCGACACTAAATTCTAAGTCGAAATTGGAAGCATCAAAAGGGCATATTCACAAGGGAAGGCATCGTCAGGCAGCAGGGTCGAGGAGGACGAGAAAGGGCAGAAGAAAAGTGAGCGGGACATGGCGAAGTCAGACAAGGCGGTCGGGAACGGACTTGGACGCGAGAGGAACACCAACACCTATCACCAACACCCCAAGCCACCAAGGTCAAGCACCTACCCCACCAAGAACTAAACACATATCACAACATCACAAGGGCAAAGTCACATAGAAACAAGAAGCAGTAATATGAGAACAGAAAGAAATGTGTGTTCATTGATGATGATGTCTGTTCTCAAAAGCCCATGTCCCCCTCTCTCCTCCACTGATACCATTTCCTCCCACTGATTGCCAGGTCCCAGATTTCTGATGTTTCCTCCGCAGACTTCCAACGGTTCGGTTCGGTTCGTTGTTGTTGTTGTGGTCGTCCCCCTGACTTGGCCCACCTCCCACCCTCCCAAGTCAGGTACCCTCCTGTGTCCCTCCTCTTCGTAAGTTCCTCCTCCCAGACCCATCCTCCAAAGCCCATCCTCCCATGTCCATCCTCCCATGTTCCTCCTCCCCTGTCCATCCTCCTCCCAACCCTCCTTCCTCCTCCCATGTCCACCCTTCCAAGTCCCTCATGCAAAGTTCATCCATCTCTTCAGACCATTCGTGTTAACACACTCCCCCGCCTACTGCTCTCGCTAACGACTGCTCTGCAGCCACCCTCCTCCACCTGTCCTGATCATCGCACACCCTGGGATGCCAGCAGCCGACTGTTCCACACGTTCTGACCCTCCTCAACGCGGGAGACCGACGGTTAAGCCTGCGTGCATCCCGTCACTTGGGAACCCAATCAACCAAGGTGAGGAGCCCTCTTCGCTGCCCGAAACAGTAGTGCCTCTCCATCCAGACCCAGGCATATATGTGCGCGACCATTGTTTAACGCCAACAACGGCGTCCCAGAAAGTGCAATTGTCCTGACCCGGCCAAGGGCGCCATGCTCAATCCGGGATCCTCCATCTTCGGTACCAGACTGCCAGAAGCCGCTTGTCCTGACCCCGGCCAAGGGGCGCCGCATGAATCCAGCAGCCTGCTACCATCACCTGGTCTTTCATCCTCCCTTTCCCATGTATGTGTGTATCCAGAGTATCCGAAGACGCGTGCGGTCGGGAACGATCGAGCGGTCGAAAAATTATCGTGCGGTCGAGGACTTTTCGTTCGGTCGAAGGTTTCGGCGAAAACGGAAGGCGCGCGTGAAAAAAATCGAAAAACTTCAAAACATTGAGCCAAGACTACTCAGAACATCAGTGAGAAACTTACCTCGTAGCGGTGACGGCAAAGTGACGATTCGGTCCGAAATGCTGTTGTCGGCGAAGAGCTAACCCAGAATATGAGGAAGCTTGTTGAAGTGAAGTAAAAGTGAAGTCACTGTGAAGTAAGAGTGAAGTGAAGTGAAGAGAAGTAAAAGAGAAAGACGATGTTGGAGAAAGACTTTGAAAAAAAGGAAGACCGAAAGACAAGAGCCTTTGAGAATAAAAGAAGAAGCAAAGAAGAAGAAGGTCGACCACCTGTTGCAGTGGTGGTGGTGGCTTGTGTGCTGAAGTGGGAAGAAAAAGGAAGGGAGGAGCGTACCTGGGAGGAGTTTATATACCTGGACCAGGCGCCGAACAAGCTGTTATGACTCAGCAAGACCTGGGGGGTTCCGCGTATGATGCTACAGTGGCCGGCGGACTGAGTTTGCGGTGGTGAAAGGCCAAATGGCCGTCTGCAGAGGGCTCCGCGATGCCCAGACCGGAGCGAGAGAGTGCCAAATAACGCGGGAAGCGGTGACGTCAGGAGAAAATGGCGGGAAAAATGGAAAGCGTAGGTGAAGTCGAGTTGGGGCGGTGGTATTGGGGGAACTGAGAGGCGGGCAGAACGGCTGTGAGAGCGGGAAAATCGGGAAAACGAACGCGTAACTTGAATCTATATACTCTGATAATTATTCTCCAACATCTTTACGCCAGTTTAAGCGTGGAGTTGCGGTGTAAAGGCGCGTAGATGCTGTTGGGTGCTGTGTTGCGGTTCTGAGCTGCTGGATCGTGTGCAGCGCCCCAGCAGAGAGTGAGGAGCTGCGACTGCTATGAGCGACTTATATCTTAATGAAAAGGCTAATATGCATTGAAAGAATGATCTAAGATAGCTCGGCAGCTTTTTCGCGATCGTGATGGCGTATGTGGTGATTCATCGCAATGTTTACCTGCGCGTGACTCGCGCAGCGAAACCGCCATAGGGACTCGCAATGACCCCACGGTGACTCACTTCTGGAAAATCCCGTCAGATAGAATGAAATACGTGCATACACATGCTCAAATGAACAGAGACGCGCTATGTGCGACGGCGTTGCGGTTCGGAATCCTCGTTTCAAGGTAAAGAGGCGGCCGAGATGAGCAGCCGCCCTAACAACATTGGCAGCTACGGAGAGAGTGTCACACTCGCAGAGAGCAGCGGCATCAGAAATTGAGAGGGTCAGTAGCACCTTTTGGGTGGCTACCTCATGGGCATCAAGGCCGCTGAGCCACTGAGTGAGTCAGCTCTGCTGAGTTGAAGGCCGCCACGACAAGAGCTACACTTCGGGGCTGTTCGCCACGACCTTAAAAACACCAGGAACTAATGGTAATAATGTGAATAGTTCAGAAGGCGTACCCATCTTCCCTGACATCAAGACTGCTGGCCGCTGGCCGCCGAGTGAGTGAGTCATCTCCGCTGAGTTGCAGCAGGCACAACTGGAGCTACACCAAGGAACGGTTTGTCACGACCTTTAAATGCTAGGAACTAATGAGAGATATATTTATGGCTCAAAAAGTGATCTAGAGTATCAAACTATCCATACGTGACGAATTCTCCCTCCTCCGCCTACCTGTCTTGATCAGAGCTGCAGCATCATGTCCACAGCAAGCACAAAGTGAGAGCGAAAACTCCGAATTTGGCTCACCCGCTCAAAGAAATGCGCTGTCCGCGCCTGATTCTGTGCAACTGAAACCTGATCCACGCGCAAAAGGTTAACCTATCTGCAACGGATAACAAGCTCTTTATATGCGTAACAGATTCCGTCAATACACTGCCTCCGCTTTACCGCACGGTACCAGAGTCACCATAGGGCGCCCATGTGTGCCTCCGACTCGATGAGCTCCATAGTTCACGCCACACAGCCTCCAACCCAATCACCACCACATACCCAACAAGCATAGCTAGGGTACTAAAATACGGTGACGGAGACTACGAGAATCATTCTCTGCCTCAAGCTCTATACCCTGGGCGAATTCGAGAATCGAGTATGAAGTACCCTACGGTAACTGAAATAACAACTTCGGAATCTTCACCTGATTTTCTCACTCGCTCCACGGTGCCGCAGGCGCGCTTCCAAAGATTTCCCTCACCAAACAGCTCTTCAACTCCACGCGAATAAGCCGATAGAAACGGCGACTCCCACGCGACGGGATGCATCTCCCAACTCCCATAGAGTACCCTTATTGCGGAAACCGCACCTCACGCCCCGTCCCGTCATCCCGGTGTGCTCTGTTTGGGTTTTTTTTTTTTGGGGGGGGGGGTTGAACTTAGTATCCGGCACCTTCGCACACGTACTGAATCCATCATTGGGGGAAGCTTCATGTAAAAGATAATGTAGACTTATACCCCCATGTTGCGAGAGTACGTCTACTCTGGACTTCCGTGAACGGCGTATTTGAGATACAGTACGGGCTGATAAATGAAATCAGTCGTCTTGATGGAAATCTCTGTCTACTGTGCCTACTGTGATAGCATTTGAACATTGAATGTATTGACAGCCTTGAATGCTAAGGCTTCGGCTTCCACCATCAGACTCACACAAATTGAGCTTCACTTCATTACGCTACTCAACAGAAGCGACTGTACTTGCCAAGGCCAGCGGAAGGGAAGAGTGACACGAGCAATTGCGATAGGGGAAATCGTCAGTACCACTGGGCGATCTAGATAAATAGAAGGTAGCCATACATTACATAACAGTAAAACGAAACAAAACGCAATCCAAACGCCATAAATGCAAACCCCACGCACCTATCCCCCTCCCTCCCTCCCTCCCTTCCCTTCTCCACCAAACACCCCTCAAAGCTCCGACTTCTCCCCCAAACCCACCCCCTCCGTACCATTCCTCTCCAAAAACCCAACCCACGGCTCAAACACCTTCAACGCGCCCTCAAACCTCGACCACAGCTCCGCCTGCCAATAAATCATCACGAACCCAACCACCGTCACCAGCACCATGCCCGCAATAAGCCCAAACCACTCGACAACCTCCCACCACGCGGCCCGCAACCCCTTGACCATGCTCGTCCCCTCGTCCATATTCGGATACGCACCGACGCCCTCGGGCTTCTCCACTTGCAGGAACACGCAGAGCGAATCCCAATCGCCCTTACCAGACTGTACTTCGAGCCTCTTCCCCTCGGGCACCAACTCCCTCACATCGGCGTAGTACTTCTCATACGCCTCCCTCGTCCTCCTTCCCCCTAAGCTATTCCCGTCAAACACGCCAAACATCTCGTGCATGAGCCTCGTCAACGGCGCCATCTGCGTGACGCCCAGCCACCGCGTGAGCTGGAAAACGCGCCACTTGAGCAACAACCACACGCTCTCGCTCATGCTGCGTTCCCACTCCTCATACGCCTTTGTCGTAACAATGACTTTGGCCTCCGGGTACGCCTCGACCAGCTCCTTGGCGAATAGCGCGGCGGGCAAGTCGGCGACGGCGTCGTACTCGCCGAGCAGCGTGTCGAACTCTTGTCTCGCGAAGGGCGGGAAGATGGTCCGGTTTCGGATGCGGGTGGGGCGTTTGTGGGTGGGGAGGAGGGTGAGGGTGATGGCTTCGCGCCAGAGGGGGATGCTGGCTGGGTTCGTTAGGAGGTCGCGCATCGAGTAGGGTGTGTAGCCGAGTTTGCGCAGGGCGACGAGGATGCTCGTGGTGCCGGTGCGGGAGAGGCCGAGGACGAGGACGCGCATGGGCTTTGTGCGCTCGCGCGGAGCGTTGTTTATGAGGCGGGGGCCCATTTTGAATGTCTATATTATGATTCTGGTTGGCGGTGTCTTTCTGTGGAATTGGGACAGTGGCTGCGGTCCTCGAAGGTGTTGTGGGGTTGGGAGAAAGATATCGCAGCTTCGAGGGACGTCGGAATGGAAAAGGAACGGACGGAACGACGCTCGGAAAGGAGCGAGGGTTCGCGTTGATAAATGGTTGGAGTCGCGTCTCTGGGAGGCCGTGGCGAACGGCCCGTTTTGACGGATCAGGCTAAACTAACGGCTGTATGGGCCGGGTTGCGAATCTGGAGACTCGGCGCAGTTGGCGGCTGGCCTAGAATTCTAGAAGAGAACCATAATCGAGGACGATGTGTTGTAGCGCATAGCGTATTTCAGAATCGAAGACGTGGCTTTGGGACACCTTGAGAAGTTTCCTGGAACCCTTCAGATAACGATGCCAAGACATACGGGGAGGGTACGTAGATCTCCCATATTAATTGAAAACCGGGCGCCAGGTAACAGAGATGTTAGTCTTCCATGGAGGAGGGAGTTGATCGATATATGTGCCATGGCGCGTATCGGAAAGCTGTGCGGTGTGATGCGGCGCAGGTGTTGAAGTCAGGGCTTGCTTTGGGATCTCAGCTGCTCCCACTTCGTCAGAAATCTTTCGGTGAGCACCTCCATCTCTTTCGTCTCATGCGACTGAGAATCAGCCATCATCCTGAGTTGGTAGCTTTGGTGAGCCCACAGGGCGGCTGGTTCCCATTGCTCTGTCCTGGCATGGCAGATGGCCGCAATGCGATATGCACGATCATAGTAATCGGAGAGTCCCTCCTCTTCAACAAGCTTGACGAGCCTTGCGCTTTCTACAGCCATTGCGTGCGCTATTTTCCTTGCTGCAGTGCTTTCAGCGGGTTCCAAGGACAGATGGGGCTCCAGGTTGTTGAACACTTGACGGATCTCCTCCCTCCGGCGGTCGCTCGCAATAAGCTCGTCCTCTTCGGCAGCGCACACCTCGCAGCTGCATTTGAAGCCATACTGATCCAGTCTCTTCTGACGGTCCTGTCGATTTCGCAACAGCGGTATGTAGGTTACGGAGAGCTCTTCCCCTTCCTCGATCCGCCTCGTCGCGTACACAACCTGCTTATTGAGTCTTGCAATCCAGACGTAGCTCGTATTCGGCCTGCAGGAGTGGTTGATTCTTGCGATCTTGGGGAAGAGGGCAATCTCCTTGTCGATTGTATAGGCATTGCTCCTGTAGATGGGCACCAGCTCATCAACATCAGGGGAAGCGGTTTCGGCAGCCGTAGTGTATGCGTGAAGAGACAGTACTTCATCCTGACCTTCTTTCGGCAAGCTCTCGAACGCCTCACGTATACTTGCGCCCATCTCCTTCATAGGATAGCCGATGCCGTCCTGGAAGGGTGGAGGTCGAATCCGCATGACGGGTGCTTCCTGGAGAATAATGTCGCCAGGTTCAAGGTGCCGGCTCGCGAAAGCACCCAGTCCTTTTCCTGGACTGTGTTTGACGATATAAGGCTGGAGTGTCGAATGACAAGAGGGATCTGGAGAGTGCTTCCATGGGGTCGTGAAATCGGGCGAATAACGACTCGGCACATCGCAAGCAGCAGAAAATATGAGCATATATGACAGAGAAACGAGAAGAGGTGGAAGGGAGGGAAACATGTTTCTCTGCAAGAACGGAGGGATTTGGACAGAAGGAAACTGGAATTGAGAGACTCCATTGGGTTCTTGAATGATACTGACGGCTCAAGCGCGAGAGTTCCCCTGAAACCGAAACGCCGAAACGCGTTTCAGGATGAGATCGAGAAAGGGAATCCATAGTTGAATCATCCCAGAGGGCACGCCAGGGCATGATGAGCACGAAAGCGGTGCATGCAGCCGCATCTATCCAACCTCGACGTTTTCCATGCGACGGGTAGACAACGGCTGAGTAGGGAAGCGCACGCTGTGAAACTAGGAATAACTTAGAGAGGTTAGCAGGTGCTGCACATGCCCATGGTTACTGCGCTTGTCAGGCGAACAGGCCAAGTAAGGGGCTTCGTCTCGCCGTTTCAATGGCATTGGAGGAAGCAATGCAGATGATACCGTGATGCGATGGCTTTGGTGTTGATGAGTCGGACGAGGTGGGATGAAGAGCCAAGGCCACCACTGCTTCGCAACTGCGGAACGAGCGCGGAATGTTCCGAACTAGCGGGGCCGTCGCTACCGCAGATTTGGAAGATGCGGGGAAAAGACCTCGGGATCTCCCATGCCTCCCATCCGTCCCATTCAACAATCCCACTCCCCTTATACCAAGCTTTATGAAGCGTCTGGCAGGCGGTGGGGAATCGTCCTGAGCCTATTCCTGGGATACCCTTTTCAGGTACGTACGGTTTTCCCCGTGGGGCCTCCCTCTCAATGCCGCCTTCGATATCCGCCTCCGCCGGCGTTAAGCCATGAATACCCACACGCCCCAGACGCCTCTCTCCTAAAAGCCTCGGCCACGGGTTCGGACTTGTAACCTCTCATCTTCTGCTCCTGGACCTACATCTCTCCTTCACTCCGCTCAATCACACTGCAGGGAAGCTAAACCACTTTCAAGATGTATTTCTCCGAACCCCGCCAAGTTTCCCGACGACGCTTGCTGACTCAGATATATAGGGTCTACACAGCTTCGTTCGCCTTCTTCGAGGCCATCTGGGAGGCTGGCGTTACTCATTGCTTTGTCAATCTTGGATCCGACCATCCCAGTATCATCGAAGCTATCGTCAAGGGCCAAAATGAGAAGAAGGGAAAGTTCCCAAGGATCATCACCTGCCCCAACGAGGTATGCCTACTCCAAGCTCCGCTTCGGACAAGTAATAAGCTCACAATGGTAGATGGTGGCCCTCTCCATGGCCGACGGCTACGCGCGATTGACCGGCAAACCCCAATGCGTCATCGTTCACGTCGACGTCGGAACCCAAGGCCTCGGAGCTGCCGTACACAATGCGTCTTGCGGGCGTGCACCTGTTCTCATTTTCGCTGGGCTCTCGCCTTTCACTATTGAAGGTGAGATGCGAGGCAGCAGGACCGAGTACATCCACTGGATCCAAGATGTACCCGACCAGAAACAGATTGTCGCTCAATACTGTCGCTATGTTGGCGAGATCAAGTCTGGCAAGAATGTCAAGGTGCGTCCTCTTCTGGTTCGAGTGAGTAGATGTTGACCTCTACAGCAAATTGTGAACCGCGCACTGTCCTTTGCGACGAGCGACCCCAAAGGCCCCGTCTATATCTGCGGCGCACGAGAACCCATGGAGGAGGACCTCACGCCATATCAGCTCAACCAGGAGTACTGGCACCCGGTCGAGCCGGCAGCACTACCCCCCAAGGGTGTTCAGACGATAGCCGAGGCTTTAGCTACTGCGATGGAGCCGCTCGTTATCACTGGATACTCCGGAAGGAACCATGCAGCAGTGGATCAGCTGGTCCAGTTGGCAAACAATATCAAGGGATTGCGCGTGCTTGATACTGGAGGAAGTGATATGTGTTTCCCAGGTAGGACAACCGATTCCAACATGTAGAGGTTTCGTCTGACATCTGTACAGCCAACCACCCGGCATGGCTAGGGCTCCGCTATGGCAAGGACCCGAGCATCGAGACCGCCGACGTCATCCTCGTCCTTGACTGCGACGTTCCTTGGATCAACACACAGTGCCATCCCAAGGACACTGCGAAGATCTTCCACATTGACGCAGATCCGCTGAAACAGCAGATTCCTGTCTTCTACATCAATGCCCTGCAAAGATACCGGGCGGATTCATGCACTTCATTGGAACAGATCAATGGATATCTCACAACGCATCTGAAGGAGAAGCTCTCTGGCCCGCTATATTTGGACAGATGGACAGCGCTTCAGGAACAACACAAGAAGAAACTAGAAGGCATTGCAAGTGAAGCCAAGGTGGACGAAAATGGCCACTTTGGTACACCGTATCTGGCACAGCAACTCAAGAAGCTCTGCCCGAACGACACCATCTGGGCGATTGAGGCCGTAACACAGACCCAGTTTGTCGCAGATCAGATCCAGGCCACACTACCGGGTTCTTGGATCAACTGCGGCGGCGGTGGTCTTGGATGGTCTGGAGGAGGTGCGCTCGGTATCAAGCTCGCCACTGTCACCCAAGGAGAGAACAAGTTCGTGTGCCAGATTGTGGGCGATGGCACATACCTCTTCTCCGTCCCTGGCTCAGTTTACTGGATCTCGAAGCGCTACAACATCCCCGTCCTTACCATCGTCCTCAACAACAAGGGTTGGCACGCACCGCGGCGGAGTCTACTGCTCGTCCACCCGAATGGCGAGGGATCCAAGGTTAGCAACGAGGAATTGAATATTTCCTTTGCGCCTACTCCGGACTACTCGGGTATCGCCAAGGCTGCTGCCGGTGGTGATATTTGGGCGGGACATGCTAGCACGGCCGAGGAATTGAACAGACTGCTGCCGGAAGCCATCAAGACGGTGCTTAGTGGTACGAGTGCGGTGCTGGATGCTCACCTCGAAGGTCCGGAGGGCAAATACGGCGGGCCGGATAAGAAGTCCGTGGCGATGTGAAACGAGCAACGGATGTCCACTCCTAAGAGATCATGTACTTAATATACCACGAATTGAAGCGAGCTTACAAGAACTCCAGCACGTATACCAACTGAAGCTCTGTTCTACCCCGTCTCCTTCCAAGGCACATTTCCAGGCTCAAACTGACGGCTTTTTCAGCGAACGCCAGTTATCATTTCTAGAACATCACATGTCACTACCAAAAGATTTGAACAAATTGGTAAGAATGGAAAACATGTATTGGGATACCTATCACCCTTCCACGTCGGAGAGGCTATATTTGTATGGAGAGAAACCCGCTCACCTGCCAATGGTCATGCCACGTATGAAAGGAAACTCACCTGCTCAGGCACAAGACTCACATCCTCACCTCCCGCATAGATCGCCTCCCGCCACTTCAACCCTTCTCTCATCGACTACGCCTCACCACCGCGCCTCCGCAGCTTCCGCAACAATCGATCCGCATACGCCGCCGCATCCTCGGCATCAGGATTCTCCGGATTCTCCGCCTGCGCCCTTCGCCCTCTTGTACTCCCGCACTCTCGCGTCATCGGCCGAGAGGCGCTGCAGCGTGTACATGCCATCGGCGTCCAGGACCGCCTGCTGATCCGCTGGTTGCGCGCGGAGATAGACGGATTGAGAATCTGGCCTCGACACTGCGGCACGCGGTAGGCGCGCTGGGGGTGGTGGACGCGGTGCACGAGGGAGGATGGGGGTTGGTGGGGTGTATAAGCTGTCTTGGTCTGGTTGGTCGTACTGGACGGGGGTGGCTTCGTACTCGTAGCGGTGGTTTGCGGGATCCTGGAGCGGGACGTGTGCCATGAAGGCGTAGGGGTTTGGGTCCGGGCCGGTGCCGGGGAGGGGGCCGGTGTTGGTTAGGGCGTTGAAGGCAAGGGTGCGATGCTGGTCTTTTACTACGGTAGCGATGCTTGTGCTGTTTGAGAGCGCTGTTACGGCTCGTGGACGGGTGTCAGCAGCAACAGCAGCAGCACCGGCATCATTTCCATCTCCATGGCCACCAACTTGCTCACCAACCTGTCCATCCCCCTCCCCCCGCGCCGCCATCCACGCCTCCCGCTCCCTAACCGTATCTTTTGTAACCACCAACTCGGTCCCCTCCTCCAACCTACGTATCTTCTCCTCCAGCGCCACGCAATTGGGACAGCGCTTCCTGTACGCGAGAAAGAAGGCCAGAGCGATGAAGAAGAGGTAGACGAGGACGATGAGGATGACGGCGACGAGCAGGGTGATGGCGAAGCCGTTGTCGGGTTTCGCTTTTAGGTGGTGTGCGGTTAGAGGGTCTGGGGAAGCTGTGGTGCTGGAGTTGGGGCCGAAGAGGGGTTGGAGGATTATGGTTTGTTGGTGCGGGCGTGTGAGGGAGGGATTGGGGGTGGGGATAGGGGAGGTAGAGAGAGGTACTGCGGGTGTGGGTGTTGGGGAGGGGGACATGCTGGGTAGGAGGGTTGAGGGTAGGGAGGGGATAGGAGGAGGGAAGGAGAAGCCCCCCTGTGGAGGTTGGGGAGCGGAGGCGGCGGGGAGGGGGGTGGTGGTGAAGTCTGTTTTTGTGATTATGACTGTGGAGAGAGGGGATTCCATTGTGGACGAGGAGGATGACGGGTGTCTTTTCCCCGTCCGGGCGGTGGTGGGAACAGAGAATGGTAGGTGTAGTTGCGGTTGGGGTATGGGGTTGAGGCGGTCTGGGTAGGGTGCGGGAGCGAAGGGAAGGGGGATTTATGGGGTCGCGGTGTGTGCATTGTGAAAGGTGAGGGAATTGTTTAGTGTCTAGTGTGAGGGCAAGAGTGGGAGAGGGGGGATGCTGGGAGGGTGTTGTGTGTGTACAATGTTGACCCTTTGGGGAGAAGAGTAGGATTAGCTCAACAAGTGAGGCTTAGTGCAGTTATGCAGTGTCTATTCTGTGGATATGGGGCCGTGAGTCCATCTTTACAGTACGGTGGCTTAAGACCAAGACCTTCATAGATCAATAGATGTCGAGTTGGTTGGTTCATATACAATTCGGTCTATAGGTGTGTGGTTGGCAATCGGTCTACACTCGCCTGGTCCACAATGTGTGTCAGCCAACACGCCTGTCTACATGATAGACACTACTAAGGACACCGCAGAAATGAATCAGTATTTTGACCAATCAGTTCCTCGAGGGGCTATCCCATTAGATATTGCTGGAGTGAGGTTCCTCCGTACATTGGGCAGGGAAGTTGGCAAGTCATCAAAGCGATCATCCAGATGAATTGGGAAGTGTGCTCAATTACTTCCTGTTCAAAACTGTACAGACGTGGGAAGCTTCCGAGTCCGAGAAGTGCATTCCAAGCAAACAACCCAACTTGATGTTGAACAGTCCTACTTGTAAGTCTGGAGAATATGTGCAGTCTGTGTACCGACGTGCGGATAACTCAGCACGGAGCTCGGGTTCGGCATGTGCTAAAGCCGAGCACTGCATCATCGCCGAAGCTCAAGTCTGACTTCATCCGGTCGCGTCAAGAGACCACAGCCCTGAATATCAGGAGCTGACCCGAATATTGCAATTGCTTCCTTTCACACTACCTCACAGCTTCATTTTACGCTTCACATAGCGCATCAAGGCCGCTGGCCTAGCTCCGTCCTTCCCATGCGACCTCGTCCCTCTCACCACGAGTAGGACCACCCTTCCCACTCCTCTACAATTCGACCCACACGCCCAACATGTCCGACACGCTCTACTCGACCCAAAAACTCGACTACGCCGTCAAAGGCTCCCCCATCCCCAACACACCCGCCGCCTCCATCGCCGCCTCGCCCTTCGCCAACCCCCCACCACACAATGCCTCCGACCGCCTCGCCTCCCTCAAAGCCCCCCGACCACCAGCACCGGTCTCCGCCGCAGATCCTACCTCGCTCCTCCCCTCCTCCCCTCCGCAGATCTACCTCAACCTCCTCATCCTCGAAGCCTCGCTGCGAAGCCAATACCTCACCCTCCGCGCCCGCCGCCGCCAAAACACCTTCGTCCTGACGCTGCTCGCTCTGTGGATCGCCTTCTTTACATACCTCCTCTGGCTGCGGCCGCGCGAAGACGGCAAGGGGATCGGCGGCTCGCAGTACTGGCTTGTCGACATGACGCAGAAACTGTGCTTCATCACGGGTCTGCTCACCGCATTGCTCTTCTGGGTTACGGGTCAATGGGAGCGCGGCGTTCGGTGGCCCCGGCGCTGGATATACTTCGCGAATCGCGGGCTGCGCGGGATGAATGTCAAGATAGTCATTATGAGGGGGAGGTGGTGGAAAGAGGTTGTCAGTTGGCTTGCCTTCATGGTGCCGTTTTCGGGGGGCTTGTGGGGTGGCGAGGCGCCGGGAAGTTCGTATCATTATCTGAATCTGAGTCAGGAGAGGGGCAGTGGGCTGGATGCTGGTGGCGGGGTGCCGAGGCATAAGATCCGCGAGGACGGGAGGGAGTACGCTGAGGAGGATATCGCGCCGGGTGGAGACTATGTTCGGCTCATGCTGTTGCCGAAGCCGTTCAGTGCCGAGTTTCGCGAGGGGTGGGAGGTGTTTCGGCAGGAGTATTGGGAGAGGGAGAATGAGCGGCGGGCGGAGCTGAGGAGGAGGGTGAAGGCGCGGAGGAGGGAGATTGCGAAGGCTGAGGGGGGTTGGTTGTGGTGGACAGGTTGGAGGGGGTGGAAGAGGGCGAGGGGTGGTGCTGGTCTCGGTGGGAAAGGCGCGGGGGATGTCGAGAGGCATGGTCATCATCACAGGCATACGCGGTCACATTCGCTGAGTACGTCGAGTAGTCTCAAGGAGAAGGAGAAGGAGAGGAAGAGGAGGCCTAGCGTGTTGAAGGAGCGGGAGGGGTCGCAGTCGCGCAGCTCGTCGAGGAGTACGACGCCTACGCCTGATCTGGACGATCGGTTACGGCCGCAGTATGAGCGGGAGCGCAGATGGAGCAGTAGTACCACGGGGTCGACAGCGACGCGGTCGGATAGCCGGAGGAAGAGACCTTCGACTTCGACGGTGTCTGCGGTGGTGGGAACAGCGCAGTCGGCTCGCCCACCTCCTGTGAGACTTGCGGCGGGCTCGAGGCCGACGACGCCGAATGAGTCTGTGGCGTGGCAGAGTAGACGGACGACTTCGCTGAGGGAAGGGGGTGGTGTCGGGGATAAGGGGAAGGAAAGGGATGCGGATGGAGCTGGGATAGATGGGAGCGCGAGCGGTCCGTCGGGGCAGCCGCAAAGGCCGCAGAATTTGAAGAGGGGGGGCAGTTCAAGGAAGGAGTCGTTTGTGTTTCCCAATGCGCCGAGTGCGTGAGTGGAAGGGGATCTTGGAGCGGAGCATGTTGGTCAGAGTATGCGTGTACTAGGATCCCTTAGACTACAGGTGGTGTTTTTGATAGCCATTCAAGCGGGACTATGTTTAAGCAGGTTCAGCATACTAATCCACACCTTGCAAAAAGAATTCTGAAGAGGAGCATATTATCATTTTGTATGATGTACTATGGGAGTGTCAGGAGGAGACGAAGACTTGACTTTCCATCTCTTCATACGGCCTCCTACACTCCGGGGCTCCATCGTCAACACTAGCACCGCTCTTCCCACCTAGTTCTCGGCCTGCGCTACCTCAAGCCATCCCAAGTCATTATTGGAGAAATTTACACGTGTACAAGCCTCGGGATTTATTGCTCCTAACTGCGGTCCATCGCGGCATTCGACCGCTTAAACACCCAAGGTCCCTCGTTTCGCGCGAGTCTGCATGACATTTGTCAGCGGAGAAACAGATAAGGTGATACTCCAACTAGGCTTAAAAGACAACTAAAATATATAAATCCAAACCTCCCCATCACTACTGTCCTACATCTTCCCACAGCCGGCATTCCCACCCCTCCAACTACCTGTGTCGTATCCACTCTACTATCCTACCAAAAACCAAAGTAACCACAACATCCAGTCCAAAGAAAAACAACCACTTCTCCCCACTCGACAATGTCCCACTCCCCTCTCCCCCTCCCCAGCACAACCCGCACCTACCGCCGCACCGCACCCCCCTACCCCCTCACCATCGTCCCCTCGACCGAACCCCTGCCCCAATCCCTGGATCCTCACTCCCTCCTCCTCCGCATCCACGCCGTCTCCCTCAACTACAGGGACATCGCCATGCTGCAGGAAAACGGGTACCCGGTGCCTGTCCTCGCGGGCGGGATCCCGGCGTCGGACTGCGCGGCCGAAGTAGTCGCGGTAGGGGAGAAAGTGAGTAAGTTCCAGGTCGGAGATCGGGTGGCGCCGACGTTTGATCTGGCGTGTTTGACGGGGGAGGAAAGAGGGTTGGAGATGCGGGCGTTGGGAGGCGAGGTTGAGGGTGTTTTGAGGGAGTGGGTGGTCCTTGAGGAGGAGGTTTTGGTTAGGTTGCCGGGGGGTGTGAGCTGGGAGGAGGTAAGTAGAATGTGCATGTCCTTTGAGTTGTTAAGTTTGGCCACTGGGGAGTGTGGGTGGGAAGGGAGGGAGAAAGGTTGGGGATGTGGGCTGATGAGAGTTAGGCGTCGACGATTGCGTGCGCGGGCGTGACGGCGTGGTCTGCGCTCGGGGGATTGAGGGATGTGAGGAAGGACGCTGTGGCGTTGCTCCAGGGTGCGTTTTCCCCGTCTTTTTCGTCTCCAATAATTACCTAGGTACATGTGAAGGGAGGGCGTGACCCGTGACTAACTAACGAGGGGAAAGGAACCGGCGGCGTAAGCATGTTCGCTCTCCTGCTATGCCTCGCTGCGGGTATCAAGCCCATCATAACCTCCTCCTCGGACGAGAAGCTGCAGAAGTTGAAAGAGCTGGGAGACGACGTCTTGACGATCAATTACAAGACGACTCCGGATGTGGCGGCCGAGGCGTTGCGACTTACGGACGGGCAGGGCGTGGATTTCGTGGTGAATAATGTGGGTCTCAGCTCGTTGCCGGAGGATATGAAGATGTTGAGGAAGTATGGGAGGATTGCGCTGATTGGGTTCTTGGGGGGTCTTGAGGCGCGGTTCGATGCGAGCGAGTTGATGACGTTGTTGTTTAAGAGGGCGAGCATACAGTGAGTGTTGATTACCCTCTGAAGTAGTTCGTATTTCTTGAGTGAGCATTTTGGCTGACGGTTATGGTTTAGGGGAATCGGCGTCGGTTCTAGGAAGGATTTCGAGGACTTGAATCGGTTTCTGGAAGAGAGGAAGGTGGAGTTGGGGAGCATCGTTGATAGGGTTTTTGAGTTTGAGGATGCGCCCGAGGCGTTTGAGTATTTGGCTTCGGGGAAGCATAAGGGGAAGGTGGTTGTTAAGGTCTAAGGAAAAAGTAGCAATTTCCTTCACTGGTCTCTGTGGCTTTTTTAAGGAGGGGAGGTTGGCGTGCAAGAAACACATCACGGTTTAACGAAAGCTGGCACATTGACTATATAAGGAAAGATATAAGTATTCGTGAGCCCCAAAGCATGGAGCTCGTTATTGGAAGTATTCTAGAAGGGAAAGCTATCATGTATCTTCCCCCTTTTCGTGATCATAGGTAGCTGATAGAACCAGCAAGGTCTGGATGTATGTACTCACAGATCCCGGCCGTTGCGGCAATGCAGGTGTACAGCACAATCTACTGCTGAGCTACCCCATAGTCCTTTCGAGGACATATAGAACGCTCGATCGAACCCTTCACTTCAACGACCTCAACAACAGCACCAGCAGCCGCCACATCCACAGCCCTAGCCTGTCCCACCGACGCCCGCGTGCTGATAGTCTGGAGACTATCCCGTACCATGACCTCAGCGACGGACGCCGTATCAGAGCCAGGAGTAAGAGTACCCGTCAACTTCGCATTCTCAACTCCGCCGTCGAACTCACCTCGCCGATGGATGGGGACGTACTCATCTACAGTAAGAAACACCCTCGGCGAGGGAACCTCAATCTGCAAATCCCGACGCTTCTTCTTTGCTTGATCTCGACCCGGAGACTGCTGCTCCGCGGGACGTATTACCGCCGGTAGACCCATTTCTACATCCGAATTCGCCCGCGTACGTACCTCGGGGATGGGAGAGAGCATGGGATGCACGGGATGCGCTGGATGGACTGGCCCGATGGGGAAGACGCCGCGCTCGGGTTGGGTCCAGAGTGTGCGTGTGCGGGCGCGGCGTAGGGCGAGGTATTTCTTTATCGCGAGGAAGAGGAGGAGGCAGAAGAGGGAGACGGTGAAGGCGGTGACGATGCTGATGATGATGATGGTTTGTTTGGTGGGGGATGGGGATGGGGATGGGGAGGCGTTGCGGCGGGGGGGGGGGAGGTGCGTGATGGGGTCTAGGAGGTTGATGGGAGGTCGGGGGGTGGCCATTGTGGTTGCGTGGTAGAAGTTGAGGATGGGAGAAGGGGGTGATGGTGGGGCTTTGCGCCTGCGCAGTGAGGTGAAGTGGTGAGTGGGCAGTGTCTGAGATGCGGTTGGGTTGGAACAGGGGAAGATTGGGTGCAGGAATGGGTCGCGGGAATATAATAAATTGGTTGGCGAAACAAAGAAATATCATTGACCATTGTTTTTTTATTCAGGTTGGCGTGTTGGTCCTGTGTATAATGTCGACAGAGAGTTTATGTCATTGGGTGGAGCTGTTTATACACAATGTCAAGCTTCCCCCTTTTTCACATCCAACTCAGCAACTCCCGCTGTTTTCCAAGTCCATGAATCATTTAGGAAGTAAATCAATAAACCCGCCCTCGCAGTTAGTTTGGTAGAGACTGCAGCCGCAGCATAAGGTCTAAGCAAAGCTCATTAGTTTATAGCCAATTAAGTCGCACGAGCTAAGTACTCCCACCTACAGAGGAGACAAAGGAGAGTGTTCACTTGTATGTGACAGCCTCAGTAGTGACTAGACCACTAATCACTGCATCAGCGTATAAGCAAGTGTCAAGTAACTGCCTTGGCAATAACCGTTTAAATGTCAGCATCCCAATCCCAAGGTTAGCTACATATCGTGATTGACAGTTATCCGGTCAGTCAGCGGCGCCTCCTCAGAGGCACTCCTCTTGCAATCCATCCAACAGGCCCCATTAATACATGCCGCACTCATGGGGCGTCCCAAATCGCTCCTTTGACCCCTCGCCCTCCTTCCTCTTCCAGCACTCCACATAAAAGATCCAGCCCTTCTCATGCCACTCCCTCAAATCCAAGCCTTCCTGCCCGTGATCCAACGTCGTCGCATTCACACTCACATAGTGAAACGGCTTCACGAACTCTTTCCCCTCCTTATCCTTCTCCTGGCGCTCTCCCTTCGGTCGCGTAACCCACACCTTCTGCTTCTTCCCAGATCCCCCCTCTTTTCCCGCCCACTCATCCACATCCACATCCTCCTGCTTCCAGCTCCCTCCTAACCCAAGCACATGCACGCCACACTTCCTGCAAAAGTACCACTCCACTATGCCCTTAAGGCTATAACGTCCCATCTCCTCAATCGTCGAGGGCGAAGTGAGAATGAAGTCGGCAGCCGGGTCGATGGGGCGGCAGTGGAAGAAGCCCATTTTGTGGCAGACGGTGCAGTTGCATTTGTAGATGCGGTTGAGGCCTTCGCGGATGTTGGGGTCGGTGGTGGGTGGGAGACGGAGTTTGAAGAGGTAGGTGATGGTGCCGCAGTGGCAGGAGCCGTGGTAGGTTTTGAGGTCTTTGGACTCGGGCATTGTGGATTATGGTTACAGTTGACCCAGTGGTGAGTTTCAGGATGCTTAAGGTGGGATTTGAGAGAGATTGGGGGAGATGGCGGCTCTCGGTTTCCAGGTGGGCTGTTTGAGGTTTTGTACTAGAGCGAGAGTTCCCCAGGCTTATAAATCAAGCAGATCTCGTACCACAGGCAGCCATGTACTAGGGCGATAGTACGTTGTAGGCGGTGTGCGATCTTTTATTCGTGGGACTGAGGGGAGCGTTCCTGACCCCGCACGCCCTATGTACTAAACGAATTAAGTGTCGACTAGGTAGGACCAGTTGTAGGTACTGAAACAACTGCGTTGGATGAATATACCTGCAAACTTCCCCTTAATCTCGTCCTAGGCATCCGGGAGGGCACGAATATGGAGCTGAGATGGAACACCCAGCTATGACGTCGGAGGGGACCGTGGGGTGAATTGCGGAGGCTAACCGTGTTCGGTAAGGGCCATTCCAGCCCCTTCAACGTCCAAGTCCCAACGAGCCTTAATATCCAGAGAACATTTTGCATTTGCAGTTGCCGACAGCCTGATGAGTCTTTACAGTGCGATTGCGCTACCTTTAGCATGCCTCAGTGGAGTATGGATACCGGCCACACTCCTGTGCTGTGTACCATGGCTGCAGAAGCAGTGGGTTGGCCTACACCATGAAACTTATCAACGCACGACTGACGGGCTATAGAATGTTATACCTGCATTGGGTGACATTATGGCCGGGGAAATGGCTCGGCGAGCCTGAAAGAGCTGGCTTCCTAAGTATGGCTGTGAATCTGCGTTGCGAAGATGCACTCTGACCGGACAGAAAACCAAGTTGCGCCGTTCCGCATACCCACCAGCGACGGCGAGACACTGTTCGCCTGGCTTATAACGCCTTTGGGGAAGTACTCCAGGCACGCAGCAGACTTCATTGCGGAGAAGTCGGAACCTGCCGGTGATGTCGAATCGAGGATGGCTTTCAAGCTGCTTCGCGATGACCCCGAAGCGCGGTTGCTCATCTACTGTGTGTACCTCGTTTCACCTCAACCTCGCGTTCACCTATACTGACATTAGACTGCAGTTCATGGTGTAAGCAAAGTCACAAACTATCTGTGTCGCAACAGCCAACAAGCTAGAATACTGCGACGGTAGCCCAGAGTCGTCGGACAGAGGAATACCGAATGTACTCATCGGGAGCCTCCGACCACATCTTCGTATTGGCCTTCGACTACCGTGGATTCGGCAAGTCAACGGGTACCCCTTCCGAGGCTGGGATTTTGGAAGATGCTCACGCCGTCGTCAAGTGGGCCATGACTACTGCTAAGATCCCTCCTTCGCAGATCGTCCTTCTAGGTCATTCGCTTGGCACGGCTGTAGCATGTGCAATCGCAGACCTCTATGTCACCAGAGAGGAGCCAGTCACCTTTGCAGGCGTCATTTTGTGCGCCGCGTTTACCAATAGCGGGAATGCCTTCTCCGCCTACTCGATCGGCGGCGTCTTCCCGGTGCTAGCTCCCGTCAAGCTGATCCCCAGGCTCCAGTCGTGGTTTAGTGCCCGCATGCGGGATACATGGTTTACGGACAGGCGTCTGGCTTCCCTCATACGTAACAGCTCTCAACTACGTCTGGTCATCGTACACTCGATGGACGACACGACGATGCCCTGGGACCAGTCCGAGGAGCTGTTCAGCACCGCCATCCGGGCCGCTGCGGATGCTCCCGCGTCATCGACCTCACACCAGCGTACATCATCTCCATCAGAACCGGCGCCTAGCTCGCTCGCTTCCAAGCATTTGAAGTGCATAGACCTGGGCGAAGCCGGACGGCAAGAGGTGTGGAGCTCCGGAAAAATCACAATCAGCAAGCTCATAGCGAAGCATGGAGGTGAGTTTGTCGAAGCGTCGCATACACAGCACGCGCTCTCCAACCCATGTGGGAGCGAACCATACGCATGTGCTAACAACTACAGACCATAACACGATGATGAAGTGGTCTCCTATCGCTTTAGCCGTGCTAGAGTGCTTCGGCTTGACTAGTCTCGACGCTTTCGCTAGAACAGTCCCCTCTAATCGGTCCTGATCGTCCGTTCCCGCGCATCTATTCCTATGAACAAAAAGCACCACGGTCACGAGGCACTGATATATACCTAGGTATTCACTATTACTCCTAGTTTCTATCTCATCACCCCCACCGCTCTGCAAAGCCCAGCTCACCAGTCGAGCCGTCACGACACAAGATATCAAGTTCAAGACGTGCGTTGGGTTTCCCCTCCACTCTGTTTCCACGCGCCTTTCACGCTTTAAGCGCCCCAGTCCCGCATTCTCCGTCTCAGCTACCCCGGATTTCCAACCATGGCACCATCCCACGACTTCCTCCGAACGATGGAATTCAACCTTGCGCCCATCATGCCTTCACGCATCATCGCCATAGTCTTCTGCGTTACCATTTCCGTCATCATCGTCAGCGTCTTCGCCTTCTTCTTCCTCTGCTGCTACTGCCGTTACTCCTGCCGCTCCTTGCGGCGCAGGAAGTCCACGTCTACTGCACCGCCGCCTGAGGAGACACCCATGTCCCAACCCAACGACGAAGTGCTTCACAGGATCATCACGCTAAGGCAGTGGGCGTATCCGCCCAATCCGAGGGGACCGAATCTGGGAGAGACGAGGGACGCCGGCAATCTGGTGTAGAGCTCGAAGGACTGTTCCGAAGAATTTACGTTGGACGTAAAGATATGCTTTGTTGGCAGACTCTGACTATGATACCCATTAATGTGCTGATGATATGAAGAATCCCCTTTAAGATAAAAGGGAGACGTCCGCTAAGATCTACGGAAACCATTCGATCGTCGGGCACCTCAAAAGCGGAGACCCTGACTTCGCCACTCACACATACCGCGACTATACAGCTTGTCGCACAGCATCCTTAGTAGGTCAAGCGGCGGATACAAACGGGCAATTCAGGCGAAATTGTTCGAGAACCGTGATTCTCTAGGAATGCTACACCATTCACCGCCACGACATTGTGTATGTCCCAAGCAACAAAGCAGCACCAACACCACTGCACAATGCTAACACTGCGATATATCAACCTCCTCAACCGACTCTCCACCGCCTCAGTCATCTCCACCACCCTCCATCCCACCTCTCGAACACACCAACTTTCGATATCCAGAAACAAAAGAAGAAACCACCATGCCCATCCTCACCAGGACCATCTCACCCAAACCCTCAAACCCCAACAACCAAGCCGTCCCACCCGGCACCACCATCGCCATCATGCTCACCACCTTCTTCGTCCTGGCCTGCCTCATCTCCCTCCTCAACGACCTCGCCCGCAAGCGCACACCACCAGCCACATACCTCTGCACGACATACAACCCGCTCGTCCTCCTCTTCACTTTCCCCTGGCACCTGAAGCGTCTGGCGGACTGGCTTCGCAATCGCCGCAGCACTGCGTACAAGGGAAGGAACCCCTCGCCGATGCCCAATGACGACGATGTATGGCACTCGCACGACGTCGAGCTCGGCGCTGGACGGCGCGTCCCGTCCGCTCAACCGTCGTCGAATTGGATCTCCGCTGGCTCTGCGCATCACGGCCAACCCCAACACACCTTCGAACCGCTCAGTGCCAATGCCAATCCGAATGTGGACCTGCCGAACCAGACATATCTCTCGGTCCGCCACATCGTATCTCCAGACGGACAAGCGCATATCGTGCTTGTAGAGCATCCGCGCAATGGACGCGGCGCCGGTGGTAGAGGTGGGAGTGACAGCGTGCGACGCGTACAGCCTGACGCTGAGATGCGGAGGGGTTCGCCGTATGCGAGCGCTGGGGCTTCTGTCGGTGGGGAGTATGCTGGTGCGGGGGTGATCTGGGGCCCTTTGACGGCGAATCCGTGGACGGGGAGACGGTCTTTGGATGGGAGTGAGCGGGCGCATGGAGAAAGGGGTTCTGGGGTGGGGTGTGGAGGGTCGAGTGATGAAGGATGAGGCGACGGATTGTGATACCCGGATGCTGAATACATGTACGGAATGACTACGGGTTAGCGTTCTGTAGAATCTCTTTCGATGATGAATAATAACCCTTTTCTTTCAAACGGCTTTCTCTATCTGTGAATTGATGTGAATGTAGAAACGTCCACCTGAACCAGCGCACGAAGGAGCAGGACAAAAGAATATGCAATGGTATCCAACAACCTCACGCTCCTCTAGATATCCCCACACCCAAATACGCCACGCTAATCACTCCTCAAACATCATGCAAATACCCCCTACCAGTAAATCCCAAAGTCAACCCTCACGAAACCCCAACCCAACCTCCCTCAACCCCTCCTCCTCCCCCGATACCTCCTCCTCACATCCTCCATCTCCTCCAACACCACGCGATTAAACTGCTCCCACCCATCCAGATAAACATGATGGCCCGCCCTATCGATAATAACAACCTTCGCCTCGCCATGATCCCGCTTGCGCTCCTCCTCCGTCGCATTCGCCAGTACCCTCTCGCGCTCCTTCCTAATCTTCTCCTGCGCCGCATACCCGCCCGCGACGTCCATCCAGTCGTGCGAGCCGTACATTAAGACGATGGGGATTCCGGTTTCGCGCTTCCGTTGGCTGGGAGTCGGTGCTTGTGGTTGTGATTGCGACGATGATGAAGGTGAGAGGTTACTATTGGTGGAAGCGGCTCGAGGAGGAGGGACGTCGCCGTCGACGGTCGGCGCATCGTGCGCTTGTATCCACTGCCGCCCTACGCCTTGGATACGCCGTATCAACGGATTTCGTGCGTATGCGCCTGGAGCGAGAATGTACGCAAGAGCGTACTCTGAGCTACCTCTTTGTCTGAAAAGCGAGTAGCTGTAATCATGCAGCGCCTTTGCCTCGTCTTCGGGGAGATGCGCAAAGCGGCGCGAGGTCCAGCCTGAGACGAGTCGGGGGCCTAATGGACCGCTCCAGCGGACGAAGGAAAAGGGGGAGATCATGTTTGCTTCCCAGAGGTAGGTGAGCCAGGCGGGTAACTTGCGCCTTGGGGTTTGATTGGGGTCTGGGGGTGAGACTTTTTGGCGTTGGCGAGGGAGGTGGTTGTTGTCGGCTTCGTCTGCGGCCATGTCTTGGGTGATTTCGTTGCCGCGTGAGAGGTCCTCTGGATTGGGCAGGTCTTCGTTTACGGCATAGGGATCCTCGGGGATGCCGACGGGTGAGGCTAGAATCAATTTGTTGAGGCGTCCGGGATACTTGAGGGCATATGCGCAGGCGAGATAGCCTCCAAGACTGTGTCCTAGTAGTGTGAACCGCTCCAGGCCGCGCTTGATGCGCCACTCCTCGAGCGCATCAATGAACCAGTTTTCCGCCTCTTCGATGCGGCCCTGTTTATCTTTTGCGTGTATCCTGAACGTTGGCCGCGTACTTCTACCCATCCCGAGAAGATCCAGTGCATAGATTTTCCAGCCCGGTGCACGAGATAATGCTTCGAAGTTGCGGTAGAAGAAGCCGAGTCCTGCGCCATAACCATGGAGCATGACCAGGTTATCCTCCACCTCTTCACCTACCCTTTCAACCGAGAATTCGTTCAGTGCGCGTCCGCGCCCTGAGAGTTCCACCATTTCGGAGTTCCATCTGCGAGGACCAAAGGGGTCGTTGACACTGTTCGTCGTGACATGTTCTTCTGAATGCGCCGGAGGTGCTGACAGGTTGGCTTCTGACGGGGCAGTAGATACAGGCGCGGAGCCTGTCTGGAGATGTGTAGGCGGTTTCTGGAGATATGGTATGAAGGAGAGGACGCGGTGCTCGGTAGCCACAGGGGAGAGGCCTGCCCACTACATCATTGTAAGTCTAGTCCACTCCAATGGGTTCAATCCACACATACCCACTGCTCAAATCCCTCCTTCGCCCCCAGCGGAAACCACTTCGCAACCCTTCCCGGTGCCGGCGCGGGCGCCGCACCCCCTTCCACCTCCCTCTGCGACGCCAATGCGCTCTGCTGCGTCCTACTCCGCACCTCCATACTCGCAGTATCTGAGCCAGCCATCGTAGACGAGTCCCGCGAATCCAAACGCACGGGGGAACTCAATGCAAGAAACGTGTACCCCGCGCCCGTCACCCCGGCAGTCTTGAAGACAGCCGCTCGCCGCGTATAAATCAGGTACCGCAGCCGATGCAGCGGCGAGGATGGAAACGGCGTCAGTTTGGAGGAGCGTGGGTACAGCGAGTCTCCCACAGGTTGGAGCCTGGGGAGCTGCTGCTGCTGATGACGTTTTATATGCGGACCGCGGAACGAGGGAACGGACCTGAGGCGGACGGAAATGGTCGGGCAAGAAGGGGTAATACTAGGTGGGATTCTTCCAAGGTTGGTTGGAGGTTGAGGAACGCAGTTTGGGGTTGTGGCGGACTTAACGTCGGGTGGCGGCCTTGTGGCGCAGGCAGAGGGAGGACTTTGCGGGAACATCGGACAAGTTTTGGCCCGTTGTTCTCACGTCGAACAGAGGGATAATGAAATCCTTTTTAATCACTTTGTGCAAATGCATCATTGACAGTCATTTTATCTAGAGGACCACATCCTGCCCTTGAAATAAAAGATGGATAGCTTAAGAGGTGAATTACCATATCACGTGATAGCCACTCGATTCTATCCTTTGGACATATATGGATTCAACGCGGTTGCATGTTTACCTGGCATCATGTCGCATTCGTTATGTATTACCAGAGTATATCCCCCTTCCTGGTATATCCCTCTTTAAATCCATCTAAACCCTCACTTTGAATTTCTGCTCCTCTTTCTTCGTAGGATCCGACTCTGAAGTCACCGTGACCGTCACAGTCGCCTCTTTTGAGCGATTCCTCTCCCCTCCGACCGCCACACTCACCTCTGTAGACTTTCCGAACTCCGCAGTAGCGAGTGCATTCGGAACCACCACCTTCCATCCCTCGCCCTCAATCTTGGCTTCTACCCGGTAAATATCGTAGTCGAGGTACTTGGACAAGTCCTGAGGATGGGAGGCGTTGCTCTTTGCAAACTTGCCTTTGTTCTTCAACTCGAATGTGTATAGGGTTCCTGTCGGGTGTTCCTCCTTGTTTGGCTTCTTGAGTTGAACACCGTGTTGGCTGGGCCCGCTTCCCGCGAGAGACCGGACGCCAACGATATACCGCAGGACACCCGATTCGTCCCGGTTAATGTTAATCACATAAAAGTGTAGCTTGTTCGCTTTGTCAACATATTCAAACTGGCTTCCCGAGCGCGTTCCAGCGTGGAAAAGCGCATCAGACAGTTGGCGATAGTCGCCAATAGTGTAGTACTTTGGCGTGCCGTCGGGGCGAATAAAATCAACCACCTTGATATCTTGCGGATTGGCGTCGATCACCCATTGGAAGGGTTGCGGAGCGTCGCCGAACTTGCTCTTGCTGATCATAACGCCGGAGTCCGGGACAAAGGAATCGGCGCCCATGCGGTCGATCACTTCGACGTTGTAGGCGTTGTAGCGCCCTCCATCGCATAGTGGATCCGTAGAGGTGTTGCAAGGTGGAGAAAGATCGTTTGGAAGGGTGATGTTGATGCCCATGAGACCCGTTCCAGGATCCACTGCTCGTGCGGTGATCTCAGCGACGATGAGGCCTGATTCGGCGAGTGCGTCACGAGAAACTTGCAAAACGACCGCGTTGGTAATTAATCCAATGTGATGCTTGTCTCGCATAGTGTGGAGTGAGCCCATGGAAGCTCCTTGAACTGGTGGTATTTGCCATCGCGTATGTGGTCCACCTGGACCATTGAAGCTTCCACGGTCCAGCATAGAGAAGGGCCCAGAGTAAGCTCGGCGCTGTGGTGTCCCGTATGGGTTGTTGTAGTTATCGCCAATACCCAGTAGATGCGACAGCTCGTGTGCGAAAGTAGCCATGCCAGAACTCTCGCCCTGGGTGGAAGAACCTCCGCCTGCATTAGGCCAAATGTTGGATGCAGCGGCCCAAGATGTCCATTCAACGTAGCGAGTGTTTGCATAATTGGGCAAGCTGCGATTTCCCGGAGGTCCAAACTCGTCAGGAATGTCTTCTTTGCGCATAAACTTCATCTCGCCAAACTCCTGCCAAGTTGAAGACTCGTCCTGTCCTGCCGACAGGATGAAGACAAGCTCGAAAGAGTTCGCGGTTGCGTTGCCAACATCGGCGCGCCATGCTCCGAGTGCGTCTGTTCGCAGGTCGACGGAACAGGGAGGCTCGGGACATGCACCCTCGTTGAACCCGTCCTCCTCGTCGTCAATCCCGTACTGGAATGACTTGCGAGGTAGACGATATGGACCAAACGCAGTGAGATCTACCCCATACTTTCCGAGAGAGTCGCCCATCCAGTACTCGTGCAGAGTATGGCCTTGGTTCAAGTCGTTGGGCTTGTTCAGCAGGTCGCGATAGAAAGCCGGGACATCTGATCGTTTTAAGTTTGCTGCAGATGGTTGCGGGTTCCCGTACACATCAGAGTTGGGAGGTCTGGTCACCGCAAAGTCGAGATCGGGGTAGTCGACAGCGACCATAGCAATGTTGAAGTTCCTGCTGGACCCTTTCCGTGAAGGATCACTCCAGTGTGTGCCCGGGGGGTTACGGTAGTCTTTCCACGTCATGTTGTCCGGGTTCACCTTAAACATAGTCAGCTTGTATAGCTTACGAAGTTACCAGCCTGCATGGGGTTGCGCAGCCGTCTCAACAAAATAGAGGTTAACTAACCCATTTCTGAGGATCCAACACTGCAAACACATCTTTCCCATAGCCATGTCCTGAGGGCGCCGCATAGGCAGAGAGCGCGCAGCTGGCCAAAAGAGCCGCCTGAACTGCTGTACGCGCCATGCTTGTTGGTTAACACCTTGGCTGATTGGCAAGTGAAGGTGTTTTATACTTCGTTCGTCGCCCAAAGTAGGACGAGCGTAAATCTCGAGCGGTGAGGGTCAATGCACCGCCTCAGGGAGTGAAAGCCCTGGAACACCTTACCCCGCGGCAACCCTCGATAGGGTATTTATACATCGACAATATCGGGCATTGTACCTTTGTCGATGGGCCACTTCTCCACTTAGACAGGGGTAACGGCAACCGGGCGCTTATTCGCTCCTTGGATTCCACTTAAGCCACACCGCCCAACTCGCATGTGGATGGCATCCGAGACGCGCTGAACACGTCGACAGCCTCCAGCTTCGCTATAGTCCTCAACATCATCGTTTTTACCGCCTGGCACCGCACCCTGGGGCACGTTCTACAATGCCTGTTCGCAAAGGCGCACCTAGTCAAGAGGCAAGAGCTGCAGCTGGGCATGATCCTTTGCAATGGGAGCGCTTTTATGTGAGCAGCCCTAAGGTCAACTGCACACACTGCGTAATCTAATTTCTTGATCCTATACTGTAGGCTGTTACGAGAGAAGAGGCAAAGAAGATCGTGCAGAAATTTCCGGGTATAACGTGGCCAAACGTTCCCAGCCCCATCAGATCAGAAGTTCGGAGCTGTGTTAATGCTTCTCTTGCGAGTGAAAGCATCCCTGCTGTAGAGGACGATGTCCTAGGGTGGCGGATGGCACTTGCGATACGCGATGCTCGGACTGTTGGTAAGCTAGGTAAATGGACAAGGTAAAGCAGCAAGAAGCTGATCTCTAAAGCTAATAGATATCCGCAATCGCAGTCACAGGCCAGTCGTGCAACGAGCGCTGACGCGCCGCGGCCTTCTCAGACCCGCCCCTATGACCCCGTGCGCGATCAGTAGGCACCTCGTGGTAGTGGAAAGTGAGGAGAGTATAAGGACTGCAATTAATTTCTATGGCTACATAGGTACATTCTCAGGATTTACAGAGCCAGCACGCAGTTTCTCCATCCCATGAAATGTGACCTCACCCCGACGGGGATTTGGACTTGGTTTGTGATAAGCATAAGGGAACAGTTGTCTAATAGGCCTGAACCCGGTCGATACATCATATACGATCGCAGAGACGGGAAAACTCACCGTCAATATGGACATGCCTAATCCAGTTTAGCCGGCCTCAGCTTATCTCTACGACCTGCTTGTTGCAGTCATTCGCCGCCTATCCCCCGACATCCCCGCTGCTAATAAGTTACGCAATCAATCTCTTCCTTGTGGGCCTTACCGCTGCCGACGGTTCTTGGTTAGGTGCATATGTAGTCTACTGAGACGTGACAGTGAAGGGGAGACCTAGCAGTGGCATCCGATGAACTGTGTGTGTAAGGGAGTAATGATGTAAATATTTTTAAAGGATAATAATTGCCTTCAAAGCACAGCTAACCAATGTTTTTGTCTTCGGTTGGGTACAATTAGCGGTAAGAACAAACGGGCATCCAATAGTAAAGGTATTTTTGTATGAGCAGTGAATTGGCCCACGAATCTTGGAAGGTTCTTCTTTACCACAGTTATTGCCCCGCAAAGCGTCTCGAACAGCGCGCATAGCAGTAAAACCACAACTGGAATCACTTAAGATTGAATTCGAACTCCGTGACGTCGAAATTGCCGTATTGGTGGTTTAGATGTAAGCAAAGCCGAGGCGGGCGCTTGCGAATGCTTAGCATTTCTATAGCTTGGGTGCACTAGACCATCGCCATTTCAACATTCTGGTCGTAGGTGTAAAGGCAGAAAAGCAGGGGAAAATCAACGAGACATATTACACCTACATTACGGCGAAAAACAAAAATGATGACGGGTTTTGTCGCGCGTGTAAGGTGAGGAGTTCTAAGGCTTCAGGGTCGATATTGAGGGGTGTAGAAAATTGGCGCTTAACACTAACGTGATCTACAAGCGAACGACGCACACAACCGAACGACGCACACAACCGAACGACGCACACAACCGAATGACGCACACAACCGAACGACGCACACAACCGAACGACGCACACAACCGAACGACGCACACAACCGAACGACGCACCCCACTAAGCATCAACATCTCTCATTTTCAAACAGCAATGTCTCAACCACGCAATGTTGAATTACTTTCTTGTGAAGAGAGAATTATTATGGCGATTCAAGCAATAAAAAGAGACCCGAATCTAAGCCAGCGATGCGCTGCTTCAATCTACAATGTTTCTGAATGCACTCTTCGAGCGCGACGCGCCGGATGACCTTCAAGACGCGCTTCTCAGCCTAACACATCAAGGCTTACTAGGAGCGAAGAGGAGACTATTATAAAATACACAAGGAAGCTCGATGCACGAGGCTTTGCCTCTACTCTAGGGTATCTATGGGAAATGGCCGACCAACTCCTTGCTGTACGTGGTGGAGGCCAGGTTGGCATAAACTGGCCTACCAACTTCATCCATCGTATGCCCGAGCTTAAATCCCAATTGACTCGACAGTGCGATC